CAACTTAGATTGACTCTTTTTTCATGACTTTTTGTGTACATTTAATGAGTTACACAGTTAATTAGCGTTAAGAAAAACCTATCCATAGTAACTTTAATTCAATGATTTCAACTCTAATCCATTACTTCAAAGTATATGTTAAACTCGAATGGAACGAATAATTTCAATTGCTGAATGAATATCAGCGTTGATCAGCACTCAAGTATCTAGAAGTAACAAGTTGAAGATACATATCATTAAATTTATAACTTTAAAAATTTTTGATTAAAAACTATCATAAGTCAAATCATTTACATTCTAAAGATAAACAAAAAATGACTTTCTCGTGAATTAAGTGTATCGTTTGGTGTATAATAAATCTTTCTAATCAAAGCTCAACTCTGAATGAAATGTCAGATAATGTAACATGAAGAAATAATCTAAATTCATTGTTGCTTGCGATTATTATTGCAAAAATGTCATATCGTCATGAACATCACACTCGAAAGAGAATAGTCTATTCACTCATCATTTCGAAGACAAAACTATTAACTATACATACAGGAATAAGTCGAATTAAAATCCACCACATTTTATTACAGGTCTGGTTAATGAGTTGAAATTAACATTTTGTTTTAATTTGTCTCTAATAAGTACAATAACCATTGTGTATGACGAATGAATTTATGAGAGAAATTAATTGAAAAATCAAACACGAATCTTTAGGTTTTAGAAGACTAAAAATTAGTTGTTAAGAATATCTTGTTAAACAGCATAGCACTCTGAAGAATTTATCGGTATCAAAAAATACTAACACCAAAAAAACTGTATTATTATTTGTTTTCAAATGATTTTTGTTATATTAAAAATATAATATTATTATAATTCTAGGTGGAAACGCTGACCAAGCAACAGAATGGAATTTACGCAAATGTTCTGCAGCGGCTCTTGATGTTCTTTCAAGCGTATTTCGTGAAGGTATTTTACCAATGTTATTACCAATCTTACGTGAAATGCTATTTCATACAAATTGGCAAATCAAAGAAAGTGGTATACTTGTATTAGGTGCTATAGCCGAGGGTTGTTCATTTGGTTTAGCACCACATTTACCTGATCTAGTTGATTATTTAATAAAATGTCTTGATGATAAAAAACCTTTAGTACGATCAATAACATGTTGGACATTATCAAGATATTCAACATGGATTGTTCATAATGAAGCACAGCAAAATCGATTTCTTGTTCCATTAATGTTTGAATTACTCAAAAGAATTTTAGATGCAAATAAAAAAGTAAACTAAAAACAAATATCGTGTCGATTTTCTTATGTATAAAAATACTTTAGGTTCAAGAAGCTGCTTGTAGTGCATTTGCAACATTAGAAGAAGAAGCTTGCGTACAAATGGTACCTTATCTAAAACAAATTCTTGAAACATTAGTGCATGCTTTTCGTAAATATCAAGCAAAAAATTTATTAATACTTTATGATGCTATTGGAACATTAGCCGATAGTGTTGGGTCACATTTAAATCGCCCTGATTATATAGAACTATTAATGCCACCATTAATTGAACGATGGAATCTATTACGTAATGATGATAAAGATTTATTTCCATTACTCGAATGTCTTTCATCAATTGCAACAGCATTACAAACAGGATTTTTACCTTATTGTGAACCAGTGTTTGGTCGGTGTATTCTACTAGTACAACAAACAATAGAATCTAGTGGAGTCGATTCAACACCAGACAAAGATTTTATGATTGTTGCACTTGATTTGCTCTCTGGCTTGGCTGAAGGATTAAGTAAATTAATTTTTTATTCTATTTTATATTTAAAAAGGTTCCCTGCTTCTTCGCATTGAGTTTGTTAAGAATTTTTGGATTCAATAGAATACAAGTTTTAAGTTTCATTTCAGACAAAAATCAAAATATGAAATTAGACTTTAAGTTTCCAACATTACATTTCAATAAAGGAAAATATTAAAACAAGAAAAAACGATGAACCATTCAAAATTTTCGTGGAACGAAACGGAAATGCTCTTTTTAATATCGATTTTCATGTATCAATAGCCATCGTAAATTATGCGAGCAATGGCATAGATGTTTAGAGAGAGAGAGAGACCATATCTTGAGTTGATTTTTGAAGAGTGTTATTTTAAAGTATGCATCGATAAACCAACAAAAGCATCTCATGCTCAAATTAGCAAATTCTGTTATCTTTGATTGATGTTGATCGAGTGAAAAAAATCACTACTATCAAAGACTTACAAATACTTTCAAATTTGACATAGATTTCTTTCTTTAATAATTTGTACCGAACTGTATGCCAAAGAGTATTTTAAAATGGTCTGTAGTGTAAAGTGACAAAATGTAATGTTGTCGTGCTGAAAACGTTTGTCAAATAACCACTATTCGGCCACAAAGAATCTATCGTGAACTGCATACGTTTACATTCAAGATATATTTGTTGAAAATGTAGTAAAGCAGCGATGAAAAATATTTTTCCAATGCAATACTATCAACTTATCTGTGTGACTTTATGCTATGTAGTGACTTGTTTTTCTTTGAAAAAGGATGTCAGAGTCATATTATTTTTTTCATTCCTTTTATTCTAAGAAGAGAAAATGGAATTCTTCGTTTTAAAGTACTCTTTTATGTAATAGTGAAAATGCTCAATTGAAAGGGAAACTTTGTTTTGTTCGACATCTTTACATCGCCTTTTCAAAAAAGCAAACTAAGTAATTGACTAACGATGGCACTCTTTCGAAAATTCTAGCATGTACAATATAGAAAAACGTGTGAACATAGAAAAAACAACGTAAAGATTTTCATATTTTTTAAAGTAGACGATGAAAATAATCATCCGAAAATTCTGCATATTTGAAAAAAACTGATGATTTATCACAAGAAATGATCAAGTTTTTTTCAGTAATTTCTACCTTTATTGGAATAGCAAAAGTTTATATCGCAATACATTTAAAAATTCAAATATTCAAAAAATTCAAAGAAAAAGAATTAAATTGATTGCTAATAGTTCCTTCCAAGTCGAAGAAATTAATTTTATAAAGTTGTAGAAAAGGACGCAAAATGACGCCTAATCTATTAATCGATTATAACTATTTATTCGTTCTGTAAGATCAAATTAGTAAAAGTAGTTCTTTTTTAAAATTGACTTTAACTATATGCCATTTGAAAAACAGATAACTGTAATATAAAGCTGTTTAAAAACTATTTGATTTCAGGTGCTCATATTGATTCTCTTGTTGAACGATCAAATCTTTTACCATTACTTGAACGTTGTGCCCAAGATCCGATGGCAGAAGTTCGTCAAAGTTCATTTGCATTATTGGGTGATTTAACAAAAGCTTGTTTTCGTCATGTTCATAAACATTTGAATTTCTTTTTACCATTATTAACCCAAAATCTGGATCCACATCATGTTAGTGTATGTAATAATGCTATATGGGCAATAGGTGAAATATCTATACAAATTGGTGCTGAAATTCAACCATTTGTTTCAATTATTCTTGAATCATTGATATTAATTATTAATCGAAATAATACACCAAAAACTTTACTAGAAAATACAGCAATAACAATCGGACGTTTAGGTCTTGTTTGTCCGAATGATGTTTCATCTCAATTGCAACGTTTTATTCGTCCATGGTGTGTTGCATTACGTAATATACGTGATAATGACGAAAAAGACTCAGCATTTCGTGGTATTTGCAATATGATTATATTAAATCCACTAGCGGTTACGAATGAATTTATATATGTATGCGATGCCATAGCATCATGGGAAAAGCCACCAATGGAATTACATGCAAAATTTCGAGATATTTTGCAAACGTTCAAACAAGAATTCGGTAATGAACAATGGAAACAACTAACAGATCGATTTCCTTTACCCCTTAAACAACGTCTTCAAATGCATTATGGTGTATGATCTATCCTGTTGTATTTTGCTTTTTTCTGTCTGTTCGACGACGAGACGATATTATATTATAATACAAAAAAAACAGTTTTTTTTCTGCTCATTTTTTTCGTTTGACACATTTATATCGTCATAAAATAGAATAAAAGTCGTCTTAAAAAAATAAAAGAATTTTTTCGTAATTTTTTATTTTCAGATTAAATTTTTAATATTTTAATGTAGATATAAGAATGAAAAACTTTGGTTTCTATGTCAGATATTTTCGTTTGATTTAAAACGTGATTTTTTTTCTTTTTAGATCGATCAATTTTTCATTTTTTTTGTTTTAATAAACTATTGTCAAAACGAAACAGAATTAAGATAACTGCTAAAATAACTCCACGGTTTGATGCTTTACGACAATATTAAATCACTTCACGTGATGAACACAAAAACTTGATACGTGTCAATGTAGAGATTTGTAAGGCTTGATTTGGGAAATTATTTTTCATTTGAAACAACTAAAGTCTTCTTTTTCGAATAAACATTTCGTAGTTTTAACTTGTTTTTAATATAAACAAATAAATCCGAAGAAAAAAAATACATTTGCTTGAGCAAACTGTTATAGAATCTACGAAGTATTTAACATAATATTTATTCTCACTATCCAAATGGATTAGATTCCTCTAATGAAATGAAAACTATAATGTACATGTGCACAAAAGATATTTCGACATTTAGATGTATTATGTATATTTTTACTTAATTGTCTTTTTTTCTATAGCAAACCTTGCACATGTCTCAGCCTCCTTTTATCCGTTCTGTCATTTTCCTTTTTATTAGTGCAGGTATTTATATGTAAATATCATATATTGTTAGTTACGCATTCATACGTTTGTTCGTTCTTTTTCAAACTTTTTCTTTTGCTCTATTACGTCTATCACATTTTCATTTTTTTTCTGCACGCTCAGTTCTCTTTTGATCATTCGTCACAGTCGGACACACTGTTAATTAAAACAATCCAGTTAGATAAGCATTCTCTTTCACGTTTGCTTTAAATAAGATAAAACATATTCAATTTCAGATAAACAACTGGTTAGCTCATGGATCTAACGATTGTTTTACTATGGTTTCTTGCATTTTCTTTGATCGTTTTATTTTTGGGTACTTTAAATTATTTTCTCGGACGGACAGATTCAGATGAAATAATATGTTCAAAACAATCTCAATCTGATACTGCAAATCAGCAGCAGCAACAACAACAAACAAATCGCAGTGGTACTAGTAATAGGCGTCGAAAGAATGCACGAAGTGCAAATAAAAAACGACAGAAAGCAGCAGCAGCGGCAGCAGCGGCAGCCGCAAGCAAAAATTTAAATAATGATAATGAATATAAACAAGAGAAAAATGCAACTCTACCTAAAAACAAGATTGAAGCAGAAGCAAAAGAAGAAGAATCATTGACAGAATCTTCTGCACAATCAACTAATGAAGAACAAGATGAAGAGGAAGAATTTGCAGATCCAATAGCTATCGAAGAAGCTTTAATCTGTTCTACTACAGCATTTATACAAGAAGAGAAAGAATCAAGCTCACCACTTAAACAACGTAACAAAGATAAAACTAATCCAATGAATAGTAAGTCACCAAGTCCAATTGCTACAATTTCTACCAATGCAACAAATTGCTCTTTGGCACCACAATTTTCATTGAAACAAGGCTCTATTGTTCCATCGAAGCCTAAAGCAAATGTAGCACCTGTTAAACAAGCTATGTCATCGACTAATACAGCAAATACTGAATTTAATCCATCTTCACAAGTTAATAATTCTAAGTCAATTGAAAATTCATCGTCATCATATAATATCTATTCATATTCTGAACATAGTCCTGGATTGCCAAGATTTCAGCAACAACAACAACAACGACAAGAAACAGATACTTTTGCTACGCAAAAATTTCGCAGAAAAAAAACAGCAACACAAACAAAAACACCATCTATTCTACTTGATTCATCTACAAGAGAAAATGATGTTGCATCCTTAGCATCAAAACAAAAACTAATCAAAAACGCTCATTTCGAATTACCTTTTCAATCACATCAACATGAATCATTCGATTCCAATGGATATTCATCAGGATCAGATAATTTATCAGGTAGGAAATTTTTTGTTTGGATGAAATCATTAATAGTAATTTTGTTTTTATTTTTCGTAATAGAATCACCATCACCAATGCTTTCAAATAATAATAATAATAATAATAGTTCATCATTGTCAATATCGGCTGAGTCTCAATGTTCATCAAAACGACCTGATATAAAACCAACTGTATCAACATCAAATATTTTATTAGATAAATTAGTTTCCGTATTTGATAATGTTTCTTTTTCATCGGAAGAACTTGGATTAATTTTAAAAAAACTAACTGCTAAACAATTCTCAAATAGACAAGACTGGCAACATTTGTTATCAACAAAAGCAAAAAATGATAAAACTATTGAACATATATTTGAAGAAATGTATCATAGTCAGGCGAAGATTCTTGCTATTGAATTACAAATAGAAAAAAGTCGCGTACTTGAATTAACTAAAACAAATGTTGAAATGACGAATACAATAAAGCATTTTCAACAGCCCAATGAAAATATGGCACCATATCAGCAAAGAATTGTATCACATCAAATGCAACTTAGACGATTGGCTGATGAAAATGCACGTTTACTTCATCAATTACATACATATTCGATGATGCCAAATTCAATTAATGAACTTAAACAACAACAAAATATTCTTGATGAACAATTGAGACAAATCTCGAATAGAAATAGTTCGTTAGAAAAAGAAATAAGCGATGGAGAACGTGCCAGAAAGCATGCAGCAGAAATCTATAAGAAGGGTAAATATTTGGTTATATGAATAATCAATTATTATTATTATTTCGTATGAATTTTGTTTTCTTTTTTGTTGGCTTAGCTGATGCTCAAAAACAAGAGCGAATAGAACAAATGATTGATGATTTAAATAAATATAAAAAAATCGATAAAGATTTAGGTACAATTCGACAAAAACACAAAGATCTTAAAGAAAATTTAGATAGCAAATTGGATGAAGTAAGTAATGAACGTGATGAATTAGAAAAATATGGTGATCAACTCAACAGAAAAATTCAACAATATGAACCATTAAAAATAGAATATGAACAACTTATTCAAAATGAAGCAGAAACATCAAACCTTGACAAACTTCAACAGGAATTAAATGAACTCAAAGCTAAAAATGATTTACTAAGACAACGCCATGTGAAAATAATGGAACAATTAAATAAAAAATCACATTCACAACAGCAAAATTAATCAGATCAATTCTCTCGGAGTTGAATAAAATATTAAAAAACAATTTGTTTTCGTCGATCAATCAAAAAATTTGATAAAAGCATGCATTTTTTCGGTTGATTTTTAGTCTGTTTTAACGAATCTCTATTTGTTTTGTTTTTATACTATTAAAATCAAAGTATTCTTTCTTGTGTCTTGCTCAATATAAAACGATCTATCACTATGAGTATTGTTTATTCAAGAACAACGAAAGATATTTTCAAGAGTTTAACATGTGATTCCGTCTTTTTTTAATATTCCAACTATGTCCAACAATTGTTTTTTTCAATTTTCTCCTTGTTTTGTTGATTTTTAAAACTTTGTTACTGATCTTTGCTCATCAATTAAATCAATATGAATTTGAGTTTTCTGTTTTTAAATATCTTATAATTCATTTGTTTTCTTTGAATTTTAGATGATGTTTTTCAATAAGCTTTTATTGATTGGTCTATTAATTTATTATTATTGTACAATTGTACAAAGTGAAATAATACAATTGACATCACATAATATTTCACAATATCTTCAAGATCATGTTACTTTTGTTAAGTTCTATGCGAATTGGTAAAATTTCAGAATACCTAATTGATAAGTGATTAGAGATTTTTTTTTTGTTTATTTTTCTAGGTGCCCACACAGCAAAAAACTTGAACCAACATGGACACGTTTCGCTGAAACGAAAGCAAATAGAGATCTTCATGTGGCTAAGGTAAAATTTGCAATACTAATTTTTCAATGAGAACATTTTTATCGGCAAAGCTTCAGAGTAAATCGTGATCAACACAATCAAAGCTAGGAATCTACATAGTTGACTAAAGATGTTAGCAACATTTATTAATTTAAACAAATGGCATACCTATAATAAAATCAATCATTAAAATAATTTTTTAGACTAAGCTATAGTTTAAAATTTTTCATAATCGCTAAATAATATACTTTTCTCTAGTATTTATCTTGATTTATAATATATCACTGAAATTTAACATATAAATATACATGAAAGTTATGAAAGAATATCTTTCGTTCTCAGAAACCGATTAGCTTTATACTTAGTCTATTGATTAGCTTTTGTATGAGACACTATTACAAATAATTTTAATGGGTTTTGTTTTCATGTTCATTATGATTTGAAAGTTTTTATTCTTCGTATATGAAATTCTTTAATAGTCTCGAATATTTCAAGTAGGCGAGCACTTTTTCTATGGTAGCCAGTTTAAAACATTGTATAAAACATGTTGGAAGAATGTTTTCTTAAATACATAAAAAAAAACGAAATATAAAATTCTGCAACAAAATCTAAGCTAGTAGACTCGAATGTAGTCTAGTTTTACAACATATGACTTTTAAATAGACCTCATATGTTTACGCGATAGTACAATTTCTATAAAAGTTATCCGCATTTTTTGATGAAATGTCGGAATAAAAAAGAATTGATCTATACAGCTTTTCTAAATGAATTGATTACTTCGAACATTTCTCTTGTTAGAAAAGTCGAAAAATGCTTTTACTTAGATTGATATAAAGTATAAACTGTGTGATACTGAATGCAAAACCGATAATGAACATCTGATTTTCTTTATTGGTAATTTTATTCTAGCCTGAAGTTTTATGTTTCGACTCAATTTCGCTCATTCACAAAATAACTGTACAAAATTCAGATAGATGATATTGTAGTACAATAAAGAAAGCTGTTAGCCCAATCCCTGTGGGATTAAAATGTGAAACACGGTAAAGCTCCTTTTCTGGAATCCGCCTACCACGGTCTGTGAGGGTCTGTGGAGCTTTTCTGTCACGGCTTGTATTATGGTGTATGGAGTCTCTAGAGACCATCGCAGACCGTTACACAGACTTCAGAAGCCATCACAGACCGTGACAGAGAAATTAATTAATTAATTAACTAGCTGGCTAATTAATTAATTAACTAGCTGGCTAATTAATTAATTTCTTTGTCCCGGCCTGTGGGGGAGGGAGGGTGGAGGATGGGTCCAATTTTCTACCCTATATACTTCAACATTCCTTTCAGATCGTGTTTCACAAAACTAAATAGTTTCATCGTGCAGTGGAAATCATGAAAAATTAACGAGAATATACAATATCCGATACGATAGTAAATAAAAATCATCGATTTGAATTTGTCGTAGTTTTAGAAATCTTTATTCATCGTTAATCGATGAATTCAAACTGCATTCAATCATCTTGACTAATATTGTCTCGTCCATTTATAAATTTAAATTCCTTACTTATTTAAAAATTACTATTGATATGATACTAGCTTTTTTGTTTTGTAATCATATAGATCGACTGTTCTCAAGATGCTCTGATATGTTCAGATCATGATATATTCGGCTATCCAACGTATGTTCAGCAATCAAATAATGTCATTTGATTCTTTAATTATTGTTTTTAGATTAAAATTATTTGTACGTGGAAGTGGTGCACGATACGAAGGTCCGCGTCAGGTTGAATCTCTGGAAGCATTCTATCGAGAAAAATTAGCTGAAGATGTTAATGTATGTTAAAAAATGATGATATTATACATTTATTCTTGTATTTTGTTGTTGTTTCTATTTATTTCAGTTTGAAGATAATGTCGCAACTAAGAAACCTATTACAGAACTAACAACAGAAAATTTTGCTCAAATGACGGCAAAAAATTTTGCATTCATTGTCTTTTTTGCACCATGGTGTAGTCATTGTAAAATGTTTAAGCCTGTTTTTCAAGAATTAGCTAAACAAATGTTTAATATTGATGGATTAATGTTTGCAACCGTAAATTATTTGAATATTTAAATTGATGCTTAGAAACTTTATTTCTTAAGGTTGACTGTACGATGCATCAGAGTCTTTGCGAAAGACAACGCATTAAAGGTTATCCAACATTGATTTGGTTTGAAGATGGTGTTGAAGTAGGATCGAAAAGAATTTTATATTAATATCGAATAAATATATGTTTCTATCATTTTTTAGAAAGATCGTTATGTAGAAGCTCGTGAATTGAATAGAATACAAAATTATATTGAACTAAAACTAAAAGAAGCTAAACATTTAGTTACAGAAGCACCACCAGCAGTTCAGTATGAAGAAGAACAAAATGATGAAGAGTTATCTGAGGTAAGTCTTGAATAGGAAAACTTTGAGAAAGATTACTTTTCACCAAAGACATAAAAGTTTAGATAAACCTACTTTGTGTAGGTAGCTCGAAATTTTCACATCGTTCACACATATAAAACGGTTTCTTTATAGCTGTAGAATCTTTTTTATTTTTCATTATTTTCTGTCTGAAAAAAAGATGTGATTTTTTCAACAGAATCGACAATACTTTTCTCGGCATACACAAATTTTTAATTGCGTATCTCAGAACTCCCAGCAGAGCTTCATTATTGTTAATGATGCTTCTTTTTTTGTTCAAAAATGCATGCCAAAAGATGCTGAACATGTCAAAGTTCTTTTTCTTTAATTAATCTTTGTTACATCTATATGAAAGAGTACTTTTATAATTATTAAATCGCCATTTTTCGAAAAATCAAACTATATTTTGAATTTATCTCTTGAAAAGTAAAAATTTGGAAATAATACAGTCTCTGACATGCTTTTTCAAGTAGAACAACTTTAGTACATACAATCGAATTCCATGAAGAACCGTGTAAGTTAAATGAGCTGCTTTTTCATACTTACGTTAGTACTAGTTGAATATCTTCTAGTAACATCATAATATTGAGCTTAACAATTTCATTACAACTTTCTCATGATAGTCTTACAATATTCTGAAAATTTCATATGATTTAAATATTTCTAACCTACTATTGTTTCATTTTGAAAAGGAAGGGCAATCTGAAAAAAAGATTAACTTTATTTTAGACAGATAATATTCTTAACATCAAAACATTTACACAAGGAGTTAGTTTCGAAGGTTATGCATTCGTTAATTTTGGCGCACCTTGGTGTTCTCATTGTCAAAAATTAGCACCGATTTGGAATCAGCTTGCACACAAATTTTCTCACCATGATGAAATACGCATTTCTCGTGTTGATTGTACAGCAAGTGAATCATTATGTCGAGATTATGGAGTATGTTCTCTATTTTACTCTCTTTTAAATAACTCATTATAATTTTAATTAGATACGTGCTTTTCCTACTCTTATTTTATTTCGTTATGGAGAATCCAAAGTTGAATATAGTGGTTCAAGAGATTTTGATTCATTATATAAGTTTCTTGCTGATCAAATAGAGTTTTTTGGTGATGAATACTTATTTAAACAAGACTATAGAATTAAAAATGAATAGAAAATCTTCAAAACAAAAACGGCGGTTATTTTTATTTATTTATTAATGTTGGTTTTTCTTCTCATGTATTTTACAGTGTGATGAATTTTTTGTGTTATAGTCAAATTAATTGATTGAAAATAATAAAATATTGAACTAAAAATAAAAATAAAGATTCATTCTGTTTCTTTATTTCTGCAACGCAGACAATCAAAAGTCTGATATCTCATGCATATATCATTAATGTATACATTTTTTCTATGATTTTTGATAATAATTGAAATCAGTTGCAATTCGTGTACTTTCTAAATAACAATCGATTCAGATCTTACTACTATATACGTAGCTATATTTACAAGAAAGAGAGCATATGGATCATAAGAATGGAATTTTTTCGTCTGACTTGGAAACTTCATAAATTCCATACTACTATTATATCGTAATACTTGGACATGCGTATACAGAATTTCGTGTGAAATGTAAGCTCTGATGATGTTAATGTTTTTGTTTGATAACTGTTGACTTACTAAAAACTTTTCAGCTTTAGTTCAAATTCTTTAATTTCGATGCAACATGTTTAAGATATTGAATTGATCATATAACATAAGTAGAGTTCAGACCCCTTCATAAGATATAATCATTTTCTGCTATAGTATATTTTACTATCTATATAATATTCTCATGTTTATATCAAATCAGCGTGAAAACTATTCGCATGATAGCCGGTGATAGCTCAAAAATTATATAAAAATCGTGTATGATACATTTCCACGCAATAGAACCATGCAACAATGCATTAGAGTTTAAGGGACTAAAATTATGCACTTAATTTAAAAGGGGTAAATATAAACCAATACCTAAAAATATAGCAATCTATATGTAATTTTAAAATAAACTTATATCTAATATACGATGAATTTATATCTAATTTATTAAGTAACACTACCTAACAACACAAAGTTATATACGATTAATTATTAAAGTAATAGAAAAAGATCTTGAGGGTGCGGAGTGTGGGTGAGCGTGGGTATGAGTGTTTTGATCTCTCTTCACACCCACACCCACACCCTATTCATTTCACATGTTCAATCGTATTCAAATGAGGCTGTGTTAAATGCTTGTCAAAAACAAGAAAAATCATCAAACCCAAACATTGACGAATTTTCCAATGAAATTATTAAGCTGATTAAAAATAGACGCTATATCTAATTTATTTTTCTCGTCTTATAGCAGGACTAAAGACGAGAAACATTTTTTCAATTTCCTATCTGATTACTAAACAGTCAACATTTACGATAGACAACATAAATAAATATACAACAAAAACCAATGTGCATGATAATTGACAAATTGAACGGCAAAAAGACTCTATCAATACATTTTTGTGCAATAACTTTTTGTCCCTAAATTAAAAACTACAATTATATAGATTCGATTTAGAAAATTCAAAAGCTAATAGGACCGTACGAGTGACCGAAACCAATTAAGTATCATATTTGCAATCTGACAAGAGAAAAAATCGCATTATCGGATTCATCGAATCGAAAACCAATGTAATACTGAATAAAAAAATAAACAATCGATCAACATAAAGAAAAGATTCAAGCTTTCTGTTTTTGTCGAATAACTGACATCTTTTTATTGAATCGACGATAAAACTATTTCAACTTGGTTACCTTCATACCGTATACAGAGAGCAAAAAATATTTTATGTAAGTATAAGTATTTTAGTGAGCATAGTTATCTTGAAAATTTACTTAGATTCTACCGATATTTTATTTAACAGATGTTATTATATGTGATCAAACCTTTTTTTAATTTTCTTTTAAACAACAAATATTAATATATAACAATTCAATGATTGAACCATTAATAATAGTGTCAAATTGTAAGTGAAAAAAAATATCATAATTTATTCATACACGCAGTTGAAACGATTTCTTCTTCAATTAATGTTTCGAGACTTCAATGCAATTCGTTTGATGAATAACGTTGACTTTCATTAATAATAGACGTAAAACTTCAAAAGATTATAGCCAATGAAAAATTGAAGTCACTCAGGAATGTAGTTTCAATAACTTGAACATGTCTTTGATTTAATTTTGCTTATTTATCTTTCTTCAAAATAAATTCGACATAGATAAAGCATCATTTACATCGAGTAAAGTATTCAAACATTTACTTTTTACGAATGAAATAACAATGTTATAATACATTTGTCTAGTCATTAATTAAGCGGGCAAAAGACAGTAGCAACTAAAAGCAAATGAGAAAAAAAATCATAGGTTTCCATTGTTCTGATTTATTAATACTATAGCTACAGTTTATGTATAAATAAATCAACATGAAAGAGCTCATATGATGTCATGCAAAATAGTCTATAAAAGTTAGCCGTATTTTTATTGCGGAAAGAAAACGTCTGAATAGGAAAATCATCGATTGCCTATAACTATGAAGAATAATATACTAATAAAGAATAACTACGTGGATTCTTAAAATTCATTGAAACATTTAATGAAACACAGTAGTGGCTAAGTTTTTTCAACATAGACATGTAATTTTGTCTTTTTCTAAAGTTGGAAAAAGTATCATAGATAGTATTGTAAAATCATGCTGTTTTCTCAATATTGCATCTCATGAGAGCAATTAAAAGAATATTTTCAATTACGATATAATAATCGACTTTTTATTGTCTTATAAAAGAAAAAATCGTCTCCAAGATACTCTTGATAGGGAGAATTTAGTTTTCATCAAACTGCTACTTAAACGTGTTTCTTTTATATTAAATTATATTAAAATATGAAGAAAAAAAATAAATGAATAGAAAAATCATAGCTTTCAATAAATTAAATACTATATTTATATTTCACAGAATCAAATTGTTCTTATTCGTATTACCGATCGCAAAAGATACTCTTATTGAAAACAACTAATATGTACAGTACATTTCTATAATCATTAAGTTTAAAGCTATTTCTTTCTAATTTTCCTTTATTAATGCTATCAAAGCGCAGCTGTTTGACATTTGCAGCGTTCTTTTTCTCGAGAAGAAAAATGGTACTATATTGACATCCTCGACTGCATTAAAAACATTAGCATATAATACTGATAACAACAAACTAATAGAAGTCATAACCTTAATAGCATGCATAATAAGATGATGTACTGTATGCTCTTTGCTAGTTTACTTCTCATAGGATTCAGTGAATCGCACACCGTTCAAGCAACAACATCTATAAATCAAACTTGTCTCAATTTTGGTCATCAAAATAATTGTCAATTTTATAAATGTTTTGAGGAGCGTTTTCCTTGTGGGCCAAATTATTGGATGTCAAAATGGGGTCATAAATATTGTACGCGTATGAGAAAATCTTTGTCAAACTTTGATAGAAATGGTCAAGAATTAATCAAACAAATATCTACATGTTTAACAAATAAACTAATCAAACAACGCTATTACACAATGAATGTTATTAATTGTGAAAATTTACGTTTAGCTGGACAAAGAATTGTACATGAATGTTATATTACAAGCGCAGAATTATTTTGTAACGCATTTAAAGGAAAAAATCGTAATTGTTTTAATCAATTAATTGATAATGAAGATAGACAAGATTTAACTCTCATACGTACATTATTAGCAGTCGGTCAGAGATGTACACCAAAAAAAGGACTTGCTGATATGAGACCAAATGGTAAAATGGATACGTGTATACCTACATCTAAGCAGTAAAACGAATCAGTGTTCTTGCAATTATAGAAATCAACTGAATGCTTAGTATTATAGATGGATATTCATTCAGTATATATTATATCAAAAAGTACTTCTTTTTCTTTTTTTTTCATTTTTATAATTGTTCACCGAAACCTAATAATTTTACTCTTGTTAAACCAAAATTTACTTAGAAATAAAAATAAATTTAAACTTAAGAGAAAATGTCATGTTTACCCATAAAATATTATAACACGCATTTTTTTGAATGAATAATTCTTTCAATCTTTTTTCTTTGGTGTTCATACATCAACGAAGGTATTCTAAAATAATCGTTTATTTATATTATAGTTAGTTAGTTGTTACTAAAATGATTTGGTTTTCTTGAAAACTTTAGAGTACAGATTTGCATGAGCTGTCTGTTTCCGGAGATGTATATGTGTGAATGAACACGAAGAAAAAATAAAGGAGCAAAAGCAGAAAAAAAGAAATATGCAAGCTATCAAGGAAGATAACAATGGAGTAATAGATAAAATGTAATTATTCTTTTTTTGCGTCTGAATTAAATAATTTTCCTTGTGTTTCTGTATTTAGTCGTGGGTTCTCTCGACAGACCAACATAATATTTTGAAGGAGAGAGATAAATAATTTGAAATAGAAAGAGAGAGAGAGAGAGAGAGAGAGAAAGACACAGAGGGAGAGAAAGACACAGAGAGAGAGAAAGACAGAGAGAGAGAGAGTGAGAAGGAAAAGTAGAAGAAAAAAAGATTCAGTTACATAGTTCATTTTTGCCGCTAGAATATTTTTAGATGGATGTTTCACTTATCATTTGTCGTTATTTTATGTCTAAAATTTATATATCTTTTTATTGACTCATTTAGATGTTGAAGCATGCTTTCTTATTTCCGCTTTTCTATTCGTTGTGTGTAAGTTTCGATTAGTACATGCTCATTTCTTTTCTCTAAATATACTTCTGTCTTTGTCTAATCATATACTGATTATGATCGATGAACAATCTTTAAAAGCAGAATAAATTTTCTTGTCACAAAAAGAAATAATTATCCTTCTACATTGTAAAGTGCAGCTTAAGATTTCCTGTCACATAAGAAAAGACTTATAATATCGATGTAGATAACTTTTCCCTCATAATTTTACATGTAACGCCACAAGTACTTGAAACACTTAGCGACGCTTATCAAAATGTAAGGAAATATAAATATATACCATCTAGATTGTAGATAGAACTGCATCATTTTTTATTATTCATAGTATTGGAGTATTCAAATTGTTGTTGTATTGATCTCATAATCTTTTTATACTTCCAATGGATTAATATACACCAAAAAGTTCGTAGGTTCAAGAGGACTCTGCTTTTTTTCTTCATATAAGAATAGTTACATTACAATTTTAATGAATAAATAGATTGAGATATAAGTTCATAATTCTATGGAAAATGCAAAACAATTACTTACGTCGATATCCTTTTATTCATGCTACAAGTTGAATACAATAAAAAGAGGGGTTGTATTCAACTTGAATGACTTCGCTAGTTAATTTGTTTCAGTCCATGTAATTGAGTGAGCATCTATATAGAAGTAGTTTTCTTCGTTTTTCTCTTTCCCCTGAAGCTTTTCTTGTTGCATTATAAAAGACCATGCAATGATAACATTTGATCTCCTGTTCGTTTTGCTTGCCACATAACTCTTGTCCCTTATTCAATGTTCGATCTTGTAAGACAAAAATTTAACCAATGATTAACATTTTTATTCTGTTCTATATAATCTTTTATAGATTTCCAGATATGAGACACGTTTTCGCTTCTGATCATAAAGGACATTAAGAATTTTAAACAACTTTATTTTATCGTAGGTAGATAAAGAAAAGACGTAGTATCGGTGATCAAAAGAGAAATCAAATCGTGGTGACAGAGCCTTTGTTTTTTTGTATGTTTAACTCGACTGTAGCGATTAGTCGTTCTTACCACAGGACAACACAATCGTGTTATAGGCCATCTTTTTTTAATTTTCTACCTTAGATAACAGCTATTTATTACCTGTCGCGTTTAATAATAATTCAAACAACAAGAAAATTTTGTTTAAAAAGAACTAGTTGATCATATTCTAGATAATTAACCGATTGTCCTATTCCTCTCTTGCACACGCACTCTATCAAAGACCAGAAAAAGAAAAAAATTAATAAAGAAAATTACAAATCATGGCAAAAATTTCATCATTAGCAGCATCATTGAGAACTTATCCAAAGATGTCATCGTCTATTTCGACTCGACAACATTCCTTTTTATCACCATTTGTGATGAGCATGACCATAGTTATTCTTCTCGTGAGCGTTTGTCCATATGTCACTTCTTCACCAACATCCGTTGATCAGAACAATGAAAACAAATACGAATCGAATGGACTTATGCTCGATTCAAGTAATTATCAAGGAGTATCAACAGGTGAATCATCATTATTATTATCACCAACCGTCCAACACTTACTTTCTCGACGAGCATCATGGCGTTTTACACAACCCCGCACACATGCCAATCAATTTTTAATGGCTCCTACAAATGATAACGAAGTAATTTTACCGAAATGGTATACACGGGTTAATAATAATGATAAAACATATGATATTAATAATAATGATGATAATGATGATAATGATGATGATTTAGACGAGTATCTTTCACCGAATGTTTTGTTTACTAAACGGTCAAAATATTCAAATACTGGAAAACCTTCGAATTTAAACAAACGTAAACAAGTAACAAAAGCGCCTATGGAAGTCATGAATGAAATCGTCAATTCAATTTATCTTTAACGTTGAAAATTATTCAAAAGCAAATAAAAACCATAAATATATTTATTGAAATCTGCTAACTAAACTGTTTAACAAAATTAAATAAATAAAGAAAAATCAATATGCTTATAGCATTCATTATCCTGCATAAAATATAGTCTTTTACATTGAATTTATTTGGACACAAGAAACTAGAGGTTTTTCTATTTCTTCATCAACCATGAGCTATATAAAGTCTATTTTACTATTGTATCAAAGCAATACTTCAATTTTTAGTTTCAATTGCTTTTAAGACGTTCCTGTATACATCTGATATTCTAATCTTCGATCAAGTTAGATAGAGAATATTTTGACCTTTCTATTAATAGTCTTCTTAAAATGGGCAAAACTAATGTTCATGCAATCATTTGCATAGGTCATGTTCTTGTGTTCTGTGAATCCGAAAATCGTGCATTTCAAATCAATGAACTAAAATTTAAAATGATATTATTTTTCTATGTAACTATGTGGAACCAATACGAAAATATGTATAAAATTTTCAAGATATATAAGTGATACACAAGTCTAACAATATACATGTACGTACCCTAGTCGAACTTTGTTTTTGCAAGCGCATGCAATTCTTGCCTTTCTTGATCAAAGAAAGTCAAGAACTATGGACACATCTTGAGGCAAGACATGAACCCTTTCGGTGAGCTCAAGTTCTTAAACTTTTTGTTCATGCGCTTGAATTTTTATCTAAGCGTTTCTGTTATTGTAAAGAACTTTTTCAACTTTTTTTTTCAATTTTACTTTCACAATAACTCAACTTTTAATAAAAAATTATAGTTGTATTTTTTTTTTGTAACTCATGCAAACATTGAAGCGCTTGTCTTGAGCAAGAAAGTCATGCGCTATGGACGCATCTTGTGCTTAAATCTTGCAAGCGCATCAATAAAAAAGTTCGGCTAGGATAGTATACAAAGCGATCAGGATGATATGGTTTTCAAGCATATTATAGCTATAATAATATAATTGGATTTGATTATGTTGTTTTTTGTGGAATCAACCAGAGTGGTTTGTATTCTGTGCAGTTATTTTACATGTTGTATGGATCGAATTCTTCTAATGGATTGTTCGATAGTGACCTCTATATCTTCGTTAGAGTTATATTTCAATGAATGTTTCAATAAAATCCATCGATCATCAACTTTATGAAGTACGTCTAATTAAAAAAATTAGAAAAAATAAAATTAATATTGAGTTTTGATGTTATGTTATATGTATGGTCAATATAGTCCTACATTGTGATTCGTGTTTTTCTCTTCCATTTTTTACATGAAAACTGTAAATAGCAGTATTTTTAAGCTATGTATTCAAACAAATTCATAGTTTCGTAATATTTATCTTCTAAGATGTACCTGAATGTTAATTTTCAGATTTTTTTGTTTTTAAACACACAACCAATATCATGGGTCCCAAATTCGATCCAACAGCTGTTTATGAAAGTATTCTAATTTTCTATTAACTATTTCGTTTGCACAATAGTTGTTTTGTTACAGTTATGGTACGTGTCACTGGCGGTGAAGCACCAGGTGGTTCATCTTTGGCTCCTAAAATTGGTCCTCTTGGTCTCGTGCGTAGCCTTAAATTATTGTTTCGTCATAGTCATTCAAGATTTTTCTTTATTTTATAATTTATAGTCGCCGAAAAAGGTTGGTGACGATATTGCTAAATCAACAAGTGACTGGAAAGGCATGCGAGTAACAGTCAAATTAACTGTGCAAAATCGTAATGCTAAAATTGATGTTATACCTTCGGCATCATCACTTGTGATCAAAGCACTTAAAGAACCACCACGTGACCGAAAGAAACAAAAAAACAGTTAGTTTGCATTTTTTATTTTCTCCGTTTTATTTTTTCTTGGTATTCTGTAGTTAAACATGATGGTAATGTTTCAATTGATGAAATAGTTAAAATTGCACGAATCATGCGATCACGTTCATTAGCTAAAACATTCGACGGAACTGTAAAAGAAATTCTTGGTAAATATATGCAAAAGAAATTTTGATGTTATTTTTATTGAATGACTACTGTTCATCTTAGGTACAGCTCAATCAGTTGGTTGCAAAGTAGAAGGCTCACATCCACACGATATTATCAATAAGATAAACAACGGTGAAATGGATGTACCACGAGATTAACTGACACATGAAAAACACATCCGAATGTTGTTTTTATTAAAAGAAAAATAAAATAAGAAGATATCAGGATTTTCTCTAAGTTGTTCACCTTGCTTTTTCGACTGAGTCGAAAATGAAATTTAGTATTTATTTCAAAAGAACAGCACAAAAATGTGGTTTTGAGTTTTCATAATTCACAAAACAGCCTGGTTATAACATTTCAAATCATCGTGTTACACGTGACATTGACGAACCATAGGATTTAGTGTAGATGGAAACTGCTTGTAGACATTTCTGCATGATATTTACTGTATCGATGAGAATACATATGTAAAACACAAGCGCATTTTTCCGAAAGATTTTTCAACATGCAAAAATAGTTGGGGGGGTTGTCGTGTTGTTGCAATCATATCAACTAAGAAGTGAAGTGACAAGAAAGCTACAAGCAAAAACCGATGATTATTAAGCCTCGTGTAATTTAAGCGAGAACAAATGCTGTTTTTTATTGTTTCAAAATTGAGAAAGATATTAGATTCTGGAAAATCAATCGTCATAGATATTCAGATCTATTATGAATTTTGGTATAAAATTATTATCAAATAGTTTCATAACGCCACGACATTTTCCTCCCAAGATTGATTTTGGTTTTCGAGAAAATATTTAATCGTTTTATAACAATGAATTTTATTCGAAAAACAACGATTAGCAAAAATGAATGCCTTCGACATTGAATGCATGTAACAATCTAAATAAATAATTCGAAATCAAATTATTATAAAATGAAAATCAATTTGCCTACCCAAGAAAATCATCGAGATCCATATGTCTTGCACGTTTATCAGCAAATTGATTGGCTGAAAGAATCTGTTCAATTTTTGTTTTTATATTAAAATCAGTCGGTACAATCTAAAAAAAGTCATGTTTTTTTAAAAGAAGTTGTTTTTCTCTGTTTAACTTACTTTACTATGAACTGAACAATGAATTCGATAATTCTTTTCTAATAATTCAATAACTTTCTTTTGTCTAAATAAAAAAGCTAACAATTTGTTTTCAATAAAATTAAAATATTCACTTGAATTCGGATGATAAAAGTTTATTTTTTCTTGTGAAACAGATTCTTGTTAGTCCATCCCATTCCTAAATGAACAATTCTTATTAATATAAAAAGTTAATAAATAGATGCACTTTTAACCTGATAGTTAACAGCTGGCGGTGGATTTTTCGGTTCGATTCTTACAACACTCGATTCAACTTTTGGTGGTGGTCGAAAATTATTTTTTCCTATCTAAATATTTAGATTAATAATACAGTAATACAATAATTATCTAATAGTACAAACTTTCATTAAATGATCAACACGAGCTAAAAGTTGAGTATTAACAGATAAACGGCAATAAAGTTTTTCACCAGGTTTAGCAACCAGACGTTGTGCAAATTCACGTTGAAACATAACAATAGCACAACGAAATATGGGTCGATGCAAGAGTAATTTGAAAACAAATGGACTTGAAATCTGATAAAATTGAAGAAATATTTTGCTTTCGAATTAAAGAAAAGCTTATTTTTCCTAATTTTACCTGATATGGTAAATTAGCAACACATAAATCAAAAAATGGCAATTCAGTTTTTAATACATCACCAATAACAATATCTAATTTTGATTTAAATGGTCTAGTTAATGAGTAAAATTAAGTAAAATCATTTAATAGAAAAAGCAATTCAACTCACGTTCCTTGAACTCGTTTTTGAAGTTCAGCAACAAGACGTGGATCGATTTCATAGGCAATCACCTAATTATTGTAAATGAAATTCTTTATACATGATCTCTTATTATAATTACCTTCTTTGCTTTTTCCAAGAGACGTACAGTTAAATTACCCGTTCCTGGACCGATTTCAACAACAACATCAGTCGGACGGATAGCTGCCTGATAAATGAAGAGCAATGTTTTTTGTTTGCTTTTTAATAATTAACAAACAAGAATTACTTTCTCAACCATGCTTGTTATAATAAGAGGATTTTTTAGAATATGTTGACCAAATTCCTTATTAAAATTTATTCCTATACATAAAAAGACCGATGTTGAAGAAATGTTTAGAAAACTCAAAAATAATGTACCTTCTTTTTGAATTTCTTTATGAACTCGACTCTTTTTTTGTGCCCGTTCTTTCGGCATCTTTTTATTCTATATCTAAAAAAAAGCGTGGTGAATGAGTGGATTCAAAAGGAACAGGACGTAATGGGACATTTGTTTTCTTCGTCTACATATACACCAATCAAAAAAAGAAAGAGAAGGAGAAAAAACATGTTAGAATTTGTCTTTTTAAATCACCAACGTGTCTTAATCGATGTTTGAACATATTCTTTATATTTAGCATTTTGAAGTTGTGCTTTAAATCTAGCTAAGCGCTCTTCATATGGTGGGCCAAAAAGTGGATTTCCACGTCTCCAATGATGAATATCCGACCATCCACCAGGTACACTGCTGTGGGTCACATAACCTGTATGAGCTGCATTATAAAGACCTGCAGATACACCTCCAAGAACGTATGCAACTGGAATTGATACTCCAACAAAACGAGTATTTCTAATCCACATTGCTGATATTAATACGCCAGATAATGCGCCAACAAGTGCTGCGTCAATATCGCGACCTAATTCTGTTTTCTGATAGCCACGTAAAGCACGAACAACAGGCCAGGAACCGCAATAAATGAGACATGACGCTGTGAAAAATGCGCAAGGCCGAAGTGCACGAAATATAGCAGCATTCGCAGGAATTTGATATCGAGTACGAAGATTACGATAGCCAACTGAAAGAATATAAATAAATAAATGAAAATCTCAATCAACTTTATCTTACCAGCATAAATAAATATAGATGCTTTCAAACCAAAGCCAAGACCAGCTACCATTCGTTGAGGAATTGGTGCATCAACATCTTGTGACCACATGCCTGTTGTTGTAAATTCTTTCAAAGATTCCCAGCCATTTTCACTCCAAAAAAATCTTGCTGCGACACGTGTTGGTGCCCAACGATAATAATGCCAGTAATAATCATAACTAAAACAAACAAGGGAATAGTTTGATGCATTGAAAGAAAATAAATTGTTCAATATCTTACAAATCTTTAAGTTTTTCAAGAATAAATCCACCCGATGAACGATGTGGATGTTTTAGTAAACGAACTGGATAAGAGCCCGTCGTATCAGTAAATTCATTACTACCAATTGTTTCATTTGCTGGTCGATTACTCGCTACAAGCGAGTTTTCATTAGATTTTACTTTACTATCGTCAGGCATGAGTAAAGGAAACACCAATGAATCCTTCGAAATAGCTTTTTCTTTTTCTTTTCAGTTATGGACTAAATGGATTTAACGATGGTATGTATGGAAAGAGTCTTGTCCAATTATAGTCAAATGTTTTTTCAATAGAGGCGCCACCAAGCAATTCTTCAAGACAAAAAATTTACTACCGACTGAGGTACTATATTTCTATTTGTTTACGTCATGGCAAAACTTTATTCGTCTTCTTTGCTTTCGTTATCTCGCCTTTTCCCCTGTCGCACATATTTCACAAAACGATTTGTTTCTACAACGATGACATCGTCTCATGATAATACGTTGAAACAGAAAAGTTCTGATACAAAATCGGAGAATTTATTAGCAAAACGTTTTCTTGGATTAGAAAAAAATATTTGGTAATCAAAGTCACCATGATTTCTTCATTTTTTTTTCATAAACTAAAGTTTTGTTTTTAGGATTGAATTTAGCGCATTGGCTATTGCGCATAAAGCTGTCAATGTAGGTCAAGGATTCATTGATTATGCACCACCACATTATTTTATTGACTTATACAAGGAAACTCTTGATGATCCTAACATACTTTTACATCAGTATACACGTGGATATGTAAGTTTAGTTTAAAGGTTTCTAATTTTCATGAATATATTATCACAAACAAAGGGCCATCGGCGATTAGTTGATGCTATCTCAAATGTCTATTCGCCATATTTCAATCGAAAAATCGATCCATTGAATGAAGTTCTTATTACAGGTGGTGCTTATCCGTCACTTTTTAATTGTATTCATGCTTTTGTTAATCCTGGTGATGAAGTAAACTGTTTTTCATCATTTCTACAATGTTTTCTCAAGCTACTAAATATGTATAGGTTATTCTAATTGAACCATTTTTCGATTGTTATGAACCAATGGTCCGCTCAGCCGGTGGCATTCCACGGTGTATAGCACTTAAACCGGTACTTGCCATGAATTCTTCTACTTTGATTAATTCTTGTCTTTGATTATATCTAGAAACCTGAATCAACTCAAGCTGATTGTTCATCGAGTTCTGATTGGATACTCGACAAAAAAGAATTAGAATCACTATTTAATCCTCGTACTCGGCTTATTCTAACGAATACACCAAATAATCCAGTTGGAAAAGTACCTGAATTCATATTTTACTTTATTTTTGAAATAAAATAAGATAAAATTTTATTTTTAATTTCGAAAAAAAACAGGTTTTTACACAAGAAGAACTTGAACATATTGCATGTTTATGCCAAAAACATGATGTTATTTGTATATCCGATGAAGTTTATGAATGGATAGTTTATGACGAAAATAAAAAACATATACGCATGTCAACATTACCAAATATGTGGGAACGAACATTAACAATAGGAAGTGCAGGAAAAACCTTTTCATCAACCGGTTTAAAACTAGGCTGGACCATTGGACCATCAAATCTAGTTCGCGGATGTCAAATTGTTCATCAAGTAAGATAATCTGTTGAACATGAAAAAAGTGGAGAAAAATTCGTGTATTCAGGATTGTGTTTATACATGTCCAACAATATCACAAGAAGTTGTTGCACGTTGTTTTGAATATGAATTAAAACGTTTAAATTCTCCGGAATGCTATTTTAATTATATATCTAAAGAATTACTTGAAAAACGTGATAAACTTGTTCAAGTTTTAAAAGAATGTGGAATGAAACCAGTGATACCTGATGGAGGATATTTTATACTCGCTGATTTCAGTGAATTTGGTTTGTTGAAACATAATTTTGCTTGACATTTATCAATATCTATACGTTTTTCTTTCTATACGAAATGATAGGCGATCAATTCCAATCGGATGCTGATGATATGAAAGATTTCAAATTTGTTCGACATTTAACGAAAGAAAAAGTAACTTTTTCATGTTGATAGTATGAAAAAATATTTTGTTGTGTTCTAGCAACTTGCTACTATTCCTGTGACTGGTTTTTATACAGCTGATGATCGTCATTTAGCTGAAAATTATATTCGATTTTGCTTTGCTAAAGTAAGTTTCTAATGAAATAATTAATATGACTTGATAAATCTTTTTCATTGGACGTTCTTTTAGAAAGATGAAACACTCGATAAAGCAATTGAAATCCTTCGAAAGCTTAAAGCAAATTAAAAAATTGATTATTAATGACTTTACGGAAAAAGAAAAAAAGAGTTGCGCTTTAGTATTTCTTCCAGTTACGTTCATACACTTCGTATTTATTAAATCGTGAATTTTGTTTGATTATTTATATCTATTGAGTGTTCTTCTTTTTATCAAACTGCTAACACAATATATCTCAGTAGTTTGTTCATAAAATAACTAGTAGATTGTTTTTGACGTTGTATATAGCTATAATTCACATGAATATACTATATAGACATTCACTAATGTTTAAGTCCTTTCGTGCTTTTCCCGCCATAATTATTCGGACACGAACTTCATCTAATTTCGATGTAGAAAATGTTTCGAAATAAACGATGGCTTCTTGGTATTATGGTGGGTGTGAATTATTCCTGCTGAGAAACAAAGATCATATTGTTCATATATGATTGATGCTCATCTCTAATTTTAAAAACCATCATCATCTCACATAGGATTATGAATAATAAATGTACCAATTGTCGGATATATTATTCTTGTGAAAGAATCAATGTCGTAACGAATCGATAATAATAATATATAATTTAATCATCTATGTGAACATCATTGATTAGAATTTCGATAATAGTTAAACATCTATTGACTATTGGTGCATACAACTGAAAATCATTTATAGTTGTATTTAACGAAATTCGATTATATTTACATGCATTAAAATACAACATGTTATAAAAATAGTCAACACCTTGATAATGACTAGACAGTAACAAGATTACGATTACCCAAAACTACTATTCATTTAAAATAAAGAAATATTATTCGCTACATTATTAGTATCAGATACTCTCACAGTGACAATATTTATAGTCGTACGTTATATTTTACCTTATGAATCAGCTCAATGGTACTTAGTGTATAAGAAACAGTCATCAAAGCAAGCAAAAATAGTTCGCATACAAATGAAACATTTCAATATTAGTAGAGAATTAAAAGCAAAAAGAAAATATCTTCTAGCATTTAGATGAATAACAATTGTAAGAACTTCGGTTCTTATCTTCATTTTAGAACTATTATAGTGGCATAAATTGAATTTTTCTGTAGAGATATCTTTAGGAATATAATTCGAAGAACTATGCTCTTGAAACTACAGATGTCAACTAATCATTTTTACATACAAAATAAACAAATTTTACTTCATCTATATTCGAAGACATACATAATTATTTTCTATTTGATATGACTAGTTTACTAAAACAGTCATTGCTGCTGGCATTACTGATTCAAGCGCCTTATCAGATATAATACTTCTGTAGAGTTGTAAAAGTTTTCTATGATTGATATACATAAATTGTTGGTGAAAGTTAGTATGATCGATTGCCATTAGATACTCTAATTTTGCAAGATAATCTCAATTGCTAAAACAGAGTATTAAGCCTTAATTGCTAAGTAGTCAATGAATTAGAAGTCAATTGAATCAACTGAATTGCACAAAATTTTTCAACAGAATATCAGATATTGTATTATATTTTATAAGCCGAAAAATTTTCAGCAAAAATAAATTGTAACAGTGCTTTGTTTTTAGTTAGTATACATCGTTCAACAAATTGATTCTATAATGTTGCTATTTGAATTTCTTTTTCTATATAAAAATCGCAATCATCTTCTTGAAATATTCTATGATCTTTGTCATCACTTGATATTTTAGATTTAAATGACGAAGGTTACCGTCGTATGAATTTATTCTTATCTAAATAATAACTCTTAACGTATTGAATTAACAATATAATCATTTCGGTTTTTTCAATCGTTATCAACCAATAACTGGTTCAAAGTTTATTGTGCTTAACATTAGGAATATAGCCAATCGCTGGCGATACTAAGATTTCAGCAAAGAAAAGTATTTCAAATTACTAAGAAACGAAAAAATAATATTTAGAAAACTTGAATAATTACTAATACAAAAGAAAGACAGCCGAGAGAGATTATGAAGAACACTTCAGAAGAAATTATCCATGTTTGAAAAACTTCTGTAACATTCATATGGTTAATTGATGCTATAATTTTATAAAATGTAGACGTTTTTCCTTCACAATCATAAAAATTTTCAGTCTATAAGATATTTATCATTAATAAATTGAAATGTTAGCCATTCACAAAAGTAACAAGCTAACATCGATTTTTTTTATTATGAATCGGTAGTTACAGAACTTTTCTGAGAATTTCCTTCCTCATATGTTGATTATTTCGTGAAGAAATGTCCTAAAGAATCTTAGGATATACCTCTTTAGGATAAGAACGATAATGACGCAAAGAAAAGAAACTTTCATAATGATATACTACTACTTGAACATTTATATGATTATGATTTGGATTTATAATCTTTGATTTTTATATCAAATAATGCAGCACATAATAGATAACGTTTGAAAGTTTATCGTTCCGTCATGAACAACATCAGAAGTCATGAATTTGATTGTTTGTTCCTCTACTGAGCGAGACTAACCAGCTAAAAACGATGTTGTTTTTCTTAGATTTATAGAATAAATTGTTGATACCATTGTGTATCCCGATTTTTTTCTTTAAGTAAACGAAATTTTAAAACTCGCAAAACAAAATCATTGAGATATTACAGTTTTCTATGAATATAACAAATATGTTCGATCACTAGAAAAAACTTCCTATTTTTTACATTGAATTTTCATAGAATTAAGCATTTTTAAATATCTTACATGGTGTTCTTTAGGAGTAAAACGAAAATATTCTTAACTTTTAAAAAAAATTATTTGAAACTCAAATTGATCCAGGTTTTTCTTATCAGGGTACTGCGTAACATTTATAGGTTAAAGTTTATCGTAATTCATGAAAATATGGAACATAAAAATAAGCTAAAATTTGAAAGAAATGCATAGAAAATTCTTTTTTCTATATTCTTTATTTTTGTACAAAGAAATATTACACTATTATGCTCACGATATATTCACTAGTTAAAAGATTAGAATGAAAAAGTATTCTTTTGATATGCTGTTCGACAAACAGGACAGTTAGGTGTTGGATCACAACAATATTCTTCAAACATTTGTAAACATGTTGCATGGAAGACATGTGTACAACTGAGTAATATTAATGGTCTTTTCGGTTGCTGTAGTTCTGCTTGTTTTATTGCAGTTGGTTTTTGTTCGATGGGTTTTAATTGTGGAAATAATTTTTCTAGTTTATTTTTATTTGTTTTAATGGGTTTTTTTATATTTTTAAAAACGGCTTCGATATTAATTGGTTGTAGTAAACATTTACAAATAGAACATTCAAGTTCATGGCGTAGTTTCGCACGTTCTTGTATTTGTTGCCATTCATCTTCATCAATAGTACGTATTCGTGCATCAAATGCTTGACGAATAGCACGTGCACGTTCCACATTTCGATCAATTTCATTAAATAACTCATTTAAATCAAAATCACATGATGCTACAATGCGATCTGTTATTTCAGATAATTTATCTTGATAAAATCTTCGACGTAATTTTGTGTCATTTGGTATATTTGACATATCAAGACGAAAACTTTTATACCATTGTCGAACAATGTAACCACGCCATGCAGCTTGTATACGAGCTGCACATTTGGCGCGATGAATTTTTGCGCCTTCATAAATGATACGTTTTTCATATTGTGCACGACGACATATAGGACATGTTCGTTGATCAGAACCATTCGCTTTATAGGAAACAAATCTTTCAAATGTTGTTAGGCAAGCTCGATGAAAAACATGAGAGCATGATAGTAAAACTTGTGGTCCAAGACCAAAATCTTCTTGGCATATCGCACATGGACAATTTGAATCTTCGCGATCATTTGAACGTTGTTTTATTTCACCCCAGGCTGCTTCAGTTAAATGATTTTCTGCGTCATTATTTTTCACTTGAATCAGTCCAATACGCTCAGCCAATGTTCCTCGCTGACGATGAGGTATTATAGTTTGGGAATCTTGAATAACATATTCACGTTCACCATCGGGTTTTGTTATGGGTAACGTTTGTGTTGAAGCTGATGAATTTGTTTCCGATTTCTTTTTTAGACCAGTATCAATAACTGATTTAATTTGATTTCTTGGAATCGGCCGCGGTCGAATTATATTTTTATTTGAAAGACGACCAGGCATACTAAGGTCAAGAGTTCGTGCACGATGATCTTGTATAGCACTACTCATTAATGCTGAACTATAATTAACATTATCGCTACCACCTAAAACAGATAAAAAAACAAATGATAAAAGAAACAGTTGATTATCTATACACGTGGCTTTTATTTTGTATTACCTCTCCCTTTAGTTGCCATGATCGTCATTCAATAAGACTTAATATGTTATTTAAAGAATTCTTCTGTTATTTCTTTTTTATTATTCGTTCTTCGATAGTAACCGATAAAAATAACAGAAAAGAAAGAATTTAACAACAACGAGAAAATATTTCTCTGCAATAATTTTATTTTCAAGAAATAGGTAAAAAAAACCAGAAAGGAAAAAAATTAATTGATTGATTATTTGAAGGATACTATACTATGATTGGCAATGATAAATAAATGAAAAAAATGAAATAGTTGAGAAAAGATAAAGAAATGATTGAATCTTTTGGGTCAATAAAATTATTTTTTTTTATCTAAAAATTTCCCTGTTATAGCTATAGCTAGAGTACATATTTACTTTTGTAGGAGAATCGTACTTTGTTAAAATAAGTTTGTCTATCAGAGCAGTAATAGAAATATATTTAGCTTTCATTTTTACAAAAGACGATATCGACGATGATAAAAAATATTCTATTGATCATTGGAATAGAACTTCTTTTTATTTTAATCGATCATTGTCAAGCATTGAATAATACAGGTTTTTATTTTTTTCAATATAATATGCTACTATTCCTTTATTTATTTATTTTTTGATAAATTATTTTATGTTCAATAGATTCAACAGAAAATATAACTGAAATTATTCAATCTAAACCATTTGTTTATTACGGTCGCTACCATCAGCGACGTTCTCGTCATGATTATTCATCTAATGATGTAACATCTGATATTAATACAATCGGTAAGATTCTTTCAATTCTTCCGGATGGTTTTGGTGCTATTATTGGCCAAATCGTGTCAGCAAGTCTTAAAGAAATCGTTGGTCCCAATGTTGGGAATAAAATTTTAAAGATTCTTGAAAACCAAACACCATCACTATTAACATCACTTTTTACTAATATTTTGAACAGTTTTCGTTCTCCAATGCGTTCATCAACGGGGAATACTACGCGTCTAATCAATAAAAGTATTCCTAAATCATCCAATAATAGTTCAATATCAACATTCATGAATTTCATACGACGTCCTAGAACCAAATAAAATAATTTCTTGCCTGTGATGCATACTTCCCTTTTTTGCTTGAAACAATAATTTCTGTAATATTTTTTTTTAATTTTTAAATCAGTATGATCTACGGCTACGATAAATATTAAATTTTAATTCTTAAATAGTATCACTGCATAAGCTGATGCAGAATCATGCAATAAATTGCGAGCGTATTTTTTGCATGACTGAAATCTAATATGATATTTACAAATTTTAACATAAGTGATATAGTTTTTCAAGTGAAATCTATTGGAACATTTTCATAAATCATAATTGAACTAAATCACAATTGTATGCGAATCGAAGAAAAATATAATTACGAAATCATTTTTCGTCTAATGATAAAGTTTATTATCATGAAAGACTAGTTCTAGATTCACTATTATAGTAATACTTAATATGTCATGATTATGATATGTCATTTTTTTTTATTTTCTATTACTATCTATCATTTGTTGCACCACAAGAAACGCATCATTTACATTCCTAGGCAGAAAGAAAAATATGTGGACATGCTAGACGCGACCTCTTATACCACATTATTTTTCTTTTCGTGTGAACCTTAATTTCATACCCTCCTGAGTCATCATCATTGTTGAATGAAAGAATCAAAGGAAAAGACCAGACAAAGTTCTTGAATGAGTCGAGGCTTCTCGTAAAAAAATATATCATTGGCTAATAATTTACTTATTATTTAGAGGAGTTCATCGAGTTAGTATTCAGCACTTTTCCCTTTGAATGCGACTCCATGGAGCTCCTGTTTGATGTTGATAGAGAAAGTTATTTATTTCAAATAAAATTGTAATTTAAAACTAAAACAAGAGAAAAATACTTTTGAAAAGTAATTTTATGATTATGCATCATCATTATGTTGTTTTTGGAAGTAAAAGACAGCTCAAATTAAATACATAAATTGAAAATTTCTAATATCGATGATTTGATTTCAGGTTGATTCTTTCTGTTCTTTTATTTTGACCAATGTGAATATGATGAAGACTGATCTTCTTTCATCTATCGAAAGGTGTGTCAAACTTAAATGACAATGAATTTGTCGTAGGTATAAAACTAACTTAGATCGAATCAATGAACCTTTGACATGAGAAAATAAAGCACAGGCTATTAAATTTAATGATATACTAGATAGAAATCAGATCTTAAAAGACTTTGTTTGTAACATAAAATAATAACAAAAGCAAGAACAATTCTTTTTCTTGTTCAATATAAAGAGAAAAGATTGCTTTCCAATTTTATCTCTGTTCTTTTCTTTCTGCTAGCGAAATAAAATAGCGTTAAGTTTGTTCGCTTGCACTGCCGCTATTGAATTGGCAATATGGTCGTTGCCCTCGTCGTCGATGTCGTTTTCTCCTCTTTCTCTCAAGCACAAGAAAGAAACTATTGATTCGGTTCGTAGTGGTGTGCATCGTGCAAACGCATTGGCAATGTCCTCTATACACAACGGTGTAATGCAGCGGCGCCGTCTTCGTTGTTGACTAGCGCGAAAGAAAGATGGATTGGTGGAAAAAAAGATGATGGAGAGAGGGAAGCTTCTTTCTTCTTTTTTTCTCTCATTATGCTATATGACTATGTCTATATATATATATATGTATGTCAAAGAGCGGCAGCAGTGAAAGGACACACGCATAGCTCTATACAAAAACATCGCGCAGTGTAGTCAGACGACGACGTGCACGTACTACTCGGCTATCGTTGCAAGTTAAGCAAAGAAGAGAGAACGAACATAAGAGAAAGAAGAAGAAATAGCTGCTTGTCATATTCTCTCTTTTTCTCTCGGTTGGTCTCTTATGTTGATTTGATTCTTCCATCTATCTTTGCATTCACTACTACTGTGTTCTTATCAACCAACTAAACTTTATCAATGGCCGATTCAACCGATGCATTGTCTTCACCGACAGCTACTGCCACCAAGGGTAAAAATAAACTTTTCTTTTTGTTTCTGAAATAAGAAAAGAAACTAAATATAAATATTCTATAGGCACAAAGCGTGAAGCTGAATTGGATGATGTTAGTCCAAGTAAATTAAAAGTATTAAAAGCAACAAATGGTACTAATGGCGAAACACCTACCGTAGTTGATGATGATTCATCTAATCATAAAAATGGTGATTATCATGATGAAGAAGATGATGAAGACGATGAAGTATGTTTAAATCATCTTGATATGTTCAAATGTAAAACTTTTTGTGACCCTTTATAGGTAGCTGGAGAAGGTGGTGAATTCGATGACGAAGATGGCTCGGATGATGATTATGATGAAGATGATGTAGAAAATGGTGAAGAAGACGAAGGTAACCATCGTAAGGAATGAAAACAAAAAAATTGAATGAATTTTTCACTAATGTTTGCTTAGGTGATTCAAAAGCGTCTGCTGATAAACCAAATTCTCGAAAGGCAGCAGCAGCAGCTGGCGCATCGGCTGATAGTGGCGCAGAAGATAGTGGCGACGACGAAGAAGATGATGATGATCAAGAATAATTTTCAGATGTTTATAAAATATCCATCCAGCTTAAGTTTTGTTTTTTTGTCACGATTAGAAAAGCAAATTCAACAAAATCTTTTTTTTCTTTCCTCTTGAAACAGACACACATTAATAAAAATAATTCTAGACAACTCTGTATACTTTTTGTTGTTCTTATTATTCCTACTTCTTGATGTTGTTGTATATTTCTTCTTTTGTGTGCCGGTTTCTTGGTCATACATGTGTGTACTTTTTTTTGTTTTGTTTGCGATAATTTCGCAAAATCCATTCATTGAAGAATATAGAAAACAAATAAGACACTAATCGGATATACAGAATTAAACATTTGAACATTTCTACGACATAGTTAGAACAACATGAATGTTTCTGAGCGAGTATTTTGATTCCGATGCCAGGCGTGATGGATGATCAGTTTTATTGACGAACAGTCTAAAGAAAAGAAGAGAGAAAAAAGTCAGATGAGCTTTGTACGTAGAATGTAAATATGTATGTCGATAGATGTCACTAGAAGTAACTGAAACAAAGAAGATTTTCTAGGAAATGCGAAGCTTTTGAATGACACAATAGAGAGAATTTGTTTGCTTTTGTCATAGAATATATGGATCCTAAGCTTGAAATAAGAAGTGATTGAAAATTTTCTTGCCTAAATTGAAAGCGTATCATGTACGCATTTTATGTCATCAGAAATCCACATCTGAAAAGGGAAAAATAGCACCGCGACAGGACAGAAACAGATCATCACACATATAACGTTTGATTATTGGATTTAGATTAGTTTGTTATTTGATGTTGAAAGGAACAAAATATCGATGAGCTTCAATTCGTTCTGTTGTTAAACTTAAAACTACATGTTGTTTAATCGATAATTTTTTTCATTTGAAAATTTCTCAACCATGATTTCTCATCTACGAAACTGTTCCATTATTCATAATCGTCTTCACTAGCCCATCTTGTTTTCTTTACTTCTCTTCTTTTGTGCACAACATCTGTCCTAAGATGAAAATTGTTTTCTGCATATTTTTAACCCATTCGTATGTGCATGATGATCTGTTTCATTCAGTGTTGAAAGCTATTTGAAAAGACAAAGAAAATGCACAGAAAAAAAGGAGAAGAATAGGCAAAAAAAACCAAAAGATAAACAAAGACATAAACACATGGACATAAGTACACTTGCACATACACAATTTTTCATTTTCTATTCGAATAAGTGGCATGAACATCGTCGATATCAAATCAGATTCCTTGAATTTCTGCGTCTTTTTGATTTGTGAAAATGAAATATATATATATATATATATATATCATGCATTGTTGACAAGAAAAACACGAACGGTATTAATAAATAGATAATGGAAATTTGAAATAAATAATGTTTCAAGTTTTATTTTGATTTATTGTTATCCATAGTACTTCCATTTTTTATGGATGCTGCTGTTGACGTTAATATTTCAATTGATTGTGGATAAGAAACTACATTATCTTGTTTTAAACTAAAAGAACACAAAATAAAATACAAACAATCATTTCCCGCAATTATTTATTTAAAATAAAAATGTATCAAAAATTATTGAAATGTATCATACAATTTTTCTAAATTGAATTTGATACATAAAAAAATTCTCAATATTGATGGTGATGAAGATCGTGTGCATATACCTATTACTCATTACATGATAATAAATTTAAATCACGTACCTTTCACTATCAAAACTTGTTGGATCAGGACTGTCCATTTGCATGTCTAGATAACGAAAATAAATTCTTATTTTGCTTAGCAACTTACATATTTATTTATATATATATCTTTTTTTTTCTTTTTTTCTTTTTTAAAATAATATGGTAAAGAAGAAACCTTTAAAAAGAAATCAAAATATGAAACGCAATAAAACTAATGCAATTATAGAGGAAAATGATGATAGTGAAGCAATAGTAGATAATCGATTTACTAATTATATGGGTACGAGCAATATAAAAAAACGTAAGAATAAAGAATCTTTATTTGAAAATATGCGAAGAGAAAATCAATCGTCTAAAAAATCTAAACGATCGAATTCAACAAGAATACCGTTGAAGAAACGTTTATCTGTACAATTTTATCCTGTTGAACGTGTTCAATTTATATCGGGTCGAGCAGAGAAAAAGGTCAAATAATTTTTTAAATATCTCACCAGTTACTTGATTGTATCGTTGATATTCAATTATTTCACGTTCTTTGAAATGTGCTTGGATTTCATTCTCACTCCAACCACGTCGTGTTAACCGTTTATGTTCTTTACTCCACATCTCATGACAATCTTGTGCGATTGGTAATCTAAAGTTTTATATAAATGTTTCTTTTTATATAGATTATACGCGAAACTAAAATTAAAGAGAATAACTATTTACTGTAATGGCCGTATTGTATCATCGTTAATATCTTTCAGCCAATTTGATAGTAGAGCATCACTTGCACTGATTCTCCTTGATGGATCTAATTCGAGCATACGATCGAATAGATCTAATGCTGGTTCAGGAAGACTAAAAAGAATAATAAATGTCGTTACACACGCACATATTTATATATATATATATATCTGAGTGAATACGTTCTTTTTTGTAGTAGCAAAAAAAAATGATTCTTACTATTGATATTCTTCGCGTAATTTTCGCCGATAAGTTTTTTTTTGTTTGAGTGTTGCAAAAAGTGGTAAATGAATAACATCAGGCCAAACTGCTGGTGTTGGTGAACCACACAACCGTGAAATCATTTCTAATTGTTCTTCCTCACGTTGTCCTTGAAATAAAGGTCGTCGTGTAAATAGTTCACCAAAAATACATCTATCAAAATAGATCATATTTAAAAAGAAAATTGAGTTGTTCAATTAAAAAAAACTGAAAACATACCCACAACTCCAAATATCTATGGTTGGTCCATATCTTTCTTCACCAAGTAACAACTCAGGTGGTCTATACCATAGTGTAATCACTTTATTTGTATATGGTCGATCTTTGTCCTCTGCATTATAAAATCTTGCAAGACCAAAATCGGCTAATTTTATTTTTCCATTATTGTTTAATAAAATATTCGAACATTTAATATCACGATGTAAAAATTTTCTTTCATGACAATAAGCTAAACCAGACATAATTTGATAAACAAATGCGCGAATATGTTCAATATCAAGTTCAATTAAACCAGAATCAAGTAAACCAAATAGATCATGATCACAATATTCAAATACTAAATAGAATGATGTATCATTTTTTATATCCACTATTGCATGTGCATCCATTATAATTTCTTTTAAATTTACAATATGCGGATGTGTCAATTGACGAAGAATTTGAATTTCACGTATAGCTGTTATTGGAAAACCTTCTTTTTCATTTTCTAATCGAACTTTTTTTAATGCACATAATTCACCTTAAGAATACAAATAAAAACGTTTTTTGCCCAACTAAAAACTTTTTAACAAACAAACCGGTTGCTTTATCGCGTGCTTTAAAAACTTCACCATAAGTACCTTCACCAATTTTTGCTAAGATCTCATATACTTCAACAGTTCTTTCTCCCCATTGGTTTTTCATCATTTCATCACGACGTTGAAGAATCCTTCAATGAGAGCAAAGAAAAAAGTTCACTCAAAGAAATTTTTATTTCGTTTTGTCTTAATTTACATTGGTCGTCGCATGGGTTTATCAGGTAGATTTGGAGAAGTATTTATTGGAGTTGATGGTGAAAATGTATCTGGTTTATAATCTGGTGGCATTGGTAATGATCGTGTTAAATGTGTTTGTCCACTAGATACAGGAACATGTATTGAACGGCGACGTGCACTTGAACTAAATAATTTTTTTATATAAATATTTATTTCAATGAGCTTTATTCTGTTGACAACTTACTCTGAACGATTCGTACTAGAAGTTGTATCAGTAAATTTTGTTGTTCCCTATGTCAAATAAAAACAGATACTACTTAATTTTGTGTTTTTACTACGGAAATAAACAATGAGAGAAGTACTCCTAGAAACTATTTTCAACAATTCTTTAATGAATTCAATATTTTTTAGAAGAGATTAATACTAAATATCTTTTTTAATGAATAGCATTTTGCAAGTCATCTCAATATTTAGAATCACTAAAAAAAACTCGATCTAAAAAGTATATTTTCCCTTTATCCTTACATCATTATCATGTTTTGATTGTTGTTCACTATGTAATTGAGTATTAATTGTTACTGCTTTATTTTTATTAACTTTTGGTCGTAATTTATCAAGTTCAGATGCGAGTGTTCCTTTTGTTGATCGTTGATTTTGATGACTGGTATCATTTTCATTTGATGATGAGTGATCACTTGAATGTGTTGGTGATGATGAAGATTTTCGATGATATTTTGATCTTCTATAATTATGTTGATGGAAACTATGTGAAGAATACATTGGCATTGGATATGATGATAATGGACTTGTTCGGCGATGTCGTTTTGGTGAATAATTACTATTGTCTGTATAATAATTTGAACGTTTTTTAGATTTCACATCAGCATTGATTTCATTTGATGAGGATTCATATGTTGAATCATGTGAATGATGATAACTTTGTTGTGAACCACGAGACGTTCGATTTATTGCATCATGTCTTGATCGATGAGAACTGCGGCTATACAAATTTTAAAAAAATATGCACGAAAACAGTTTTTTCCTAAAAATTATTGAATGATTTCTACCTATGTTTATTAGATTCATTATTATTATTATTATTATCACTAGATGACGAACGGCGTGCTTTTGTTTTTCGTTCAGATGAATTTCGTCGATTATCTTTATGTTTTTTCTTTGTTGTTGATGAATGGCGATTTTTTTCAGAGTTCATTGAAATAATTTCAGGTGACGATGATTCGGATGATATAGATTCCAGAAGTGACTGATGATGATGAGGATATGATGGATCACGTGAACTTGTTCGATAATGATTGTTATGGGCATAATAATGAGAATTTGTTGAAGACGACATATAAAAAGTCTATTTGCACAATTAATCAAATGACATTATGGAAAAAAGATTAAATATATATATATATATATATATGTATATTAATCTAGATGAATAGATTTTAAGAATAAAAAAGGTCTTTGATAATTTAAAAACAAATACAAAAAAAAACTATTTGTACTTACGAGAGTTTTTTTTTTACTTCTTAATGATAATGAATAATTCAATTAGAAAATAATGAAGTGTTAGAGCATTAGAAGAAAGCAAACAGACGAATAGACATCAGCAAAAAACAACAGACACATACAAAAAAATTAGCATGAATAGTTAGCCGATTTAAGAATTTTATTGGCTAAAGAAAAAAATTTTGACCAATTAAAAAAGCAACAATTGAAAATATAACCTTCGATATTCGTAGAGATTAAACTTTGAATTCGTTGCGCTACTAGCGTTATGTTGCACAATAGTAATGTATGTACCATAGGAATAACGTACGTATCGATGGATTCTTTAAGATATATGCACGTAAATTAATCATTTTTTGTTTCTTTTACCTTGACTAGTTCAAACTAGATGACGCTAGTTATTATTAAAAAAAAAGAGTAAGTTACACGATTATTTTATATTCCTTTTTCTTTTATTCTGCTTGCATTTTTTTCATCAAAAAAAAATATTAATTCAAATTTTTTCGTATAATTCAAGACCCGACTTTAATAAAAAAAATTTAAACATTGCTCATTTTTGCTGTACTTGTACCAAGAAAAGACCATGTAGAAATATGCCGAATGATGTGAATATTTCAGATTCGAATCACTCTGCTCCGTTCACTACTTCAATAGGATCAACCGATTGATTCCTCGAGACTACCTTTTCACACTCAATTGAGTAGAATACAATCTCAATCAACGTACAGTGCAACTTAATGAAATTTTTAAAATAAAAACATTGAAAATTCTGTTTATTTGACATTTTTTTTTGCCATCAAAACCACAAAGAACTGTATATCTTGTATTCAATAAGAATCGAGAATAAAATATCTTGAAAACTCGTAGAGCTAATGAAAAATTTTACAATAAGCAAATTTCATATTTTAGTGATATGATGATTAGAATTCGTCGTTTCAACTTTAAAGAATATCAGTATCTATCAACAGCAGTGAAAAAGCAGTGATCGTTCTAATGAAATTTTCATCAAACTGATAGAGATGTTAGGCGAATCATTTTAAAATGATAAGACTGCTAGATTCGTTTACGCAGTTCAATTCGAACAGTGACATGTTTCTATTTTCTACTTTCTCATTAGATGTGAATACACCCATACGATTAGCATGCAACGGTTGTAATATTCTTGTTCTACGTGAAATAGATTAACCACTATGGATGTCTAAAACGTATCTATGATTATTTGTTGTATTTATTTCCATATAAGATTTAAGAAAATTATTGACGTTTGATTTGCTTGGAAAACATATTTTTGTTTAAGTAATTAAACAGCTCAATATGAATTTAATATTAAATTTGAACAAACCAGGTTGTTCTATGAAAGTTGATTTTTTTGTACTAGATATATTTTATGAATAGTTCCGAGGGTCTGTTTAAAATCAAATAAATACAGAATCTATCCAATGAATACGATTAGAAGAAAAAAACGACGACTACTTATTATCAATTATATAGCACGTAAAGACAATTTCAATCTCATGAGTATATGCGTGCTCTGTTTCTGTCTATCATAAATTCAGTAAAATGCAAGAGTTCGCTTATCTCTAACAGCAGCATAGCTCTGAAAACGTTTACAGAATAACAAATGAACGATTACAATAATGATAAAATATTTATTTTTGAACATACTAGAAAACCAAGTGTTGACAACAAAATATCTAGAGACGATAGAATTAAACCATTCCTTTTTTTGTATACACGACATCAATTTAATAAGCAAAGAAAAAAACAAACCAAAACCTTCTAAATAATGATACAGATATTTAGGTATAAAAACATTCTCATTAAACAAAAAGATACATTTTATGAATGTTAAACAAATAAACAAACAAAAAAACGCAGAAAAAACATTAAAGGAAATATAAATACGAATATCTGATCTCATTATAAATAAGAAACAATCAGCATCCGAGTTTTTGTTAAATAGATACATAATATTCAGATGCAGACATTTCCGTTGTGTTTTCTTTTAATTCGAGTTTATAGAAAGACAAGTGGTATCTTAGATAAATAAATAAATAAATAAATATACATATGGACTAGTACAGTCTAACTGGGATACCGGAATAATATTCATCTGTATAAACTTTCGATGGTATATCATGAGAATGTTCTTTTTTCCAACTATATATAGTACTGGTGTAATTCTAATGATTTATCAACGATGATGGGTTGATACCATGTTTGAGATCAAAATAATCAACGTTTCTTTCTTATAAAACATAAACATAAACATAAATATTAGAAAACTGCTCAAACACAATATTAACCGATCATCAATAACATATCATTAGAATTACGCTAGTTCTATAATTGGTAAAAACAAATATTTTCATGATATACTACCGAAATTTTAGGTAAACGAATAGATTTTAGATATGCTACTAGACTGGGTAGTCTCATATTTATTTGTATATATATATATATATATATTTGTTAAGTAGACTCTGTTTCATTGTTCAACTTCTGCTCTTCATTTATATTTTCTTCATTTTCATGTATCGGTACTGTTTGTGTTGTCATTGTTGTAGATAATTTCCTACATCGACATAATTTACCAAATCTAATAATTCAAAAAAACAAAGAAAAACATTTCAAAAAAGCAACAGAAATTTGTTATAATTTCTTACGGTATATCACCGAATCTATCGATAGGTCCAATACACGAAAGTAATGGTAAGAAAAACCATGTTGCAAATAACCAGCTGACGAACATGATTAACATGAGAAAAAATCCCATTTGTGAAAAAGACGTTAATTTACTTGGTGCCATGGATACACCAGCAAGAAATGATGTAAAACCAGCAATAAACACTGCTGAGCCAACACGAATAAGACTATTTTTAATTCGACGAAAACGTTGTAAATTTCCTTGTTGATGTCGTTTTTTTAAACGTTGAAATAATGTGTCGTTTGTATTTGAATGTTCATTATTTATAGTAGTTTTATCTCGTTTATAATTTTCTTTATGATTATTATCAAGTAATTTTAATACATTTGATGATCGTTTTATATAAGCTTGATTTTTTTTCCAATCCGCTTTAATATAAGCAACACCATAATGCACAGCTAAAATTAAGTAAAGCAATGTTCTATTTTAAAAATAAATCAAAGTAATTATCTTACTAAAATCTACACTTAACCCGACACTCATAATAATTATAATTGTTTCAAGAATATTCAATTCCCAACCACATAGAACAAATATAGCTACTGTATCAGCTATAATAAATATTATTGTTAACATAGCATAGATTGTTATTAATACATTTCCAGATGTTAACAAGAGAACAACAAATGCAAATAGCATTGAAAATATTAAAGACGTATATGTACCACGGATAACTTCACGCATCAAATCATAAAATAGAAATTGAGGTGAAACAAACCATCTAGACAAACAAAAGAAAGAGAAACACATAAGATGGTTATTATATGAATATTCAATTATACATATAGGTTATAAACTGCAAAGTTCCATTGTTTTATCTTCATTAAAAATGATATTCTCAAATTTTCATTGTTTCATTGACGGATTTACTCACAACACTTACGAATAGAAAACAAAAACAAGATAAAATTGAACTTTCATATGCTTTTTTTTAAATCCTGAAGGATATGTCAATTAAACCTGTGAAACCTAATGAATAATTTTAATATTCGTCGCAAACTCTGAACTTTATTTGATTCTACAGATGTTGAAATAATGAATAAGCAATCCTAGAAATCTTAATCAGTCTCATAACAATTTTGTCAATCATTTGATATAATTTGCTGTCTTTAGGCATCACCGTTCTTGTGTGTGCATGCCATCAAGATTTCTTTACTCAAAGACTACGCTGTTTGACCTAGAATGTCTATAGGGAAAACATCTTTTCAACTTCATGAAAATTAATCTCTTTGATAATCTCTTAGGAATGAAATTAATAACACACATAAATATCACAATTTTTTAGGGACGAATAATTGTAAGAAAGAAATTTCGTTTATTTTCAATAAAATTTATATTTTTACCCGTGTTTAACTTGTTTATAAACATGACCATTGAGTCCTTCTGATATTTTCAATTGTTCTAAACGTTTTTGAAAATAATTTTGTAATTTATTATAATAAGCATCTTGAACAGAATATGAATTAAATGTAACATTCATGTTAACAGTAAATAAAAATGCTTTTATTTCTTTTGTTCTACTATCAGGTAGAAATCCAATACGAAAATCTTCATTGCTACGTGTCATATCATTTGCTGATTGAAATTTATTTGATCCCTTAAATAAATTAAATAGGCGACTCATTGCCTCTATTGTTTGATTGCGTGTTGTTGGAACAAAAAATTCTTCATCATACATTGATGTTGATGTATTTTTATCTGGTGTTACAAATCCGCGCAATAGTTGACCTGAGGATTAAAATAAAATTCGAAAAATTTGATTGGTAAAACAGCGCTTTTTATCTTACCAATAGTTAACCACTGTGAATATGTTTCTTGAACATCAACAAATAAATCACTTCGATTAAGATCTTTTAAAAATGAATCAAACCATCGTAAAATGTTTGGGTCATAAAAATCAATATTTGTATTATAGATTAAATTTTGTTTATTTTGATTTATTTTTGCATCTTCTGGATAGAATGGATGTATTAAATCGCTGTCTTCAATACCAAATATAAATATTAATATTGGATTTGTAACATTTTCTTTATCTTCATTAATATATGAAAGAAATTGATCTCGCATTTGATATTCAAAACGTTCAAATGGATGCGTTAATTGAAAAAATTGATAACGGCGAGATTTCGGCGGCGATAATTTAGGATGATAAAACACAATAATTAAACCAATTATACCAAAAATAAAGAATATTATTATCATTATATAACGAAGTTTGATTATTAAACGTGGAATATAAACAGTGAATATAGCATGACTTAGCCTTGTTAAAGTAGCCAAAGTTCTATCAAATAATGTTGGAAAATGATTAAATAAACCCAAACGCGCAGATAATGGTTCACAAATTTTCTCATAAACAATTACAAATGACACAATCATTGTTATATTCATTAGAAAATTAAACAATATACAAAATCCCTAAAAAATCAGAATTTTTTTTTTTCTAATGTCGTAATAGATTTTTACTGAATATTAGCAATTAATTCACAAATTATATAGTTAAGTGGAGAAGAACTGAAAGTAAGTCAATTTTAGATATTATGATTCAAATAGAATCAAAAATGTTACAAAATATTTTCTAGAACTAAAATATCAAAACTAAAATTCATACTAGAATACGATGAGTATCTTTCACAGTTGAGAGCATCAACGAATACCATCAGAACTACAAGATAATAGAGAGTTTGAAATGAACATCAGTATGAACACCAATGATTAGTTTTAATTTTTACTTGTACATGATATTTAACAGACCAATATCAACGTAACTGTCATCTTTATCATATATAATTTGAATCAAGCTTACTATACAGTATTCTTGTTTACAAGAAACGAATATATTCAATTTGAAAGAAAAAAAAACTAAAGTTCAAACAGGTGTCTGTATTGATATTTGTTTTAAAAACTATCGATTTGTAGATGTCTAAATGATATGTTAACACTTCATAATTATCACTAATCTACTTTAGAATTAATTATTACATGAAATCGGATAAATACGAAAAAGACAATATCATTACAACTATCGTACACTAAAGAAATAATAGGTCAGAATTGATCAGACTATATTCGAATAGTATGCAATTAGATATTCTTATTAGAGTATTAAGTATTCAAAAAAATAATAAGAACTGTTTGTTTTCACTTATTATTTTCATTAGTAAATATTTGCCGAAAATTGAAAGTTTATGAATACTTTTCTGTTTGTCTTCATACAAAAAGAATTTCTTTTCTTTTACCTATTTTCTTTGTCTTTTTACTCCACACGACTCTATATTTATCATCATCACCTTCTAATATCAGGATTTTGTCAGAACATAAATTGAAAAAAATTCCAATACTTCAATTTCTCAGAAGAAAGACAGAAAGAAAAACAAGATATTGCCACGCACAGTAACAATGGAGCAAACAAATTCAACTATAGTTCATTTTTTACAAACAAAATTATAGTTCAAGATTTGAAGATCATTTTACACACTATCAATTCAGTCTGAATGTAATTGATATAAAAAAAAATGCAATATGATCTCATATTATTTTTTTTATGTTTATTTCTCAGCGTTTAATAGAACAAGAAAATATTTTTCATGTTAAATTTTTCCAATTAAAACTTACCATAAATAAACCAAATAATTGCACATAGGCAATACGTGTGATCATATTAGTAAAAAATGCAGCTGTTGTTGTAAAACTAGTAACGAAGACACTAGCAGCTGCATGTCTCAAAAGTCCTCCCATCATTTGTATCATTTGTTCATCATTAACTTTCATCATTCTTATTAAATCTGGATTTTTAATGCGATCGAAATACTCAGTTTCCTCATCTGCATCATTCTCCTCATTGTCTTCGTCCAATTGATTGCTATCTTGTTCATGATGATTTTTCAATGTTAATTTTCGTTTAATAACAGATAATGTATAATCCCGATCACGATGATATTGTTGTTCCTGTTGTGGTGTCAATTTACCATAGAATTCAATAGAATGATTTTGTAAACGTGCTTGATTATAAATATCTAATTTTTCGGAATACCATGCATCAAATATAACAAATACATTATCACAAGATATACCAATTAAAATAAATGTTGCCATTAAATTAATATATGGAAATAAATCAATTCCCAATGCTATTTTATATGTAAAATAAGCACATGCAAATGAAAAAACAACGCAAACATTGGTCATTAATGCAACTGTTATTGAGCGAAGATAAATTACTGTTACCTGAGACAAAAAGAATATTAAATTTTATTTTTCAAAAACTTTTCTTTTTTTCTAGTGATTTGATGATAAAAAGGAACTTACACCAACAATTAATGATATTGCTAATATAACAAAAAACATGTCAGCGCGAATTTGTTTCATTGCTGTCGATATTCGAATATCCAAAAAGTTTAATGCAGATATTCTTGTCCAACCATCATCGAATTTCGGATTGCGATAAAAATGTTTAATAAATAGATCATAGGCAGAATTTGCCGTATGAATTTCACTACCGTTTAAGGATTTTTTGGATTTTGTAGGTTTTAAAAACCACATCGCTGTGTAACGTGTTTCATTCGTTGTTAAAAATGTTTTATCTAATAAATATTCTAATGTTAAAAATGTAAAATTATATCGAAAACAAGAATCATATTCAAATAATTCGATCGGTTTAAAACGGTAGCGTTTTAAGCCAGCTATACGTATAAGACCAACTTTATGTAATTGGTGACAACGTTGCATGCGATAAACAAAATATGTTATATCATTTTCAATGAGTTCAGAACAATTTGATTTATTTGAAAAATAAGAAATCATTTGTGGTAATGTATAATGACATGTTGAATCTAATTGAAACAATTCAATGAGATTATTTTGTTTTTTACATAATGATAACAGATTATTGATTGTTAATAGATTTGGTGAAGATTTATTGTTTGATTCAAAATAGACTTCATAATGACGATCTACAACAAACATAAATCATGAATAATATAAATTGATGGACATTCAGAAAAGAAAAACAACAACGAACTTAAATCAATTGATGTACACATTTGTTCATTGGGTTTGTTAATTTGTTGTTCAATGGTTTTCGAAAACTTTATTAAATCACTTTTGTTATTTAATAATTGATACACTCGTTGGTTAGTTAAACATTTATGGTCATTTTTTGATAAAAAAGCACACGAATCAATACTATTTCGTAAATCTTCTAATAGATAGGACTCCGTTAAATTATCATCATAATCAAGATCTTCATCTTCCTCGTTTTTACTGATATTTAATGATGATGAAGAGAAATGTTTTTTATCCAGCAATTTTCCAGCTGCTATCTGTTTATCAAGTTCATTTTTCACTCTTTCAAGAACGAATAATCGAGACGTTAATGTATTTTTACCTCGTGGAACGAAACCCTATCAAAAAATGAAAATGAAAATAAACAATCATTGCTTCTGTGCTTAACTTTGAAAAAAGAAAAATTTACTTTGGTTGGATCATTAAAATCAGGTAAATCACGTAACAGAACAGCCGATAAACCAAGTGCAAAACAAATAATCAATCCAAGTAACAAAAAACACCACGAGTATTTAACAACAAATGTTGAATACCTATAGAGAAAATAAGAATTTCTAATTACTAATCAATCAGTTCTATCCATTTTTCTCTATGAAATTCTTTTCGAAGATTTATAGCATGTTTGCAGGCAGTATAAATCATATTTCTGATGTAATTTGAATGATTTCTTTTCAACTAGAGTAAACACCTGTAAAAATGAAGTGCGCTCAAAGTATGTATGAGAATCTCTCAAGTGGTAAAAATAATATTTATCATAATTCAATTCAGTTTTACTTATTCGACAATAAAGTTAGAGAGCACAAGAAATAAATAAAAGATGTGTTACTCGAAAGTGTACTATAATATATAGTATTCAATCAGGGATACATTATGAGTATACTTCTCGAATATATTGAACAATTGAAAGTCTTGTTTCAATGTTAAAGTGCGTCAAGACAAAGTAGTTCTGTTGCTTCCAAATAATAAATATGCAATCTACTTTGCATTTTTTATTAATATAGATTGCGAATCATTCAAATTCGTATCGAATGTATAAATGACGATACAGATTACTACGTGAAGCAAACTTCTTTTTATTTATATTGTTTAATTAGCTTGCTCTTAATAAATTTTTATTAGTTTTAGAATAGAATCATTTAATTTTCTTACTTTCTATTCAAATATGTTTCCGCTTCATGCATATTGGCACTTGTTTATTATGATAAAACCATAATTAGATTTAACGGAAAGGCACGACGAATAGAGAACGAGTACAAGAGAAAAAAACGAAGAGCTAAATTCCAAAGTAGTAAAAGCAGATCTAAAACATGAAAAAAAGGGCGCCGAGCAATGAAATATGATAATAAAGTATTGAAATAGTTAATTTAATTCATAAGCGAGATGTACATATTTGCGATCTCAAAAGAAAAAAAATATTATTAGGGTATTAGACTAATTTTTATCTCAAATAACCGTAATAACAATAGTGGATGAAATGGAGGATAGAGAATTAACAAAAAACAAAGAATCTCAGAAAATAAGTCATTAACGTCTCCGCATGTGTAAGCATTTGGTTTATGTATAAATCGATAAAAATCTCTGATAGACAACCAATGAAATAGCAAAGATGTAAAGAATGATATCTATTGATTCTTCTCAGATGTTTTACAAAAAAAACTCGTCGTTTCGAATATTTCTACGATAGTTTATATATATTTTTTTTTTCGCTATTCGGCCGATAGACGCTCAATAGAAAAATTTGCAACACAGATAGAACGAGACGCAGAACGAAAGAAAAAGAAAAACGATAGTGATGAAAAGGCGCTTTGATAGTGCTGGTGGGAGAATCGACGCTCCAACAGAAAAAATACAGACCGAGAGGAAAAAAAGAGAATGCAGTCCCGAATGGGAAAATGAATGAGTCAGCCATCAGTTCTACCATGTTAACGTATACAAAGCAACAGAAAAAGGACGTTGCTGCAAAAACATACAAAGCGAAAACATTGGAATAGCTCAACTCTTCCTGCAATTATCCGAGCCAATGCTAGCTCTATATTTTCTCTATGGCAAATAATTTTAATAAATCATCTAATTAATTTTTTTTTCTTGAATATCAAATAATTTTATTACAATCTACGTGATTAACTATAGAGAGAAAAAAAAGATCATCTAGTCTAGCGATTTACACTGATTAGGATGGGATCAATCAACTATATAGATACCAATAGATATTTTTAGTTCATTGCTATTGACCATTGGATTTGCTTAAATCATTTATTTTTCCATAGAAAACTCTTGATTGAATTCAATTCAACTTACTCCTGTTCAAACAGCTGAATGATATATAAAGTAAGATCAAGATTAAGGATTAATCCATCACAGCACATCAGATGAAAGGACACGGTCTGCTAAGATGTCGCCCATGTCTAACATGAATTTGATGAGATCAGAACAACTACATATCGACGATTGATGAACCAACTAGCCGATAACTATTGTGTTACAATGATATCAACGTTACGGCTTACATTCAATGTATAAGAAAAACAATAGTGTCTTTTTGAATATGTCATTTATTATTAAATTCTTCTCTCAACAAGTAGAAAGAATTCTACTCTATAGACTAGCAAAAATAAATAAATTCTGTTTCGCAAGTGCATAACCGTACATTTATTTGAATGATTACTTCCGAAAATTATATTGTTAACTACTCTAGTAAGTTAAAGTAGTAAAAAAAAGTGTCGATTTATAATTTATAATCATAAATATCTAATACTTGCGAGAATAAAATCTAGCTAGGATTTTGAGAAGTATTAGAATGAGAGAGAGAGATACAAACTTTTATTTAAGCTATTTTTTCTAAAATGTCATTATTATATATGGGCATGAAGAAAACATACGATTAATTTTATAGAACCGTTGACAGTGACGATATTTTTATTATTGCTAAAATATAATAACTTTTCCATGGAAACGAATATTTCTTCATTGACTTCTTTATGTTTGTGTTTGCATAAGAAGATTAAATATAAATAAATCGACCACAACGGAACAAAATATATTCGCTGATTTTATCGATGAAAAAAGTCAATCTCGTTTGAAAATTTATGATTAGAATTTTGTTTGCAATGTTTCGGCATTCTATGCCATAGATTCTTCTTTGTCTTTGTTTTTATTTTAATAATATTCTGAAGAGAATCTGTGTAACCGAAGTAAGCTACTGCAATGTAGTAAGAAAAAGTGACGAAATTGTAAGGTTTGATTTTACATGACTGTACTCTACTCGAATAATCTATAATTATTCTTCATTTTATTAAATTTATGGAGATCTATTAGGTAAATAAAAGAATCCCATCTAGAAACAAAAAAGAAATCTGATGGAATACAAGTTGCAAATGTTAAATGAATATTTTATTGCATATTCACAGAACTTTCGAAATAGCTTACTTTCGTTTAGTAGGATGAATGGCAAACATTCACTGTTTGAAATCATTTCTTTTTGAGAACTGGGGATATGAAATGTTTTGATACTGGCGTGTTTTACTTATTGTAATTTTAATCTAATTTAAAGAAAAGATCTAACTCATGAAAATGTATAAAAGAAACGGAACAGTTCTTTTTTATTTGAACTTGAGCAATCAACCGTATGCCAATGTCAATATTTAACCAGTTAAGTACTCCAAAAACAGACCTTGCTATTGGTTTCTGAAAATTGCATATACCGCGAATTGATATTTCATGAAACGATGTAGAAATCAAGACTCTACTAAAATATATATATTAATGAAAAAAATTTGATGCTTCGAAAATCTACATAATTTTGTGAAAAAAAAATTTTCTTTATTTATGAAACTAATTATTATTGGAAACCTTGAACAAAATTTAACCTTGCATTAGTCGAAAAAAGATTACATTTTGGAGCTGACTAACTATTACTTTTAATAGTATAATAACGCTTCACTAAGTCTATTAGAATACATGAGACTAAATTTACTGGCATCGAGTTGACGAAACCCTATAAAATCGTATGAGATGCTTTTGAAGTTCTCATATAATTTCTTTTACATTTTTTTTTCTGTTTAATTAGTCACTACGGAAGTTTCTTCGATACTACTTTCTCAGATGTTGATTAGCATTAATTTACGGCGTATTCATTTTCAAAAATCTGAACGCTGTCTCGGATGGGATTGTGTAATTTATTTTAATTGCTCTCTCTCTCTCTCTATATATATATATATATCTTATATCAAATGGAAAAACTAGTTATAGATTTAGTCACTGATAAAGTATTCTTTTTATACAACATGAATTCACAGGGGAATTTTTTACAATTTATAAAAACAGATGAATCCTGAATTGAAGCAAAATTCCATTTATTTTAATATACTTTGATTTGGCCATTCGATTCCAGTAGTACGGAATAAATTGCGTTTTAATTTTAACCATTATTTTTTCGTTCTACTCCACACTCACATCCAAAACAAACTCAGAAGTTGAAGATCGTTGACTTATATTTTGTTTGTATATTTTAATGCATTGATTATGCATGTAGAACTTCTATTTGTCATATCATAATGACACCCAATATTCCTATGAGACAAGCCGCGTACTAGCATTTGGTATCACGGCACGATATCAGTTAATGTAGCTGTGTGTTCATTGTTTTCCATAAATACTCTCATAATCCTTTTTTTTTCATTAAATGAGATCAACTTTCTAGTAAAGTACCATAGAATTGATAATGTTTCCTTGAAAAAACTGAAACAATTATTTCATTCTATGCTAATACTAAAGGACAAGACTATTTTATTGAATCATTTTTTTTTGTAGTTTTAGCATACTCTCTGTGCTTATTTCTATTGTCTTTAATTATCAACCGACTCCTGTAAAACACAATAAAATCAATCAGATTTATTTATGATTAACCGCATTGAAATATGAAATATACTAGAATAAAAAGAGGAAAAAAACACAAAGTCTTTGCCAAATATTATATATCTATAATTAAAGATTAATGAATAATCAAAGTGTTTTTTTTAACATTTTTATAGTGTCATCTTTACGAGATAATAGAATATTTTAAATGATTTATATTTTCGCTCTCTTCGTTCTTCCCATGAAAATATTAACAAACAAAAACAAAACAGAAATGACATTAGAAAAAGTCACAAATAAAATAAATAAGAGCTGTTTATCGTTTTAAGTGATTTACAAGTTCGAGCATTTCTTGTGCTAAATTCGATTGACTTAAATTAGTCTGTGGTAAATAACATGCTATTCTTGTTAACATGGTTTGAATAGCATCTAAAGAGCATGGTTGAACTTTATAGTCAACTAAGGTCACTAGCGATGTAAGCCACGTTTTTAATGTCGACGATATTTTTGCTCGAACTTCTAATGACTTCGATGACATTTTTGTTGTGGCATCAATATTACCTTCAATTAAATAGTTAAGTCTTAAACCAGCAATAATAAGTAATTGAAAAGCTAACGCTTGTCTGTCATAAATACGATTTTCTTCATTTATAGCTAAAGAATCATAATTATAAGCATACAACAATGATATATAATGTCGACGAATATATTCATGATCAACAAGCATATCAGTGGATAAACGTACAATATTGTCAAAGATTTTTTCATCAAATTGTTGAGTATTATCATGTTGTTCAAAGATTGTATTAAGTAAACGTGCAAAAAATAGTTGTCGTTTATTTGATATTGCACCATCAACATCGTCAGTTACTAATGGATGAGAATAAAGATCAGTGAAGAACGCATGAATACCTTTTGAATCAAATAATGAATATGGTCGAATAGATTTTATATGATAATACATTAAATAATAAAGTATAAATATTAATTTATCGTGATGCAATACAAGATGACCATTAGCAGGTTTTTGTTCCATGACAAGTTCAAGTAAAGAATTTTGTTGTTCTATTTGTTCAGATACAGATGATGTAGAAAATAGATTAGTAAACGGCGATATTGGCTCTATAGGATCATACAAAAAAAAGGAAATTTATTAAATATTTAATTCGAACGAAAACAGATAAGCAGAAGATGTTTTGTAGGCAGGATGTTTCTTCGTCTTTTTCACACATTAGATAGTGTGTTCGATGAGTCAGCACTAATTTTCATGTTAATGTTTGTAAAATAATCATTAAGAATTTTTGGGATAGCCTAGAATAACTAAAAGTTCTTTCGAGTTAGCCATTTTGTTAAGCGAATAATCCCCCCGCAAAATTCGATATTGACTCATATTCTATTATCTAAAACTACAGGCATATCTAACGCTGCATTCAAATGCGAACCAATTTTTCATCAAAACGTAGAATTGTTTTTAGTGGAATATTTGTCGAAACTAAAAATTGTGCTACCTGGCTAGAAGCTAAAAAACAGATGAAATAATTTCATTTTGTGCGACGATAGCTCCTTATCTACCAGTTTATACGTAAGTAAATATCCCTAATCTTTTTTCCTTTAAGTTTTTCAAAGATTTATTTCCCTACTTTCAAACAAAAACTACATAAGAATTTTCAAGTTTTCATTCGAAGAGAACAATAAATTCTGATCTTAATTGGGTGAATGTGTTTCGCAACAAGTTAGAATGAAACAAAAACTTTTGCCTAGAAATTTTTCAATCATTCTTTCTATATACCTGCTGGATCGGATGAAACAACAATAGCATTCGATTGCCAAACATCGTCATTATTGAAAATTGGTATTTCATTAAGTTGATTATAAATTGAGTCAATAAATGTGTTAAAAAAATTCTTTGATAATTGTTCAAGAAAAATAATCAAATCTTTTTCATTTAAATGAAGTTCTTTATAACATAGACGATCTTTTGGAACTTTGCCAATTTTTTCAATTAATTGTGTTAATGTTACTATTCGAGGACGTATATATGTATGCCACAAAAGTGTACCTAAATTTTGTTTGACGATTCCAATTTGAATATGATTATAGAAAAGAAGTGACAAATTAAAAAGATCAATTGGTGTTCGAGTCGTTGTTACTGATGTCGGATTAGTAGGTGATATTAATTGTTTATGCCAAATAGTCATACATATCCAAGAACAATAAACTAACAAAACAGTTGGTTCAAATGTATGTGGAAGAATTTGTCGGCATAGTAAAAGATTGCCTAAATTAAAATATCGATTAGACTGTTTATAGTGTACTATAATAAAAAAAACTCTAAGAAGGAACAAATCTACTTAGTTTACGTTTCTAAATTGTTTGAAAATATTCTTAGTTTCACAGAGATTCGCTCCCAGTATGAATCAAAGTCGATCAAAGTTCGATAATTCGTTAATTATTATAGTGTTTTGTTCATACATTTGAAATATTATTTGTAAGTTTCATCTCGTTTTTTGTACGGCTATAATTCCTGTTCAAACGTTCACAGTAATATCAAATAAAGATTGAATTCTTCTCGAAACTTAACTTCAATTTTATACGTCATCTTTTTCATTTGTCAAAGTTTTGAAAAGTATTCTCGTCGATATTGTTTTTTTTTGTGTCATTATCTATCTAATCGAAAGGAAATGAACAACTAGATTTTTCGGACTTAAATATTTTCTTTCCTTTCAGAGTATGATAATCAAATTGTTTTTTCAGTTTTTATCAAGAAATTCATTTGTAAATCTAATGAATCATTATATAGAAATTTTGGGAAAAGATTGAAGGAGATATCCTTAAGAAGATCGTGATAGAAAAGCAGTCAAAATTGAAATTTCATCTAAATCTTACTTTGAAATGAATTTAGATTTGAATCATTTGATACTATTACTAAACATGATGGTTCCATAGATACTTCCATCATTCTACGCGTAATAAGTTCCAGTAAATAATCATATCGATGTTTAATAAAAATCGATTCAACAGTAAATTCACTTGATTTAAAATCTATTGATTCGTTGTTATTTTTAATTGATAAATATAGATTTTGTATAGCAACCAGTGCCGATAAGCGACGCACTAAAATAGTTAAATTCATTTCATTATCATATAAACGAAATATCAATGTTAATAAAAGAGTTGTTAAGGCATTCGCTGATTTTTCAAGTATTGATTTCAATAAATTTTTATTATTATTCATTGAATAGATGATAGAAAATATTTTTTTCCAAATATGAATTGCTTTGGGTAAAGTCAATGGTATGGAGAGCAAAGAATGTAAACAAAGTAAAACCACATCATCATTTTTTAAATGTATTAATTGAAGATATGAACGAAATTTTTCTTCGATATTATCAATATCACTAAACCAAAACCATGATGAAAATAAATATAAACCAAGAGAAGAAAAATCTTCCGAATTTATAGTTGATTTAATTTCAAGTTGATTATCTATCGAATGCATATGACGTGATGACAGAAACATAGATTGAAATTGTCCAAACGTAAAGTTTGAAATTAATAAATTAGTTTCATCAAGAAAATGAACTTTTTTCTTTCTATTATCATTTTGATTATTATATGTTTTTTCAAATAATTGATAATAAAGTGTTGTTTCATCATCTGTTAGATTAAGTTCACTTTGAAAATCCTTTTCAATAAATAAACATCTCAACATTTTTCAACATATTTACGTTGTTTTTCTCGGCTTACCTCTTTAGAAAATAAATCTTCGCCTTTATGTAAATATGATAAATTATCCATTCGACATTGTTCAATTGCAGTGTAAATATTCAGTAAATTTAATGCATTATCACAAAAATCTTGCAAATGAACACATTCTTGTGGATTACGATGATGACCAGTCTTTTCTAAATCAACTAAGGATTCATCGATAAACATTCTTAATGTGTTTAAATTAAGATAATCTGTATGAAATAAAATATCAAGAATTTCAGATTGTGAATCTAACGATAGAAGCCGTTTTCTTTGTTGATGAATATCTGTTTTTAATGAATCATTATCATCCGATGAATCCTTAAGAAGACGACGCACTTGGCGTACAACCATTAGATCATGTGCTCGTTGATTATTTCTGTCACTAAATTGAGATAAAAATAGATAATGAATGTTTTGTTTTTCAATGATTCGGTAATCAAATGAATATGATTCTCAGATTCCACATCCAACGATTTCGATCTGAGCAATCGTATGAGGCAAAAACTAATGATGCAACACGTTAAGATTACACAATTATCATCATATTGTGCCAAAAGATTCAACATAGTGATCGACTTTGAATTTTTGATTGAAAATGCTTAAATTCAAAGCGGGAACAGTTTTTATTTGCTCAATTTTCTAGTACAAAGAATGCTATTTGTTTTCTCATGATATACTCTAAAAGAAGTTTCATTTCTACAACAATTATTAAAACAATAGTTTTTGTGACCAACGCTGATTTCCATACAAAATAGTTCATTTATCGATATTCAGAAGTTTCAAGTAGTATGAAATTTCACCCGTTTTCATATTGAATTCAATCTTGTTGATAACAATCTACTTTAAGATACGATCGAACTGCTGTGCCAGCATTATGATGTTGTTTCCTATAGAAATATTATTGAACTTTTCCTGATGAAACTCATCTCAAGTTGATAAATCTTGGGAGAGAAAATCAATATTAGAATACTGTCACGAATGTTCCGACATTCTGATTCTAGTTAACTGTATCTAATTAGTTCTAATCACTTGTATATTTGCCGAAGAAAAACAAGCAAATATTCTGTATCCATACTTTGTCAGAATGGATTATTGAAGTTTTTGATAAAAATACTAAATCTCGAATATTTTACACCCGATCACAGAGCATAGTGTATCAATAAATATATTATCTTAGATTAAGAATTGATTTACCTTAATATGAGATGAAATGGAATTTCGAATGTTTTTATATCTCCATTTTCTTCCAACAGTATACATTGTTTGTAGTGTGATAGTTTCGAGGAGTTTGATCCACTAGTTGCCCATCCAAGTGTATAATGTTCAAGATAAATCAACCGACTATTTTTCGATACATTAAAAGCGGCAACACGTGCACCTTGCTGACAACCCCATATCTAAAATAGTTAAATTAAAATAGTTAGATTTTTCCCTGATAAATTTCTTTTAGTAATCAAGCAGACCTCCACTAATTGCCGTTTAGGTGCATGAATAACAAGAAAAAGAGCCGATTTTTTTGATAATAAACTCATTGATGTATCACGAACTGTTGATTCTTCAATTTGAATAAAACCAATTTCGGCTTCACGATAACCTTATATGTATATATATATATATATATATATATTTAATCAGATATTTTAGTTGTGATTTAACAAGAATTGATTCAAATACAAACCTTTAAACATGCGAATAGCGATACCTCGATGAACATCATAGATAATAATACGACCAAAACTATCACAAACTGCTGCTATATGAAGTCCAGGTGAAATAATAATTTTTTCTCCATGTCGACGCAAATCGCGAACGCAAAATCTACACAGTTTATTTTCATTTAATTCATTTACGTAAAAATAATTCCAAATTCTTTATTTACTTACCTACTATCAAGTTTGGTGTCTGGTTCTATTTTAACTTTTCGATTTTCTGTATTCGTTGTTGCTTGTTTCAATGGAAAAAATCGACTATGAAAATGTAAAAAATATCTGGTAGTAAGTGATCACAAATGAACTAAATAATTTTTTTAACGTCTTTCCAAGTAATCTGTAGAAGTTTAACTGGTTAGAATCGAACTTTGATATTCTTTCAGATTAAAATTTAACATCTTTACAGAAACTCGCATTGACGAATTTGAAAATTAAGTTTGGACAAATTAAAACATATCAAAAATTGACCTGATCTATCAACTAGCACTATTGGTTCTTAATCACTTTGCAGAGAACAATCTTGCTTTTAATTTTATACCAATGACAAATAACAATAGAACATTTTTCAGAACAAAAAAGCTATTTCGTCTTCATGAAAACTTAATCTTCACGTCTCTGAAACTAATATTTTTAGATTTCTGCAAAGTCTTAAAAACCGATTGAACCGTGAACAAACATTTCTCTACTTGCTTTTGCATTGCTCGTTACAACATACCTGACTGCAGACACGACGGAACTTTTAACTTTGTCAGCAAGTGCAAAGGCTACTTCTGTTAAATGTGGCATCTGCGCACCCTGTCATGAAAAAGAAAACAATGAGTTATAGATAAAAGAAGGCAAAAAGAAAAAGATAATAAATTTACTTCAGCACAATAATAAAAGTTGCAATATGGCTCAGCACCAATCGTAACTAAACGAGAAAACAACGGTGGTACAGCCCGAATCTAAACAATAAGAATTAAAAATATTAGTTATCAGCTTTAGAAAAAGCAATGCTAGAAATACTTGAGCTTGATAGCCACCTCTCATGGAAGCAACGCAAAATTGATCAAAACGATTATCTGTTATCAATCCTGTAAGAATAAACAAAATTTTTGTTTGCAAATAAACGGAAAAACAATTGCTATATATTTACCTGCGGGAACAAAGTCAAAAACTTGATTTTGATCAGGAAAACTCCACTTTTTAAATGATAATTGAGGTGATGTTGAAGATAACAAATTACCTAAAAGGAAAAAGTTATTGAATCAATTTCTGGTGAATTAAAATGTCAAACACAATGTAATTGTAGTTTGCTAGTAATAGGGACATTTTTTTTGTTCTATTTTGGAAGACATTCCATCACCATCTTTCTATGAAAATCTTTTAGAAGTATTTTTAATAATTAGTTCATATTCTATAACGAATTGTTGTTAATATATAGTCTTTATTCATATATCAACAGCATCAAAAGAATATTTCAATATCCACTTCCATCGATAGAGAATTAACTATCGTCATTTCATTTTGATCAGATGTGCTCCAAAGAAAAAATTGAAAGAAGCGAACAAATTGCCACAAAAAAAGTGTAAAATATTATATCGAGTTATTTTGAATGTTCATTAAATATATATTACTACTGATAAAATTCGAGTTTAATATTAATTATTCTTTCCTAGTTCGTCTATACCTCACTCATTTTACATAGTGTTTGACAAAAATATTATATGTTATCAAAACAAAACAGAAACAGAACGACTTCTTTTCATACTTGATTTTAATACATGATCTCGACAAACTTTTAATAACTGATAAAGTGACAAACCATCAATGACAACAAGTATTGATGAGATGTATCGAATATAGAGTTCGTCAGGCTAAATTATAAAATAGAATATACTAAATAGAAGAAACAAACAACAATTTTATTCAATAAAACCTGTTCTGTTAAACTTCGAATAGGCGATGGAAATTGTGTATGGCATTTTAATTGTGCTACCGATTCATCATGAAATATTTGTGAAAATAATAAAATCCCATCCTTGAAAAGAAAATATTGATTAAATTCTCGTCTCACAATATTTACTGATCTTCGTTTACTTCGGTATACATTCGAACATAACCAGTAGTAAAACCAACAATAACACATGTCCATTCATGCGATGATCTAATCAAAAAGAAATTATGGTTTATTTTTTTGAAATGTTACTCTTTAAAATTGTTGCATCTACCTCTTCACAGATGATGCTACTGGTATACAAAGTACACTTGTAATTCTTTCACTGGATATAAATGCAAAATAAAATAAAAATTCATTTTCTAGAATCAAATATACTTGGATTCAACTTGTAATTTTGTATCAAATGATGCTATAAAGTTAGATTGTTCATGACTTGAAACTTTACTTTTAGCTAATATTTTTTTCAAATAGAAACAAATGAAACATAAGTCTCAGAACTGTAAAAATTTAGTTCACCTGTTGAAACAACAATATGTTGATCAAACCCAATAACAAGTAGATTCAGCGTTGGTGAAAATGCTAATTGACAATCATTTAACCATTGATTGCGATCACGAGATATTTTATTCTTTTTCTTTCCACTTGTAGAAAGTAATGCAGCTGTTCGAGCAACACTTTCTGCAGCTATAAAAATATGTTATAGGGATTTTTTTGTTAAAATAAAACAAAAGAATAAGCTTCACTTGGTATTTCATCATCTTCTGTTGCATCTGTATCAGTTGTTGTTTGATAATCATTATCGACTATAGAATCAAGTAGATGTGGTAAGAGCACAGCTCGAATACGTGATAAATCATCGATTTTTGATATTATATTTAGAGAACAAGCCATCTAAACAAAACAAAAATGAACATATTAAACTTCAGTAGATCTATTATTCAATGACGCAAAATAGAATATTCAAGAGAAATAGTCAAATAGAATGAAGTTCACATTCTCGATTATCTTCGGAATATATAAATAGAACAAGATTGAATATTTTCATAAATATAAATTTGCTTGAACTTGATAGAATATCATATTGTTATCAACAATATTTTGATCTGTCAGTACATTCTCACAATCAATAACGATTGTTTTCGTATATAAGCTTATAACTGCCAAATTATTGTGGACTATCATGAATAATTAAATATTATTAAAAAAATGTTAACTGTCTCTTAGAAAAAAATATCTTTGTAGTAAGAATTTATTACAATCTATCAAATCTATAAAAAAAAAAACCCGAATGGTTTAAGAAGTTATTTGGAACGAATACTATCTCATTTTCAACTAATGACAGAACATTCCGATCAATCAGCTGCTACACTAAAATCTATTATTGGAATATCTAGATATCCATTCAAAACTAAGGCTGTCATTGCAAAACTTTTCGACGTTTTTCTAAAAGTTACACATATAAAACAAGTTAATTTTTATGAAAAAGATTAATTTTTCAATGTCAATGTTAATATGCCGACAGATAGTGACATCTACTCTATCATTCATATATATATACCACAACTGCTTGCGTTTTTTAATAAAATGTTAAAAATAGTACAATTCAGGTTACAGATGAACAATTAATCAGCTCTTATTTATATGTTTCTTATTTTATAAATCGCCATCGATTTTAAGTTGAAATTAATATCTCAACAAAAAAGAACTTGGTAAATTTAAGCAATCCCCCTAGTTATTATCAAATGTAATCATGATCATTTCTTCTTTCGCACATGTTCAACATATCAATAACAGAAATAGATTCTTGGTTGCGTGTCATATCCCATCATAGGTAACTGGAATGCTTTCAAAGAGAAGAAGGATAAAAAAAACAAGAAGAGAGAAGTGTATCTGTCTCAGAGTAATTATAGTTAAAAAGCATTACTACGTACAAAGATGGGTACCAACATACAAACTCTGTGACAAATATATATATATATATGGTGAAAATTCCTATAGACATATCTTTTCCCTAGGTAACTATTTCAGTTTATGAAAATTTCAGTTATTAAATCGAAGCTGATTAAAGTAAGAGTCTGTATAGTTTCATTCGAATAATTCAGATAGCATTAAAAATTCCTAATGTAAGTTTAACTACATATATTATTTATTTAATTGAATATTTCAATAGTGCTGTCGCCGATGAACACAACAAAAGCCATCAACGTAGAGTAGACGTACAACGAACATAGGTCTATTTGTTAATTAATTAATTCGATTTTCATATTTTTGTAAAAATAATTTCTGGTACAAAATGGATGATTGATCCATCACAATACTTATATTACTATTGTTATTGGCCATCAATTGTTTCTGTAGTTGTTTCCTATAATTTTATAATGCTTATTGGTCGCAGTGCTTTTTTAATGCTTCAAGAACATCTTTTAATTGCTAAGCTTATTTGTGATTATTTTTGCGGTCTATTTTATATTATTGGTACGCTTATACACACACACACACGAAAAGATTTCTTGTCTGTTTACGTTAAGAAAATTCATTTGGAACAAAATGAGTTTGCTTTTTGTTAAAGGTTATCTTGAACAAAGTCTCATTGTTCACGATTTAGAAAAAAATCCGAATGCATCATAAGCATAGTCGTACATTTATATTTGATATCATACTAAACAAATCATCCAAATGTGTTTCGTTTCGTTTCGTTACATTATTAACAATTATTCTAATTTTAATACATTGGAATGTTGGTTTCTATTTTATAATAAGTCGTTGGATTGGTTATTCATTTGATTATTGGCTTTATAATATGACGAGAACAACATTAATATCACAATATTTATATTGCTTTTTTTGGTCAGCAGTGGTATTATCTAATATTGATGAGATGTTACCACCAGAAACATGTGTGACAATCTGTTGCTAATGTAGAATATTTTAGTCTTCTTCCTTTATGAAAGATTTATTCATAAGAGAATTAGAGAAATTTCATATTTGTATAGAGACAAAAAACAAAATGAATGTTACAATAGCTTGTCTTTAAGTAAACACTATTTAGATGCATAAGAATAATCACAGCTGATGTTTCAAGCATATTATAATCTTTTGTTCGTTTTCAGGAACATTATTTTGTAGACGAATACATTTTTAGAAATCAACCTAAAGTTTATATCTGTTTTCTTTTGGTTGACACCGATCATTACAGAGACCCATGTTGTGCGCTTGATGACATCCAAACATAGTTTATGATATAGTATTCATAATTTGGTTACAACTACTACAAAGTCTTGCCTCACATTTGATAGCTTTCGAAGATGAATATCCAATAATTTTAGTCAAAATGCATGAATCCCTGAAACATTGAGAGCTATCTAACCGTTAGTAAGTTCGATAGTACTTGCAAAGATTTTTGACTGCTTCACCAGAAGCTCTGTTCTCATAGCAGCAAACTAATTTACATTCAATGATTAGTCATAATAAAAAAATGTTTAGATTAAAACTCTTCGTTGTTGCTGATTTTCTAGCAGATGTCATAGTTCCTGCTACCAGTAAGTTTTATTAACAAATATGTTATGAATAAAAATATAAAAGACTTCTAGTTGTTAGTAATGTTGGATCAATAATTGCTAGTATGAATGCTGTACATAATGATTTTCGTCAAAAAGTTGATCAAATGCAACAATAGCTGACGTTTCGAAAAGTTGGAAATGATCTTCAACAATGTGATCTTATTTGGTTTGATTATTTGTGGTTAGCAAAAAAAATTGTGAACTAAAATCTTCTACTAGGTAAAGAAAAAGAAAATCACTTGTTAGTTCTTTTTTTTAAACAAGAACAAATGAAAAATATATTTAATTTACTTTTTACAAAAACATATGGAATCATAGCCACAAAATCTACGTGTTTAAATAGCTTTACACATATACTTAGTTGCATTGAGATGTATGCCAGTTTTTGCTGAAGCTCAACCTTGTCTACTTGCTAAACTTGTAACACAATTGAAATTTTGAAATTACAAATTTTAAGTCACACCGATCATGTTTCCCGAAGAGGTGATTACTATTCTCTTTAGGATTTATGTATTTACATTGTATTTAGGTGATATTAGTAAAGAAATGTTGTATTCGATTGTAGTGCAAAAGTATTTGTTACATTTGAAGTAGGCAGTGCCTTTGATAATATATTTATTGTAAATATTCCAGGTACGATTGAAGTCAGAAGAACACAACTGTTATACTGGATTGTTTTTTTTTAGCAAGCAAAACTGGTAATCATCGTACAACCAATATTCAAAGTGTTGGTTATTAAAATTTTGTTGTTTTAACAAACAAGATTTATGTGAAATATTAGTTGAATATCCATCAGCGCATGACATATTGATTGAACGTGTAAGAGCTTATTTACACAAACACAATCTTCTAGATGAAGATGTTATACCAGAAAAAAATCTACACAATTAGAAAAACATATTGATAATTTGGAAATATGTTTTGCATCACGTATTTTGGGTAGAATGTAAAGCAAATGTGAGTAAACTGAATCAGCGATTACAAGTTATTGAAAAATTAGATGAAGAACATTCAAGAATCATGAAAAATAACAAGAAAAACGATCTTGATCATATCCGAATTGATACGAACGATGATGATATTTGATTAGATTATAACTATGGATTATACATGTGTCGATGTGTATGTTCTTTCTATTTGTTTTGCATTCCCTAAATATTTATATCTAACGTGAATGTTATTTGAGAAGCTAGTTATATCAAGTTCACATAATATTCATACCTCACGTACATTTATATGTAATCATATTGATTATAATCAATGTTCAGCAAAAGAAAAATATTTATATCTCATCAAAAATAGATTAAAAACTTTTACGACAAAAATTAAAAGAATAATAAATTCTCATCATTGCTTGAGTTTTATCTCTAGAGAATCGTTTCATTTGAATAAATGACATACGAAAAGATCTATAACTACTTCACAATAAAAATATCACATCGTCTTCGTTTTTATTATTCTTTTGAAAAACATCATTGATACATAAAATGCATTTTCTCAGGGCAAGATTGCCATGTATGCATACTAACTTTAGCTTCTTCTCATATCAAGAGAATGATCTTGCTGTTTTTCAAAATATGTCTGTAGTATATGTACAGATATTTATATGGATCAAAGAGAGAGAGAATAAAAAAAAGAAAGAAATGCTCTTGTCTTCATTTACGGACAAGGATAAGTCTCGTCAGCTATAGTACTAATAACAGGTTTGAATCGATATTAACACATATATCAACATTCGAAATGCTTTTTAATTTGAATTGGCATATTGTTCTTTTTATTATTTTTATGAGCAACTGTAGCTACTCAAAAACATTTATCGATATTTCTAATTAAAAAGACCTGTCGATAATCGCTAGACACGCGATACACGTCAAGAAAGCTAAAAGTCAACTTTATATTGACCGTTATCGGTTTGTCTTCTTTCATGTCATCTCAACGTCTTCTGTTTGATTGATTAGAATAAAGAAAGAGAATAAATTAAAGTTATCAAACAAGTAGTATGCCATTCGTTTTTGTCGAAGTATATAGCTGCGCACAATATAAAGTAAAGAAGGAAGAAGGCCATTGAGGATTGACCGTTTATCCTTCTCTCCTTCTAGAGCAAGCAAGAGAAAGAGATTGATTCTCTTCTCTTTCCTTCTCTTTCTTAGTATACACATCTTCTACATTTCATTGTTCATACGGACGAACACAGCAAATAGACGATAGCAACACAAGTAGGCACATCACCAGTCCTGTTCTAGATCAATTCAAATATTTCTATTGTCGGATATTCAACGTTATTGATACAATGAATAATATTTTTTCAACATCTACATCTGAAACTAGTCCAGATACAGACAGCCAACCGCTCGATCATCAATCTTTACAACCGTTAGCTTCTGAACCCGCATCAATAGTGGAAACAATTAATTCAATTTCATCAGAGCCTGTATCGACATCAATAGATTTAGTAGAGCAAGTGAATATTGATGGAAATGTTCAAGCTCATATAGATGTTAAATATGAAGCCCATGACGTTGCATTAACATCTGCTAAATCTGTAAATGATCATCAACAAAATAATGGTTTTAAAGCTTGTGAACATCATAAAATAGATTTAACTGATAGTGATCAACATTCAGAAAAATCCAAACCATCGTGTGTCATGTTAAACAAATTAAAATGTTTTTTGGCTTTTATAGTTTTTATATTATTGTTTTGCAGTATTATATGCATTATTTTCTATCTTAAAACAGTAAGTTCACTCAAAATATCTATTGTTTGTTTGTCGATTGGAGTGTCAAGCTGCAAGAGAAACGATATACACCGAGTATATGTTTGTATGTATTCAAAGGATTCTCATTTGAAACGAATCATTTTTTTGTGTATATAGTCTAACGAAAAGCTACTTTCAAGGACAAACATACTGTGTAATTAGAGAACGTGAAGGAAAGTAACAATAGCCGTTCATTATCTTGTTTTCATCGCTTGATTGAATAGAAATACGGCAGATATAAAGCATCTGACAATTGAAAGACAAACATCTTTATCAATGAGATGTATCTGTTCAAGGCTGATATACGATTAATTAATTCTCGAGTGATTAATTCAATACATTTTTTTTTACTTATTTAATACAAAATAGAAAAGTATTTTTCTCTATTTTAATTAAAAGAAATTCTGCATCTACAATGATAAAGAAGACAATCGACTAGAACGGTTTGTCATCAATAATTTCTCGAGTGAAAGTGTCAAGAACACTTGAAAGAGTGAAATTATGAAGTATACTTAAGAATAAAACAAAGAATCGTTCAGTTCGTTGATATTTCTTTTTCAAACTATTCTATTGATTTTGTTCCAAAAAAGAACGGCAACTAATTAGTAGAAACTTTCGAAAAGAACTAATCTCCTTGACTCGCTACTGGCGATTGAGTGCTAGTGGAAAAAATACTTAAGCTTCTTTTTGGAAGCGTTGAGAGAGAGAGAGAGAAAGAGACTGCCCATTCCATTTTCATAGGCATAGACAGATTGGTAGCTAGAAAAATTTTCCAAGTTGAATACTCGTCAGCAGAAAATGTTTCTGCCATTGCGATCAGATTTATCACTTGTAATGCTGTTTTATTTGCTTTTCGCATAAAGAAAGTCATTTTCTGAAGAATATTTTTCTCGTGATGATACTATTGATCATAAATTGAAATTCTAATTTTCATTTTTCATATTTAATTGAATAAAAAAACCTCCAACAACAGAATTTAGCATTCATTAGTAATCACTATTCATGATAGGACTATAATTTAAAAAATCAATTTGAATACAATCAAGAAATGATAGACACTAAAATAAAATGCAAATAATTTAAATTTCATATTTTTTTTATAGTACGATAGAAAGAACAATCAATCAAAACTAAACTACGTATATCGATTGGATGATGGTTCAATTTCATCAGAAATCTTAAGCAATGAACCCTATTTTTATTTGAAACATCCTGCTAAAGATGGTATCATAGTTGTATTGTCTCGTCGTGGGGCATTAGTTAATGATATATTAATTCCATATAAAGATGAAACTGATTTGAAGCAAAACCGATCAATAGTTGTTAAGGCTGATAATGAAAATTATTTTAGTTCTGTAATTACTAGTTCTAATGATCCCAATAATACTATGAATATAACAAATCAGTTACCTTCCAATCATCCATTCTTAAACATGTACAAAGAAGACTGGTCAATGTATGCTTATGCAGATAATCCAATGCGTGTTCGTTTTGTTTATAATGCAGCACAAATAATTTACGAACTTTCATCGAATAATCCAAATGAATTCACCATGAAAACAATAGTTTCACCACCATTAAACCAACAGATTGTTGCTGATTTAACAAATAATATCTATTTTAATTTACGTGGTTATGGAAATTTGAGTGCAGTAAGATTTTTACTCGTACAAAAAAATTGTTAACTTAATTTTCTTCTGTTTTAAGCATTATTTAAATTTAAGTTCATCAAAGCCAATAGAATTCTTCAGTGGCAAAACAGTTGAACTAGATCAATTAAATAAACCACAGCAAGTTGATAAATTAGTAAATATGAATAAATATTTTTATACATTTGAACGTGTTGGTATCGGAAAAAATTATATGGCGATGTAAAAATTTCTTGAAAAGAGTAAAAAATTGTTCATTGAAGATGTATCATCTATTTTTAGGCTATTTAACAATGAAACTGGAATAACAATGCGTGTATTTTCTGATCATACGGGTGTTATTATTGATCCATACGGTATTAAATCACCCAATCTGAATGAAAATCGTACAACATCAATGCTTGATATGCGTGGCATTCGAATAAGTCCAAGGCAATCACCTTTTTATCACCCAGTGGTAACAAAACATAATTGCTTATAATCTTTTTTTTTATTTCCAATAAATTTACTTTTTAGATACATTATGGTTATGGTCCAACTTTAGTTGTACATCCATCCGAAGCCATTCATACTACATGGTGGCAATTCGATTATAAGAATTAGAAGACGAGTGTTTTCTTTCTTTCTTTCTTTCTTTTACTCGATTTCTTCTTCTAACAATAAGTAACAACGACTAATAACATTTCTATGCTATAAGTACATACTATCTTTTCTTTGTTGTTCAGTATTTCACGTTTATCTGAACATAAAACTTTTCGTTTTTGGTTTTTTCTTCTCTTCTTCATTTGCTTTTGATTTTTGTTGTCTTATTAAATTAGTGTATTCGTTTAAATCTACTCTTGCAAACAATAATTTTCTTATCACATTCGTGTTACTGGTGTAATCGTTGTTCGATGAATAAATAAAAGTTTACGTTTATATTAAAAACAATTGTTTTCAGTTTGAGATTAAATGATTTATTTTGTTTTTCTGTTTCGCCCTGAGCATATCAATGAAAGAATGATAAAATGGGAGGAGACTATCGATAAATATATACACAAGCACAAGAAAAAGATATTTGTATTTTTGCACAGATAAAAACGATGAAAGAAAAGGAACAAACAAACAACAACAACAACAACAAGAAAACCAATCATATATTTCAATAAGGTAAATAGTCAAGAGAGAGAGAGAGTCAGATATAAAATGTATTGCGACTTCGTTGAAGTAACATGACTTGTTTAATCCACTTTGTTGATTCACTGTGTATCGTTTTCTGTATTTTTTGTTCTTCGTACAATGACGAAACGTTTTTATGTTAATCTCTATTTTCGTTGCGATGTGTTATGCATGAGAAATCAAGAATCAAAAATGAACAATGAGATATAATGTGTGAGAGGAAAACAGCAGTTGAGAGTAAAAATAAACTATTTCTGACTACCAAATAAATAAACAGACATACTAAACATAAAACAGTTGTGGTAGTGGTGGTGGAAGACGCCTCGCAAACGATTAAATAAAATGTTTTAAAATGGAAAAAATAGTAATAAAAGAACAAGAGATTGAAACCACCACCATATAAATTAATCATCGTTGACAACACAAAAAACATTAAAAGTATAAGTATGAAGAACATTGCAGAATTTTATTGAGTTATATCTTCTTCTTGCCAGTTTTTTCACTTACAGTAGCATTTACTGATGACGCGGTTGGCCTGAAAGAAAAATAGATAAAAAATATTATATAAATAAACTAACTTTTCTCTCATTTATATAAGGAAAATGATGATGACTGAAGCATATAAAAGATTTGACAAAATGTTGTAAAAATAATCCGGTGCTGATTTTCCAACAAATGTGATAAATTTAACTTTAATTTATTGGCGAATAATGTCGAGTTTTGAAAAATTTTCTTTTAAAGAGAAACTACATCACTATTTAAATGATCTATATACGTATATAATTAGATAGATAAATAGATATTGAACAGCGAGTAAGTCACTAGTTTATTCATTTTCAAAGCATGGCAATATTAGAGTATTTCTTTGATAAGTCATTGTTACTGTTCTTTCCAGTATATGAGAAAGTATTTATTCAAAATTTGAAAATTAATTTTCCTAACATTTCTCACACTCAGTACGACATCAGCTTCAAAAGTAAAAACTGTTATCGAATATTTTGTAGCAACACATTGAAGATCTTTACTCTTTTATCGATATTTCCAGTTCATTACGATCTATATACTATATATGGCCTCGACTCAAACATCATTATTCCGAAACTATACCGAGTATAGTCGTCATCCAATTATTTAATAAAGACCAACAACTTCAAATGCAATGTGTAAATGAGAGTTAAAAAGCGCTTACCTTATGGTTTCATCAACGTCATCATCATCTTCATCTTCTCGTACATCATGCAAATTATTTAAAGTGCCACTACACACTCGAAAAAGAAACTGAAGAATAAACTAGAGTAAACAAAAGAAAACATTTTTTTAACACGTTAATTTCATAGGAAAATAAAAACAATAGACTTACGAAAAGCCAATAGATATTTAAACCTAGTAAGATCCATAATAATCCATTAAAAAATCCATACAAACCGCAACCTTTATCATAGGCTCGATAGGCAGTAGTAACTCCCGTTGTATATAATACTTTCATTGGATACCAATATAAACGAAATAAAAACCTAATTGAACACAAAAAGAAAAGAAAAGAATTTTCGATCTAATTGAAACATAGGCCTTTTTCATTTTTTCGTACCAGCAAAATGTAAATACAATAAAACAACAGGAAGCAGCAGTTTCCCACATTGGATATTCTCGACCATTTTGTCTGGATCCTAAATAATGTAAAAATTTCGTAAGCTCAAGCCAAATATCAGTAATATCATGAACAAAAAGAACAAGTAAACCAATTTTATGATATCTATAAGTAGAACGTTTTTTGATAAATCAAACACAAAAGAAAACAATTGTATTATTTTATACCGTGTTGCATAAGATACAAAAATTAAAGTCATCGTTACAACATGATGAAGAAGCATAACATAAAAATCTTTGCGTTTATAATCCATGTAAAGTGTTGCATAAATAGAATGTAAATAAAATCCACATTGAACAAAATACATTAATCTTATATCAAATGGAACTGTCATGCCAGGTGACCAATCTATTCAACGAAAACTGTTTCGTCTTTATTCAATTTGGCTTTAATATTAACTTACCATCCCATATTAGATGAGGCTCATGAAAAAAAGTATAACGATAATGAAGTAAATAAACGCAATATGACCATGTACATGTGTAAAAAAAACACTTCCATGCTGATTCGGGAAATTTCTTTTTATCTACTCTTTTCAAATCAATCCAATTTACAAATGGCTAAAAGAAAATGGTCATATGACATTTGAATCCAAGAAGAATATATTATTTTAGTTTTTGTGAACAAACCTTGCAAATGAAATTTTCAAATAGATAACGTAATAGTGTGATAAATATTGCTATATAAACAATATAATAAACTTGATCAATTGGAAAGTAGAAATGTCTTGTAAAATCTTCAACAAATGAATGTGGAAACGAATAATCACGCCACATATGTGGTTTATAATACCATGATATTGTATTCCAAATACCTATAATAAGGTCAATATAATTTGGTGTTGCTGTAAAATTTCCTTTTAAATTTTTCCAATCTTCTAATTGTTCAATTGTTAAATGAGAATGACCCATGATTCGATATAAGAACCCAATAAATACTATAATAATATGGCTATATTGCTATTTTTCTTGTTGTGCCTTTTATTAAATGTACTTGTCTTAATAGATAAATATCAAACAAACATTAGTTGTTTGATTTGTAGAAGAATAAATAACAAGAATGATTTAACATGAGCATTATTTAGCTATATGTAACAACTAAAATACGAAGCAATGAATCAGATGTGTTTCATGCGTATTTCAATGAAGAACGATGAAATAAAAATAGTCGATTGGTAATACTAGTCGCTATTTTTCCGTTTTTTCTCTAAGTATTTTTCGCCAGAGGTTGCCGATATCAACTACAGAAGGAGACCGAGCGACAAAAGAAAAAAACGACTAATGATGAAAAAATGAAAATACATTATGAAAAATAAATGATTCATTTAAATAAATACAATCATGGAGTAGTAGAACAGAAGAGAAAAAGAGAATGGCGATGCAGAATGATACGAACGAACTAACACGGGTGCTTAGAATCTACCAATCGAAATACACCGCATAATCCTCTAACTTAATGCGTGTCTGGGAAAATTATTCTAGACAAAATATCTATGCATTAGCTTTATGTTCATGAGTCTATAACGACTAGAATTGACTTAATGATCGGAAGTGACATAATACGAAATCAGAGAACTGAATGCAACAACGTATTTTTCTTTAAATTGTTAATAAAAAGTAGACCGAGAGTTGTTTCAAACTATGAATATGTTGGTTAGAAGTTATAATAGACAATCCTTTTTCTATTATCGAAAGCGCATGTTTATTCACTTTCAGTTTGATTCAAGTAACTTTTTATTTGACTTAAAATAACATCGTTTAAAACTCAAATATTTGCCAACGGTATAGACTTAAAGTAATGAACTTCCAATGAGTTTTCTATTTAGAAGCAGTAAAAAAACAATGTCTTACAAGTCTATAAAGTTTATGAAAACAGAATACTATTTCGTAGAGTAGATTCTTTTCTCATACAAAAATCTAAGTCTAAGATAAAATTCTGTGTCAATATGTAAATTTTTAGGAGTCAGACAAGATTTTCCAAGCAGCGTCTTACAGTAAAAATATTCCAAGTAAAAACATCTCATTTCATATTTTTTGTCATAACTGGCAAAATAAATCAATTGAAAAACTCGAACAATGATGAACAATCAATGATTATTACGTTCCTAATATAGATAGAACGGTTTTTTGTACTCCATATCTTACAGGAGAAAACTTTTCGAAATTTTTACCAGCCTAATTTGGAACATATTTATCCTTTCCTAATCCTATTATCTACGATGCGTATCTTAGCCTTGTTGAACAAGTATGAGATCAAGCATCATTCGTTTGTTCATTTTCCAGCTACTGAAACGTTCACGTCTAGAGTAGCTTTTTCTCTGAATAGTTGTGGATATGAATTGTAATTTCAAGCTTTGTTTGGTTGTCTAATTTTTTTGTCTTCAACTCATTTTTTTTTCTTACAGTAATGCTTAAACAAATGAACAAATTCTCTAATAATACCTTTTAGATTAGAATAATCCATAGAAGATATATCTGATTTTATTTCAAGTGATCGTCAAATAAGATATTTCAGTGGTCTTTTGTTTCTATGCAAAGTCACGAATTGTATTGGAGCGCAGCAATCTTGCAAAGAATATTGATCCGAGATAAAGATACGAGTTCTGAACATTGATTTCTATTCAAGTGCCTTACAAGATCGTAACAACGCTTGCTGAAATGGCAACATCGAACCGTATAATTTTTTTGAATTTTTACTAAGAAAATTAAGTTTGCAAATATAGTCTCTGTTATGTTTTTCATTCCTTACATGACTGTTTCGATCAGTTCGGGCAGCTCATTATTACTGTGAAGTAAAAATAATTACAATACTTTTAAACATAGCGCATCATTTTTCAAAATCTTCAATGAATCAAGAGGAAAATTATTGAAAAAAATGAAAATGCCACTAAGCTTTAAAGCAAACAGAAATCCTGCCAGAGTAAGTTTTTTTTCTATAATACGTAATATAAAAAAGAGCAAGCTATAGTCATTTTGATAAGTAGTAACAAGCAAAAGTTAAAATCCATTTTAAATAAATAGAAAGCAATTGTTAACTCTTTGTAATATTATTGGAGTATTCTATGATGAATTATTCAATGTGTATGTCAACTAGATCAATTACTATTGAATAAATGCGTTTTTTCGCTCTAACAAACGATCAGTAAATAATAGACAATTGAATAAATGTTGTCACCTATTCAATAAAGAATAGTAACCACTTTCATGATAGTAAAGATAGACTCATAAGTTTTACTTGTCTTTTAAAAAGTTTAGATGCTCTAATGTTTCATATCTTATATCGTTTATAAATTATTAATTTTATCTTTTTCATAACTATTCTACTAATAATCATCAGTACTATAGATGTTTAAGTTAAATACATTTTTAGATTAAAAAAAACTCATCCAATAGAATAGTCTTTGTTTTCTGTTATCTAGTGAAATAAAACGATGATTTAACGAAGAAAATATAATCATCACTTGTTCAATGTAACTAACAGTGTCGTAAAGAGTCATTTATTAAACGTTGATTTAGGGACTTCAGACAATGATTTGATTTATTATTTGACATGAAATATTTCAAAACAAAAATCAGCGCATACAGCAAACTTGACGTAGCTACTTATATCAATGGCATAAATAAAAACAAGTTGACTGATAAAAAGACAAGGACAAGAGCACAGAATGAAATGAATTTCTATTATCGTTAAAGATTATTTTTTATAATCTTGATCTTATTCGTTCATCTTGTCCATATCAACAATAGGTCAATATATATTTTATTGCAATAAACTACATAATGTTATGAAAGAAATCGATGATGATGTTTGTTTTGTATTAATCTTGTAATGAAATAAATTCTCATGTTCTATCTATTCATCATTTAAGTTGTTTATTTACTTTCTAGAAGTTTAAATCAATCGATTCAAAAAATTCAGAAATAAGAAATTTGTCATTCGATTCTAACATTGACCTATATATCAGAAAGTAGAATAGCTAAAGAAAATATTTTTATAAATTATAAACGGTTTATTGGCTTTTGCTTGAAGTAATGTTTAGTAAATACATTGCTAAATTGGGGTAAGATAAAAAAAAACATGAATTCATCATAGATCAATGCTACGTGTTTTTTGTTTTCAATTGATTTGATTTGATTCATTTATGGAAGTATAAAATGAATCCTTTCATATAGTATAAAATGATTTTTTGAAAAAAACCTAGATAAAAGCATTACATTCACATGAATTAAAAACGATACTCATTAATAACAACTGAATTAATTTACTAAATTTGACATTTGATTGATATCTCCTAATAGATACATACATATCATCAATAGAGAATTATGTCGTTTATATATGCAACTATTTTTCAATAGTTAAAATTATTAAAATAAACTAGTTTAGTTTCACTCTTATGAATCAAAAACTTTATTTCACCTGTGCTAAAAGTTACTCACTGCTATGCACATTAGATATTTTCTTTTTGTTCTATGACTTGAGACAGCAACGAATATTGACAAGACAAGAAATTGTCATAAGTACAACATAAAGCTGAATAACAAGTAGTTTTGATTTATAATTATGATTACAATTATTGATGATTGACAGTGGCATTTACAAAACTCTTTTATATCACATAACATATTCTATTTGAAGCGATCAGAATCCTGTAGTTTCTGTTAAATAGTTAGTTTTTTGTAGCTTGTGTAATACTAATTTCAATCTACTGTCGTTCAAATAATTTCATTTCCTAAGTTACAATCGTATGAAAATATACATATCCGATATGATTAAAAACAATTGTAATAAATATTATTTTCATTTTATTTTTGTTTGTGATTTTTTTCTTGAAATTTTTACAATAGAATCATGTTATAGTATTTCTTTATTACTCCATTGATACAGATATTTTGTATTCATTTCATTCAACTTTTAGTAGTAAAATTGCTTCGTATGCTCAGTTATGATCTAAGTTTTTGTACTATTTCTGCTATTGCCACTGCGTGTGGTAGTAATACGAACGACCATATATATTTTCTTTGCGTTGTTTCTTTTCTTCTTCTTCTTCTGTTATTGCCTTTCATCGGCTTATTCTTTTTTTCTTTTTGACTACGATTGCTTATTTGTGGGTATTGCACTGATGGATCAGCACAAGAAAAGAAATTGACGAATGACAAATGAGAAAAGAATGTAAACTGGGCACGGCGCCAAAAAGAAACATAGGATGTACAATTGTAAACGAACGCAGCCAATGAATAGCTACAATGGGTAATCAATAAGCACATGACAATGCCAAATGCGACTGTGGAAAGAAATGACAGATATTTACAGTCGCATATGTTTTCATCAGACAATATATGTCTATCATTTTTAGCTTCTAAAATGATAAATGTTCATTCGTTTTTGCGACACTCAGAATCTTGAAATTTTTAAACGCATAAACATAAAGAATATATAGAAATAAGAAATAAATTGAAAAATTTTCATAAATGTCATCAATTAAGTTAATCCTCAAAGCGTTTTTCATGTCCAACATTAGATGAGATCTTTTTTTTCTTTCAGACAAAATTTATTCGAATGGCTGTTTCTCGCCCATTTATTAAACTTAAAATTGAACTGGCGCGCATATAGACTCGTTTATCCACGCCATCTGTATATGCATAGGTCGTGCCTTGTTCTTCGCTTTTTTTTCTTCTTATAATGTACACATATCTCGCGTTCTCTTTCTCTTTCGTTCGTTCGATTTTCTCGAGCAACATCAAGAATTCTTCATCTTCAATGAGTAATGGTCGTGTCCTCGTCTTCAATGCATTGATGATTTTGTTCTCTTTCCACCATCATTCTTTACATACGAACACATATATATGTGAATAATGAATCGAGCAAGTAATGCGAGCGAGCGGTCGATGTGTAGGCAGAAGAGGAAAGTCAAACAAGCGCTCGCTTGCATTTCACTATCGAACAGAACAGAATAAAATAAAAAGAAGAAGAACGCGAAGAAAAGCAACTACGCTTCTAGCACGTATCAAGTATATAGCTTTTATTTGTGTATGTGCGCATAGGCATTCGAACGAAAGAGAAAAGAAAAATTGAGCTTCACCAAGGAGCAATGTCGATAGAGAACAAGAAAAAAAAGAAGTAATATAAATTATAAGCAAAATGGTGTTCGCGTCGTCGTCGTCGTCGTCGTTGTCGAGCGAGCATCGACTAACCGACCGACAACGAAAGAGAAAAGGAAAAAAGATGTCTATGTGTTTGAAGCTTTATGAAGAGAAGAGAACAAGAAAAAAAGCAAGGGGGGGGAGACGACGACGAAGAAAAAGAAGAAGGCTGTACCTATACTAACGCCATCGAGCGAGTAAGCGCGCAAATAGAAAAGGAACGACGAGAGTTTTCTCGTTAGAGTTGCTTGTTGTTGAGTTATTGTTGACAAGAATGAGATGCATCCATATTACCATCACCAACATCCTTTTTTTTAATAAACATGTTGGTTTCGTATGTAAAAAACTAAATAGAACGAAGGAAAGAAAGAAAAAAAACCGAAGGATTGTTGCACTCTATCTTTGCGTATTTCCTTTCTCATGTTCACTGTTTTTTTTTCTTCTTCTCTTTATCTATTCTACTTTCATGTTGTCAACGGGAAAAACAGCTCAAGTAGTTTTGCGCGTTTGACAGTTGCTCCACCGCCCATCCACCCATCCACCCATACTCACATAAACTCGTTAATGCGTGTTCTTATCCGTTAATATTATCCCATTAATTAATGTGAGAAAACTTTAAAACGACAGTTTCTTTCTTTCATTTAAATGATATAATTGAAAAAAAACTAAAGAAAGAAACAGGATAATTACCTTCTTTTTGGGTTCTTTGTTACTTTAGATAATTTAGTTCGGATTATTATTTTGCTGTTTTTTACTTTTTCTTTACTTTTTCTTTGTGTATTAGAAAATTTATTTTTATTTGATCAATATCAATTTATTTAAGTGGTAATACTTTCACTTAAATATGTATTAAATAAAATAAAAACGTGATAATTTATTGACACTTATATAATATAATCAATTAAACTATATGTAAGTGAATATCTTTTGTTTATTATTTTGTAAAGGAGAATAGAAAGAACACCTTTGTATATTTGATTAACTATGCGGTTTTTATTTTTGACATCAATATGACTACTTGTGTTCCTTTTATGTTATTTTGGCTGTCATTCAAAAGAGCGTAAAGTCAATTACTATTGCGATGTACAAACGATTCATTCATTCATTCATTCATTCATTCATTGAATCCCGCCTCTACATGTATATACATACATGTGAGTTCTTTTTTCCCGTGCTCATTGACTACTGAAACCCCTCTCAAACATATACATATATGAAGAGTGAGACGATAGAGAAAGAAAGAGGCCGTAAAAAGAATCAGCTGATTGTCAAAATATACAATCAACAGACAAATCATTGATGGTCAGTACAAGTTTTTCAACGAAAGACAAAAATAACATTTAATAAAAACATGTAAAGATAAATTTTAAAAAAAATGTTTTTTGTTTAATATTTTAGATCAATTGATTATGTGCGACAATCTTTCATTGTATAAAACATATATTCCACCATCAACATCACTTTCATCAATACAATCGACAACAATGTCTCCACAGTTTTATTCTGTGAATAATGATGACGAACAACATCGTACATACACGAGCATCAAACGTAAATATTTAGGTATATATTAACCGATGAAATAAATTCTCGATAGTTGATTGAATTGAATCTAGTTAAACATAGAATCTGCATGATTTCTAAAAAAAATACACTTATTGTCATTTTAAAACTTATCCTATACTGATAGTTTATCTTCAAACAGCTTTAGTATGATTGGAGTGATAAGAATGATTAGCTGAACCTATTATTTTTCGATATTGATTTTATTTATTCGAGATTATTCTTGAAATGCAAGAAATTATCGGTGATGATACGTAAAGTTTTTTCTGTGTTGTCAACAAATTTGTTTCCTTAACGTACAATAATACAATAAGTAAAACTTTTGACTTCTAAAAAAATGTTTTGATTGTTCAAATCTAAAGTTGAATGTGTATATATATATATTAGACTAGAACTATTATATTTTGTCAAATTCCATTACTTTTGTTTTCAACAAGAATTATTTAATAAAAAATCTGCGTATTTGCCAATCATTACTTATGATTAGATAAAATTTTCATACTGTCAAGTAGTTGAAAATCATTTTTGATAGTTATTTATTTTCTTGACTAAAGTTTGATTTAATATTTCATCGAAATTTTTTATTTCGAAAAAAGCTAACCTGGAGATTTGACTTGATATTCGAAACGGTACAGTCTTCATGCTGAAGTACACATTGATTCGATCAGAAATATGAAATAAAATATGTTCAATTTGCTATTCCATTGGAAAGACGAAAAAATATATAATGTACTATTTTGGTCTCTTAATCTTATGTTTTTATTTTATTACAATTTTTTTTTAAATATTTTAACTTATAATCTGATTTCGATTTTATTAAAAAGCAATAACTAATATTACTGGATATAATTATTGAAGAAAATTTGATTCTTGATGAGTGAGTATTAATCAAAATTTTTATGATAGTACGCGTTCTGCTTGAGTCTCGGTACAAATATTTATGAATAGAAGTTTAGCTGCTTGTCGTCCTATTTGTTTTTTAATTTTTTTGATCGAGTTAAATCTATAGAACCTCTTTTAATGCAGTAAACGTGTGAAATGTTTTTTTTTCAGTAAAATCTTACTTTAGACGCACCGTCACAGTCAAACGAGAAAAAGACGAAGTAATGAATCAGATTGTTAAATGAATACATATATTGCATCTAACATAATATTAATGAAAGTTATGATTAGTTGAAAAATGAAAATTATTTTTCATTTATTTATTTATTTATTTAGATTATGAAGATAATAATCCATCATTAACAACTCTTGAGCATGTTTCAACAATGTATGACTGTAATAATAGTGATGAAGATGATGAAGAAGAAGAAGATGGCGACGATGATGATGATAATGACGATGATGATGATGAAGAAGGTAGTTCTGGTGATGATGGAGCCATAAGTGATGATGAATCAAATAATATAGATTCAATAACACGTGTAACAACACCTTGTACGATAACACAACGACGTCATAGTGATACAAATCATACATCATCATCATCATTATCTTATGGTACACCAATAGTTAAACGTCGATGCACATATTCATCCATGCATGATGATGAACAAAAACGTTCTGTTCTTGTTGAATCATATAGAAAATTACGTGGTGTTAAAAAACCTAAACTTCAAGTTAGTTTACTAATATGTAATTTAATAAAACGACTAGAAAAAACTTTTACAAAAACACCACCTTCATCAAGACAACAACCACAACAGCAACAGCAGCAGCAACAACAACAACTACAGTATTATCAACCGAGAACAACATATCGTTCATCATCATCAGATAGTATTTATATGTCAACGTCATTACCGTCATCGTTAGGAAATGACGAAATTGAGACAACACCAATAAATCAACAGTATTCTCCACCACACACGTCAAATTATGATTCAGATAATGTATTATTACCTGTTGGTGATTTGAGATCATCATCATCTTCAATGTATCATCCATCGTCAACAGATGCATATTGGCTTGCTCAATCAAACTTTGCTATACCTGTTGTATCAACATCAGATGATGATGTTGATGTATCGTTGCAAGGTGGTGGTGATTATCTTGACTTAAGTGACAATACTCTTGCGTCTTCCTTTTCATCTTGTTCTTCATCATCTCCTTCTGTATCTTCATCTTTATCATCTTCATCTGAATTATTATTATCACCACCACCACCACCACCACCACCATCATCATCATCGTCATCATCGTCATCATCGTCATCATCTATATCAAATGATTGTTGTTGTTCTTCAACATCATCTCCGGCAATAACAAAACTTCTCGTTGATACCAATAATAATCATAATAATAATAATGATGATTATTATGTTTATCATCATCATCATCAACAGCAACAGCAACAACAACAACAGCATCATCAGCAACCTCACCGTCACCATGCTCAAATTCATTCAAATCAAGATTTACATTCTCATCATCATTCATCGATATCAGAACAAGCATTTTTTTATCATCATAGTGGAAATAATACCGTTGATATTATAACAACAGCGTGACGTTCTCGTTTGTTTATCCATATCTATTTGTTGTGCATCTATTTCTTATTTATTTTTCTCTCTCTATTTCTTCGATCTGAATTTCTTTCTTCTTTTTGTTTTGTTTTTCTATTTCTCTATTGTCAAACGATAAATCTTTTTCTTCTTTATTACAAATTGAAAACAAACAAAATGAATACATGCTCATTTGCATGTGTATCTATGTAAGACAAGAGTATTGTCTGTGGTATTGAACTCGTATATAAAAATGATGTTTTGTTTTTGTTGATGTTGTTGATTATTCATTGCTTTTCTCTTTCGATTTGTGCCTCTGAATTTTGTTTTACAAACTCTTTCTCTCTTTCTCGATCTTTTTTTTCTATGAAATTTTCATTATAATGATTAAAGGAGAAGAATGGTAAAAAAACCAAAACTAAAACTGAAATATTTTGATTTATCCTGCTCGAATTTTTACGTTAGTTTTAAATGAATAGTTAGATCGTGAAGTCTATTAATAGCAAGCTATTATTTTTCAATATTAAATCTACATCTCTATTCTACGACTGTTATTAAGAGCTGACATATTTTCAAGGTAGAAAACGAAAAACTATTCCTCGATTTATTTAAGTCGACATCAACGATTGAACATAGTGTTTTTTTAATTTTAAGGTTAAACATAAGAAGCTTGTTTTGTTTTAGTCACTTTCGATTTACCTCTATCGATGCAAAGCGCCATCGAGCTCGTACAATAATCCATTGGACGATTTATCTTAAAACTATTGACAGAAATCAATATTTTCGCCACCTTCCTTTTCCTACTCTCTTTGATAATAAATACACATATATCCACACGTACGTAAAAAAATAAAGAACGGGAGAAAAAGGCACAGGGGGAATATCTGTCAACAACAGAACAGTAGTAACAATCAAATAGGTCGTCGAACGTCGTCGTCAATGATAATTAATGCTTTGGGCATTCTATGCTTACTTTTACAAAACAATCGAGTCGTAAATAGGTTTTAGTTTTTTTTATTTTTGCTTCTCTTTGAGATATACTTCTTAACCGGTGATTCATTCTTGAAATGTAACTATATGATTATTGGCTATGGCAGGATATCACGTGTCATCTCTAAAACCTAATGCAGTATCAGCTAATTTACGAGCTGGTACATTTGCATTGAAATGGACCGAAGACACCAATAAATCTGGGGTAATAAATATAAGTAGTTTATCAATTTAGAATTAATATCTCTTGGATTTGCTCTATTTAGAGTCCAATTGCTGTTCATCTGTCTGTTGATCCCAAAGGCTTTTATTTGATTTGTCTAAATAAAATAACTAAAGTATGTATACATATAAACATGCCATTATCCTAGGAAAACAAAATCTTGTTATCATCAAATTTTTTTGTTTTGTTTTGTTTTGTTTTGAAGGATTCTGAATGTTTTGATATTACATTAATTCATGATACTCGAACTGGTGCTGAAGTATCACTTCCTCGAGTAAAATCAACAAAATAATATACAATAAAAGTAAAACGGATTAAACGAAGCATGTTTTTATTTTATTTTTCAGGGTGCTATTGAAAATGATCAGATGAATATTGGTATTAAGGATGTTCCACTTTCATCAAAATGGCTTACAATCTATTATGGAAATACATTTGTACCTGATCGTGATTTACGTGTCATTCATTTTTTTTTTCCATCGGCAGCTATTGCTCGAGTATAGTATTACTTTAAGAGAAAATCAATAGGAACGATAATCTTCTTTTATCTACTAAAGGAATGGACCGATAAGTTATTTCAATATGGGCATAATCCACTATTACGCAATTTATCTAGTTTGGATTGTCTTGAAAAAATTCATTCAAGAATAGTTTTTGGTCTTGTTGATGATCGTTTCGATAAAAAAGCTATTTCAGTTCGCAAGTATTTATAGCAAATTTCTTTATTTTTTTTATTTCATCTATTTACTCTATTTAGTTTAATCCACTTTCTATGTAAATATAAAAGTGACTCAAATAAAGAAGCAAAAATTCTTAAAGCACTCGAATTGTTAGAATTGCCATGCCGAACGGTAAATAATTGTGGATCATCAATATTATCAATTTTTTCCTATAGTTTTATTTATTTTTTCATAAAAACTCTTTTTATGATTATAGGAAAGTGTTATTGATCCTGATCAATTTACATTTAATAAATTTATTCGTTTCTACATGCAACTTATGGAACGTCATGAAATTGATAAAATATTTGATGCAACGTAAGAATTTTTGTTTTCTATTGAAAACGTTTTTTTTAAAATTTTCATTCATAATCAAGATTTGAAATCGATAGAAACAAAAGTATTCTAGCCATTGCACCGTAAGAATAATGATTCGAATCCTAAACATATTTATTCACAGTTACACTAGTGCGGTGCATGCTTTTTGTTTCGTTATTGAGTTTTAGCATGATATATCGATATCTACATAGAATTTCTATCTATGTGTTTAAGACATAGTTCAATACGATTATTATTATTATTGCTTTGTTTTATTAGAGGTGGAAAGCATCGAAGATACCTGAGCTGGGAGAAAGTAAAAGATTTTATTGTAAAGCAGAATGATGCACGCGGTGGTGCATTTGGCATGGATTATTATGATCAAAAAGCTAAAGATCTAGTTAAAAAATATACACAACATGATGAACATTTTATGCAAAAAGGTTTGGTTTATTCTTGCTTCGTTTTATAACTATCTAAAATAATAAAACTATTGTTCCACATTTACATGATAGGAATGAACGATGAATCATTTCTTCGATATTTACTTAGCTTTGATAATTTAATTGTCGATCCAGCAAAATATGATCTTTGTATGGATATGGATAAACCTTTAGCACATTATTTTATTGCATCATCACATAATACATATTTGATAGGTTCGTTTGTTTGTCTAAAATGAAAATAATATTTTTCTTATGTCAAATCATCTGTCGTCTAGGATCACAATTAACTGGTCGTGCTAGCGCCGAAATCTATCGACAAGCATTGCTAACTGGATGTCGATGTATTGAATTAGATGTTGTTGATTCAGAGAAAAACGATGAACCAGAAATAAAACATAAAAATACACCTGTTCGTCCAGTACCATTTATACAAGTTATCTTAGCTATTCGCGAATCTGCATTTAAAGTCAGTCCGTATCCAGTGATACTTTCGCTTGAAAATCATTGCAGGTTTGAAAAGAATTGAGCTTTTAAAATATTATTCTTGTCGTTTATTTTCTTTTTTATGCATAGTTCTCGAGTTCAAACTAAAATGGCTCAATATTTAGTTGATGTATTCGGCGAATATCTCATTACAAAACCACTAGAAAGTCATCCGATAGAAGATAATCGTCCATTACCAAGTCCTAATGATTTTAAATATAAAATATTAATTAAAAACAAAAAAATTCATCAAAGTACAACTTCAAAATCAACTAATCCTAGTGAACAAGTAACTGTACAAAAATTAGACTCAACAATAACAAATGTCAGTGATCAAAATATTGGTTTATACGCAACAGCAGCAGCAGCAGCAGCAGCAGCCACTTCTACTCAATCATGTTCTACAAATCTTTCGAATGCTACTGGCTCTCGTAGAGGAACAATTGAATATGATTTTCGTCATAGCTCACAATCGACTGAATTTGATCCACATTCAATCACTGATAATAATCCCAATGGTAGTCTTATTGACGATGATGATAGTTTTTCTGATGACGACGATACTATGTCACCAACAAATAATGACCTGAAGACAAATGATTTAAATATGAATTCAAATCCTACGGAAAATTTACAGTCCGATCAAACGAAAGTTGCGATAAATAATTTATCAAATCCAACCAGTACTAATACTAAAACAGAATCAAAAGCAACACAAGCGATGTCTGGCCTTGTTCATTATGTCGTACCTGTACGATTTTTTAATTTTGCACGATCAGAAGAACGTAATCGAAGCTATGAAATATCATCATTTAGTGAAGATAAAGCACAAAATTTAATTCGCGAGTATGCTCGAGAATTCGTTGCCTATAATCAACGACAATTGAGTAGAATATATCCTCGTGGTACACGTTTTGATTCAAGTAATTATAATCCATATTTGTTTTGGCCAGTTGGTTGCCAAATGGTTGCGTTAAACTATCAAACATTAGGTAACAAAAACAAAACATTTTGAAATCTTTTTTCTGAAGAATTAATAAATCAATTTTCTTTTAGATACTTCAATGCAAATTAATTTAGGTTTATTTTCATTTAATGGTGGCTGTGGTTATGTAGAAAAGCCAGCATCATTATGTCAATCAACTGGCTCTTTCGATCCAAAAGGTCGATTTAGTGTTGAAAATGTTGTTGGCTATCAGATCGATATAAAAGTTATATCTGGCCAATTTTTATGTCAAGATCGTGAGCCAACTTATGTTGATATTGAAATGTATGGACTTTATGCTGATGCATCGAAAAGAAATGAATATCGTTTACGCGCCAAACGATGGAATGGTTTTCAAGCTGCTTATGATGATACTGAAGTTGAAGTCGGTGAATTTTCTATTCGATTTTCAAAAGTTATTTTACCTGAAATGGCAGCACTTCGCTTTGCGGTTTCTGAAGAAGATGGAACATTTATTGGACAAAGTTTTATACCAGTTGCTCATTTACGTCCTGGTTATCGTCATATTGCTTTGCGAAATCAAATGAATATTCCAGTTCAATCATCGAGCTTATTTATATATATCCGCAAAGATGTTCACGTTGATGCTGAAAATAAAGAATTAATTGATCAATTAGTATCACCAAAAACTGCTCCAACTGTAGTAAAAGAACAGCAACAAGCAAAACGAACTAAAACTAAACTACTATCTGAACAACGTTCCCAATCATTTGGAGATTTAAATACAACTAGAAAAATTTCCGATGATGAAAAAAAGTCTTCTACTCATCACAGTGATTTTCCATCCGATGCTGCTATACGAAATCATTATCCATCGACTACAGAAATTAATTCTCCAATACTAGGATATAATAAGAAACAATATCAATCAACGCCAATTGTTGACGCAAATTGGTATCGAAATCAATTGATTGCTTCCAGTCAATTTCATGACGAGGAACGTTTGTGTAAAGAAATGTCATTGTTTAATGTTGAAGAAACAAAACCGTTCAAACGAAAACGAGAAACCATTGAAGTTAAAACACGTCGTTTTTCACTAGACTATGCCAAGGTATTGATTGACAGTAAAAAATATGAGGAAAAAAACGTTTCTCGTTCATATAAATTTTCATATTCATAAACAAAGTTGTCGGCTAGGCAATAAAAAGGAAACGAATCTAACTACTTCTTATTTTTTCCAATCTTGTCTTACATTTTAAAGAAAACTAGAGATTGTTTTTTATTCTTTTTACTTGAAATGTATCTTTAGTTTAATTATCTAAACTACTTTGTTTTGATTCGTATAGAAAATTCAAGATGAAGAAGACCGATTTAAAAAATGTCTCTACCTTCAATGTAATGCAATGCATACATTGCTGAAAAAACCAATCAATCATTGGAATAGTTCACAACTAACTACGACAAATAGTTGTACATCAAGTTTAGTTCATCAAAGATTTATTAGTGATGTAGGAGATTAATAAATTCATCAATTTATTAATATTTTCATTGTCATGTTTTTTTTTTATCTAGGAAGTGAAACAAGGTGAAACACGTCTACTTGATCTTTATTCCAGTAAATTTCATTCACAAAATGAAATAGAATATAGATTATCCAAAGAAGTTCGTTGATTTCACCGGGGTGTCTTTTTCTCGTTTGCAAGCGAATCTTTATTTATTGTTCTAGTACTATAATGAATTAGAAAAATATGTAAACGATTATTATACGAAGCAATTAAATCAAATTAATAACATCTTGAAACAGTAAGTAAAAACTCTCAAAGATAGAATATTATTGGTTTCAATTGAACAGAGTGAAGTTTTGTCTTTTTTCTGCCATAAAATTGGCAAGCATGCTTTGAAGAATATCATTATGTTTAAATTTCTCTAGCTACACAGCTCAAAATGCTTGTTATGTTTTTTCTTGATTGCGTGAGTAATGGAATTTTATCTGTCTAAATTATTGCCAAATGTGTCATCAATTACCATTGATATTTATTTTTTACCCGTTGTTTGTATGAAAATGTTTTTGTATGCAATTGAACTTTTCTGCTTTCTTTATCTCATTTTTCACACGTTCGTCCGTGTCTTGATATGTGAAATTTTGTCTAACCTTCGCAATATTTTATATAAATTAATGATTGAATTTCTTTTTTAAATTTAGTGAACAAGAAAAAGTAAAAGAAGATGTCCGAATACAAATGAGAACTGAAACAAAGCGAGCAATGACGACCGAAACGGACAGGTAGTTTTTTTTCTTTAAATAGTATATATTATGTTTTTATTATTCTCCGTATTCCTCTAGAGAAAAAATTGCCAATTTAAAAGAAAAAATTCGTCAATTAAATATTGAAGCTGGCGCTTTAGCAGTTCGAAAAGTATATATTGTTGAATTTCTTTTACATATCATGAATAATTATTTTTAACTTTAGTTGCAAGAAATGCATGAAAAAGTAGAGAAGAAAATTCGAACGAATTTACAAAAAACATTGCATAAACTTCATGAGAAAAAAGACTTTGTAACTGAGGAAATTTTTTATTCAAATTTTCTAACTTGTCTTTTTCTTTATTATTATTTAGGAAACAAAAAATCGTTTTACTTTCTATTCAAATCAACTAAATGATGTAAAATTTCGATTACAACGTGATATATATGGTGCCGAATATCATGGTGCGAGGGATGATTCTGTGACAATATCATATCGTTCCACAATAACGACAAGTGCTTCACTTTCTGCTATATCCGATCATCATCAAATGCCAGCTACTTCATCGGATTTTATCACAGCGTCATCACCATCGAATCAACTCCCAAGACGACAAACTATAAACAACCCCAATGCTATGATTAGTCAATTAGGTCATGATGAATTCATGCACTATTTAAATCAAACGACTGAGTCAACTCAACTTTAAATGTATAGCATCAGCCGTTAATTTGAAATTTCCTTTTTTTGCAGCTGCCATGAGGGCGATTGTGATTTTTCTGCCTCCCTCCATTTGTTTTTTAATATTTAGTTTGATAATTAAATGGAATTTTATGTGCTCGTGTGTGTGTTTCGCAGTTTTCCTTTTTGGTTTTTCGGGTTATGCTGTATGGTAAAACGCAGTGATTTGTCTTTCGATTATTTAAACTTTGAATTCGCGTGCATGTAAATATAGATTCAAAAAATGAATTGTAATTCTTATTTTTTGTTCTGTTCATGTTCTTTCATATGATCATATTGTATTGCATCTATTTATCATATGTACAATAGTTGATCAGACATTCGTCTACAGAAGCAACTATTAAATTCAAGATTATAGATTTTAATGGATATTTTAATTAATAAACTATAATAAAATTTCATTCATAGAATTTATAGCTGAGACAGATCGAGTAGATGGGACATTGTATCTATTTACTGGTTAATTGGTGATGCTAGTGGAAATTTGATAAATTCTTATTCCAAAATTGATTGAATATTGCAAGTTATTGTTCGCGTCAATGGCGTATTGAATCGTTTGCAAAGCTTGAACAAATACGATACGAGTGTACCAATAGGCTGAGTTAAATTTGTGATTTATAATGATGAAAAAGAAGCAAGTTTTTTATTTTTGTTTGATCATGTATAGCAAAAAAAGAAATACATACTCGATCAGTCAATGAGTGTTTTTGATTGCTAGATCATATTTGATTTCTCTTTCTTTTGTATTTTCAAATGTACTCATACTAATACTCATGTATCAAATAAAGTATTTAAGAAATACGTTGGAGAATCTAGTTATTTATGTATGATTTAAAGTCGAATACTATTGGGCATTTTAAAATTAGGTAAATAGAATATGACTGGAATATATATTTTGTTGAAATGCTTGTAAATCACTCTCCATAAATATATTATTGAATGTTATTGTAGTAAAATTCAAACATATAACAGATATGTGATGATCTTACTTATCTATTTAGGTTGCAAGTACATATTCGAAAAGTGAAACTTTAGAATTTGTTTTATGTCGTAATCAATTCTTTTCTATTGTTAAAGATTTAGAATATTACCTGAAATTAACTGTTATGATGTGATCTCTTTTCACGTTTACGCAAATTATATCTAAAACGTATATTCAAGTAGATTTAAAATAAACCAGAATTAGTTCTTGGATTTTTCGAATTAAACTTCTTATGTAGAACATTGTATGTTGTTATTTTTCGCTTATTTATGTCAAACTGTCTCGAAAATATTACTTTTAAAATGATGAATACATAATTTTAAGAGCTACTGCCGTAAACAAAAAGACCAACAGAATCTTTTGTGAACAGCGGTGAAAGGTAAAGAGGTTGCAGTATAAAATCTGGCGTGCACGTAAAGCATCACCATGCTCCTCTACGCGTGTAAAATGTGCTGTCATGCGCATCTTCCTTTTTTTTTTATCTAGACATATATGACTAATAATTAGTGAAAAGTAATATGTTTTTATGAATCATCTACGTTCGTGTTGGTTTTTGTCTCTGGCATGGATTTTTCATTGTAATCATCGGATTACACCATCTACAGATATGAGTATAAGTTTATGTCAATATTCAGTTTCGTTACATTCACAGTCACAATACTACAATTAACACGGCTCTTTCTTCGAGCATTTCAATGATTGTGAAATGAGAACATCAAAGACGAGAAATTCTTGTTACAGAAGGTGATAGTGTTGATACAATTTACCAGACTATTCTTGCAGCATTTGGACTGCAAACATACGATAATATTTATGAATATCAAGTTCAATTTTATCATCAACAATATGAAACGTTTATCTATTTGTATGAACAAACATCAGATGAATTTCAAAAGCTAGTGCATGAATTATTGATCCGGTCTGCCAACCATAAGAAAGAAAACGAAAAGTGCCTCATGGTTGTACCCAAAATGGCAACAGGGTAGGTACTTGAATGATTATACGTATTCTATGCTTTTGATCTATACTTATATGCTAAATGATGATAATTATTGTTTGTTCATATAGCAGATGGCATGAATCTAGGAGATGTACAGACTCAAACTGAAAATGAATCAAGCCATTTTCAAGCTAATACTACACAAAACTCATTTCAGCAAAATAATACGGGTAAGAATTTTTATTCAAACCGCCAACAATCGGATTATCTTCCAATCGAAGATGGTATTTATAATTGATTTCATAAATCGACATATATGAAATGATGTACTGTTCTTTATCTGTAAATAGCTCAGCTCATTCAAACTTCTATTAGATTTTCAGCTGATCTTGGCAATAAACAAAGATTTCAATATGCAAGTGATGCGATAATACGAAAGGATGATGGGTAAACGCATTTTTCATTTATGTTTATCTAGAGAAAAAAGTCTCGCAAATGGAATATACGACTACGTAAGATATTTATTATGTCTATTTTATATTTTGTCTTTCAGAATTCAAGATAGAGTAGTCAACCGTCGTGATTGACCAGGAATAAAAAATCAGCCGTTAATTCCATTTATTCAAAGCAAATTTGATGTTCAATCAAACTGCTATATTTTGTGTCGCTGGCAGTCGGGTGTTCCGTTTCCACGACGGTCTTTGAAGCGTCTCAATTTGTCTTCAAATGAGCTTCATATCGGCTGTGTCCTTCGTTGTGGAGAGACAGAAGCTTCATACTGTATTTCGAGTATGGCCACAGCGAGTAGAAAAATAATTGATTTTATTTTGATTCCTGTACAACAAAATTTATTTATTTTAGATCCACGCAAAAACACGCATCCTAAAGTGAACGAAACATTAATATCATCGAAGTTTGACCTAAAGAAAATGTTCGCTTGCTATTATTATCGATTGTATTGTATAATTGTACGATTACTATAAAAGATTCAAAAACAAAAACGAGTGTGTTCAGTATAGTTAAATTTAAAATGCTCAAAAACAGTATTATTCAATCGTCGCATTGCAAATACCTAATAAATACTTTAAAGATTTAGCTGACTTTAAATCTCTCATATTTCGGAAGGCAGCACAGATTTTAATGTTGCTATACATAAAGTATTTCTCTATGTCTTTCTCGAAAATAGAAAACTAGTAATTACATTGTTATTGAAAGACGAAACAAATAAAGGTTTGACGTTATTTCATGCAAAAGCAATAGATCGAAGTTAATGCGAATCAGGTTTACTCAAATCACTAGAATCGACATGTAAACTTTAAAAATAAATATACATCATAAACCGTTACATTATCATACTGAATAGGTGAATGATTCTTAACAGAAAATATACACGAGAAACTTCTATTCGTTTGCAATTAAAATTTATATATCTATACTATAGACTATTGTACTTTATTTATGATTTCCACTTGATGACATGATGTTGAATAAGTATAGTAGCAGAGTTGAAATCATCTAATAAAGTCCTTTGAACAACATAGAAATCTGTATAGTGGATGAATAGAAAAGCGAAAACTACTCACATTAAGAATATTTCCTTCAATCATATAGAACAATAAAATATAGTTATGCAATCTAAATCTATTCACGTTCGATAATCTTAATTAGTTCTCTTTAGTTATCAGAAAGAATTGTGTACACGAAAACAATTGAGTTAAACGTCATGCAGAAAAACAGTTTATACTTTATCAAATTATGATAAAAATCATTGTAAATAGGTATTTTTTAAATTTATTACATATATTAAAAATAAATCAAATGCATACGAGCATACACACATCGAAATTTTTTGATCATTTTGCTTTATTACAATAATCACTTCAACTAATAAAGAAATAAAGATGGCTCATCTATTTTTTTTCACCTTTTAATGCTGTATTTTCATCTCGAACTTTTTTGTATTCACCGATTAATGTTTCTAAATTTGTAGTCATATTTTTTTGTGATTCAACTTCGATCTAAATTTTTTGAAAAATAAATTTATTAAATTATTTTTAAAAGAGAAAAAAAAACAATTTACTTGATCTTCTAATTCGCGAATTTCTCTAATAATAACGCCGATATCTTCGACAATTTTGTATATAGTATCACAATCAGAATGGAAAGCAACTAACATTTTATAAGAACGTCGAGCACATTCATCAGTTTTAGCATCCTATTAAAAGAAATTTTGCATTCATTCAAATGTGATCTGTGTCTCGTGCACCATCAAAATAAAACAAGATTTTTACCTTAAATAATTGACTATCAGTTACTTGAAATGTTCGCTCAAGTTTTTCTGTAAGTCGATTTAAATCTTTTTGTAGAACACGTGTTTCAATAATAGTTTTATTTATTTCTTCTTTTTGTTTATTTGTGTTCGCGACTATTTCAAGTATTTGTTTTGTAAAAAATGACCGCGAATGATCATTTTTTGATATCGATGATTTATGTGTTTCATAATCATGTTGAAGACGAATTAATTGTTCATCTTTTTCTTTGATATCACTCAATAATAAGCGTCCTTTAGCTTTCATATCATTGATTTCAGATAGTTTATCATTGAATTTCGCTAAACGATCATTAAGTGCTTGGAGAAGACTATCACGTTGTTCAATCAAATTTGAACGAACATCGACCCATTGAGTTTCAAGTGTTGTTATTTTTTTTTTTAATTTATCAATTGCATTCTATAAAGAGAAGCAACATTCAAATGAAACCTATTTCAATGTTTAAGCAAAATTTATCGTGACAAACTGAAAAAAGACAGGTTTTTCATTAAATTTTTTACTCTAAATAGCTTATATATTTTTAGTTGAAGTTTCGAGTAAAAACGATCTGGAAAGGTTGTTAGAAATCGTTTGTATTAAAATTGATGTACTTAAATATTTTACCTACACAATACTATTGTAAATAAGATTTCTTTATATTTCTAAGTAGGAACATAGAAATGCCGAAAAATCTCGCTCATGAATCACAAATCAGTTTCTTTTATACCTGTAAACGTTCTGTTTCGGGATCGACTGATAATAAATAGGCAGCTGCTTGTTTTTTAACTGTCATATCTTTGTTGATATTATCAATTTCTGTTTTTTTTTCGTCTGAAAATTGTTCATACTAAATTAAAATGAACAATAATAAAGAAAAAAACGCCTGTTTTTATTATATTTATTTACTTTTTTAATACTTTCTTCCAATTTTTGTAATTGTAATTCAAGTTGACGAATAAGCTCTTCATTCTCAGCAATCGAAGCTTTCAATCTTTCTAATTCTTCTGTATGATCAATGGTTCGTTTTGGATTTTCATCAAAGCCATTTGATTGTTGTTCATTAACATTTGTATGCATAAATCGAGATCGCGTTAATAATGAATCATCAAGCTTTTTTTTCATATCAGTACGATTTATATATTCATATTTAGCACCTATTGTATCACCATCATGAATTTGTCGACAAATTTCTTTTGAAAATTTATGTGTGGTTAATTGACCTGGAATCTAAAATAAACTTAAACGATATTTGTCAAAGAAAGACTTCGTGAGATAAAAGCAAACCAAAAAACTAGATTCTCGTTGTTTTTCTATCCAGCAAGATACTTGATTTTCATACATTAACGAATCAGCTAAATTTTGAAAATCGACTTGTGCAAACACGTATGAACTTGAATCTATTTATCAATGTTGAATAAGATTTAAATGGCAACAATTAGTATTAAGTTTGTACCTGCTGATAATTTATTCTTTCCTTTAACAGGAGGCACATGAAGGCACGATACTTGAGTATGTTTTGTTGGTGTAAAACCCTAAATTAAATAACCGTTATAATATAGAGAAAAAAATTCACCACTCATATACTGATTTATGAGCAAATGATGCAGCTGGATGATGAACTGGAATGTGACAAAGATCAATGACAAGATCATGTGATATCCACGTTGATTCCGCTAACTGAGTCGTGATTTTGTTTGATAGAATTCGATCAAGAGCATCCCAAGGATCTAAAAATTATTTTATATAAAAAGAATTTTAATTATTTGTTTCTTAATTAGGATTAAGCTGCAAATTAAAACTTAAATCTTTCATTTTTTCGGTATTGTGACTTTTGTTTTCTTCAGAAACCAAAAGAACAACCACACATGACTCTGCTTACCTAGTGTTGAAGATGCAATAGTGACGGTAGCCTCTCTTGGTACTTTTTCGATTAGAAAATTAAGTAGTTTTCTTGTTTCATTTTCATTGATACTCAAAAATGTTTGATAACCAATGTCACCTTTATAGCCATTAGACTACTAAATGTAATTTCTTTTATAAATCTCTATGACAAAATACGAATATTTGCCAACCTGACAAAGTTGTGCCAATTCACCGCAAACTTTAAACCGTGTTGAAATATTTGGTGGTAAACGTGTAGGTAAATCTTTATTAGCCGTGATGAGTTGAAGACATTGTGAAACACAACCGAAAAGAGTATTCACATCAAATGTACTGACATTTTGAAGTGAATCGTCTACTTGACTATTGGAAATTTCACAGGTTTTTATGTAAAAAGTGTTCATAGGAGTAAAATTAACTTACCATCCGATATCGCGTAAACTTCGAATTAAAATTCTATCAACTTCTTCCATGTTAATAAACAAATACACCAACGTTTATCTATGAGAGTGCAACCAAGATAAAAAGTAAAATAGTATGATGCTACTCAAAAATTAACTTGGGTGATAGAAAGAAACAAAATATTTATTGGACAACACGAAAACCAATAAAAACGCCACATGGGGAATTAAATTAAAATTTTAGCTAGAATCTTTCATCTATACTACTAAAGAAAAGAATTCAGTAAAACTTTAGATTCATTCTGAAAAAAAAGTTATAACCAAATAATAAGGACTTTTTTTAAATTTGGACTTACAAGCACATGTGCAGATTGTGCGTATACCTTGAATAGCGAAAAGATACTGATTGATATCAATAACCACACCAACGCACATATTCAAAAAAAGACCTTAGTCATTCTTGCGTTTAAATATTACACAAATTTTTAGCATCCTTTATTTTAACTTGAGTTTCATAATACTATTAATTTCATCTCTTTTTACTATGGAGCTTACAAATACGTACTCTCAAGATTCAACACTTTAAAATTCTGCTTTAGCTTACTAAATTCTTTGTCATTTGAGATTTTTGGATCTTTGTTTGCTTACAGAAGATTTTCTTTCGAAAACACTACACTTAACTATGCTAAATATTCATATCTTTCAATTTTAAGCAAAAACGAAACAAAATATTCGGTTCAAATTGAGAAAAAGAACTGCTCGGAATATCCTAAAAGATTTGCGAACTATTTAATGTGCATTCAATGAAAAACAAAGATTAAATCAAAATCTTTTATTTGTGAATTATTATATTTCGTCCATATTTTCATTTGATAGGACATTCAATTTCAATTAAGGCTTCTAACAAAATGCTAAAGGTTTTTAATTTAGTAACATGTTGAAAAATTTTCCAAGCTGTGCGATTCAATTAGATGGTCAATATGATTTTTGCAAGTCATTTCTAAATTGCATATTGTTGAATGCATTCTAGTTGTAGTTCAGATTATTTATATCTATATTCTTTGTTAAATCAATTAACTCAAATTCAAAGTCTCAACTCATTTTCAGTTTCTGATGGATCACTGTATAGCGTACAGTTTATACTATAAGAAAAACAAACAAAAGAACAAACGATGAAATCAGTAAAGTGACATCTTTTTTAAAATCCCTCTTTATCTTCATTGTAACTAACGTTGAATTGCATTGGCTATTTCATTTTTTTGTTCATTAAAAACTGCCCCAATCGTGTCATGTTACTGAACCAAATGAAATAGAGACTTTTCCAGAAAAAAAAGGAAAATATGAATATTGCTTGCACAATATGCTTGGATCGTTTTTTTCTTTCATCAATTATATCAGCGTCACCATGTGGTCATTTATTTCATGATAAATGTTTGGATCGATGGCTTGTCGACGAACGAAAAAAAACTTGTCCACAATGTCGTACACCAATTACACCAAAACAAGTTTTAAAGTAAAAATTGTTTTGCCATTTGAAATCCTTTAGCATATAATGTTATTCTTGTAGAAAACTTTATTTAATGGAACCACTGTGTCAAACACAATTACCATCTAGTAGTCATGATTCTTCTGATCTTTTAAATCAGCTGGATGCACAAGAGACAAAAATACTCGAATGCGAACAACGTTGTCGGAAAGCATTGAGTGATTTGCAAAAGGTAGGCAAATATGTGTGTGCATTTTTATATTACTATCATATACCGTTTTGATCAGAGTGAAGAAAGGCGACAGGCATTTGAAAATGATGCCGTTTCATTACGAAAACAATTCAGTGAACAATCAAATAAACATCAGCGAACAATAAATGAACGAGATGCTAAAATTAATATGTTACTCGAACAATACAAGTGCAGTAGATTAACATTTCTTTTTACGAATGTATCCGATTCGATATTTCTCTTTTAGACATATTGATTTATCGAATAAAAAAGATGAACAAATAAAATCATTGCAAGCAAAACTAACTGAGTATCGAAATATTGAGTTAATTTATAAAGGTAAATCATTTGTTATGTTGCTTTCTATCAAACAAAGCTACTTGATTTTCTTTTCAATTTTTTAAGGTCTTGCAAGTACTTTTAAAACAGAATTACAAAAAATGGTTGGCTCTTGTCAAACAATACAAGATAAAGACCGTGTCATGGAAGAATTAATACGTTATAATGTTATTCTTAAAGAGGAACATTGTAAAATGTCAGATGACAAACAAGATTTAATAAGAAATTTAGATCGGATAACTGCGCAATGTGAAAAAATGCAATTAGAAAAACGACAAGTTATTAAACGGTAATATTCATTTAAAAAGATGAAATGAATTTCTTGTTTATGAGAATTAAAGTGCAAAATAACTATTGAAAGAAAAATTATGTTTAGTAATATCATAAATCAGGATAGAATCTATCGAAACATTGTGAAAAACCGTATACTATTGTGTAATTTGTCGAATAGAGAAAACTGCAATAGCCAAGAGATCTAAAACAAAAAACAAATTATACAGATTTACTCATGCAAGGTTTCATATTCACTAATTAGCTACTTTACATTTTGAAATTATCGGATATGATCCTTATGTCTAGACACACAGCTATTAAGCATTGATAAAAGAAAATTGAAACAATTACATTAGTCAATTATTAAATTATGTTAAAGTATTGTTCTTTCAGTATTTCTAAAAAGAAATAAAATCGTTTTTAAACATGAAGTGATTGTGGCAGGCCACTTTTTTTCATGTGAATAAAAATCTTATTCAAGACAATATGCATAAGCTCAATGAGTTAGCCAATTGAAAACATTGGAAGCATTAGAATATGGTCTATGTTCTTTTCGTTGGAACTTTCAACAAAACATGAAGATGTTTCTTTTACCTTGAAATTAATTGAAATGTCTTTCAAAAAATACCTCTCAGAAAAAAGATTTCCATAATATCATACAAACCTATATTTATATAAATTATGTTTCAGTCAACTATTTCAAAATTGATCTTTATAATTGATTAGAATTTAATTTAAGTAACGTTTTATAATTTAGACAATCGAATGCAACAGATAATTCTAAACAAGAATTAGCATCTGTTCGTCAACAACTAGAATCTTATCAATCTCGCATTAATCAATTAGAATCACTTTTGCTTCGTACTGCTTCGCCCGATACTCGTTCTCTAGTTCGACGTGTTCTTCATGAAAGTCCATTCCCAGATAGTGTTACACAAAAAGTTCGCGTACGACTGGATGAACCTTCAAAATCAAATCCTATTCCTTTGACTGATGATGAAAGTTCAAAAGATGATGAAATCGATTCAAATATGATCGATCTTACTAATGTTCCCGAACAATCTTCATCACTACCATTTTCTACACAACAATTCTCAACAGCAACATCAGCTATTGATATTCTGCATTCAATCATACAGGAAACATCATCAAGTCTTGATTTGCCAACAATGAAAAAAATGAAAGTCAGAAAATTAGATGATGATGTTGAAGAAAACGATGATTATCTTGTTCGTCCATTCGTACGAAATGAAAATAATTTTCAAAGATCTTTTAATAAATTTGGTGGACACTCAATACCAATTACTCGACGTATTAGTAGTACAACATTCAAATCAAAACCTAAATCAACTAAATTGAAACGTATTCCAACAAAAAATAATCACAAAATTACAACATTCTTTGATTTAAATTGATTATATTTATTTATTTTGTCTCTTTCTCTCGCTCTCGTTTTTTCGTATACAATATAAAGTTTAAACAAAGAACCAAAAAAAGATAATCAAAGCAAAAAAACAATTTGTTTTTGTAATTCTTTTTCTTCTTTTTCTTGTTTGGCAGCTACTAAGCGATTATACATTTGTATTTCGTATTGAAGGCGCTTTAAATGGTCAATTGTCATATCCTGGTCGTCATCGTCTATTTCGACTTTTTTTTCTTCATTTATTTTCTTCTCGGACACAATTTTTTGTTGCAGTTGTTTAAAATTAATTTGATAATCACAAAGATGAGAATTCATTTTTCTTAAGTAATATTTCAATCGTTGAATATCTTCTTTATATTGATGATTGAGTAGAACAGATAAACGCAGTTGTTCATTTAATTTTTTATTTTCTTCGTATAGTCGTATTGATTGTTGATGTTCAAACAACAGTTTATGATAACGACGAATACATTCTTGACATTCTTTTTGTTTTCTATAATTTTCTTGAAGAACAGAAACATTGCCATTATGACTGAATTTTTTATCGGTAAAAAGTAATCCGGATGGTTGTGTCATTTCATAGATTGTAAATGTATCACGATGTTCACGATTTGCAGTTTCTGGCGGTGACAAGAATACGGAGTCTAATTAAAAATAAGTTTAATTTCGTTGTTAATAAAACAAAAGAATTATTTACTATAATCATCATTGGAATCTAAAAATTCATCAGGTTGATTTATTAGTGGTGCGGGTATTGGTGAATAACCATAAGATTTAAGTTTATTTTTGACATGATCTGAAAGTTGAATAACTTGTTCGTGGCGCTGCATTTTATTCTAATTGCTACAATGAATTGTAGTTGATAGAGTTTGCTTTTTCATTTATATTAGTTCAAGAATGAAAGAGAAAATGTAGGAAATCAACCTTTTCTCTTTTCCCCCGCTCATTTTCTCTCTCTTTTCTTATTCTGAATAGCATCAGATCTTCAACACACCAAGAAGTTTTCTAATTTAACTCTTCCTTTTTTTTCCTTTTTTTTCCACTCTATTCTTTTAGTTAGTTTTAACAGCACCCTAATTTCTGAACGACACGATTTCTATGCAAAAACAATATTGCATGTGTTTGCTTCAAAAATTTGAGTGTTTTTGAGCATAAACTTGGTTGAATTAATGGGCGACCCATACAAATTGCCCTGCTAGTATTTTTGAATTTTCTCGTCTTTCTTGAACACGATCGGAGTGTCTTTTTTACCAAAGGATTCCCCGTTCAATTCTCTACAAAAATATATTGACTATTTTACTTCAAAATCCAAAGATACAAAATACGATAGGTAACTGTGAGAAGGACCAAAATGTACGAAAACAATAAACGTCGATAAATTGAACCGCAGATTTTTAGGGTATTATCTGCTCAAAGTTTGTAAGCACACTCTAAAAAGTCAAGACGTATGTAGTGTACATGCAAGACGTTTCGTGCGCTAAAACAAGACGCTTTGTCTTCTTTCTGATTGGTTTATATCTAACTCGATAAGACGCTTCAAGCGCCAACGGATGACTGATTTAGACACTCGAGCGTCTTAATCGATCCTGGTCGGAGTATTTAAACCAATGTTTTTAAGCGTCTTACAGCAGTCTTTTTTAGACGCTTCTATCAATCTATGGTTCACTAATTCAAGAATTCATATTTTTATGTGAACATTAGATATTAGAAAAAATATTTTCAATGAAATAATTTTTTTACACTTTACTTCAGGTAAAATTATATTTAAAAACTAGAGAAATTATTATAAAATTTTTTATATATATTTTTTGATATTTAATGAAATTCCTCGAAGGTGATATTCTTGTGGAATAAAATATTATCGTCTAGTTTTTAAATATAATTTTAACTCAAGTAGAGTGTAAAAAAATTATTTCATTGAAAATATTTATTCTAATATCTAATGTTCATATAAAAACATGAATTCTTGAATTAGTGAACCATAGATTGATAGAATCGTCTGGGAAAACTCATGCAACACAAGTCTAAAACGAAAAAAAATAAAAGTCTTAAATATATTTTTGAAATATACAATCGTAAAATATAACTGTAATCAGTTATTTTTGATGATTTTTCTATCATCTAGAAAACAAATAAAAAACTTGAAAATATATTAGAAATAAATAAAAAAGAAATTTTGGTAAAATGGGTCGCATATTTTTAAAGCCTCTTCACTTCAGATATCGAATCAAGAGATACGGATCTCTTCAAAACCACGAATATCCTCAATTCAAGTTAAAATGTGAAGTAGTTCACGGCAGAAAAGTCATCGGAAAAACTAGTTCTGGAAAGAGTGAAATCCTAAGTATTTACAAGAAATCGAATAAGACTCTTTGTTTCACATCCGAAAGTAGATTCTCATAGCTACGAAAGAAAGTAAAAAAATTGATCTATTGGTCAATAGCTATAACAATTTTTCAAAAAACGACGATTTTTTCATCAATAATGTAAGCCTCTCAATAAAACAAGTGAAGCTTAGTCAAAGTGAATGCATTCGAGCACATTTTTTTAATTTATATTGAAAACCAATATTCTATCATTACTTTTGAATATTTAAGGTTTGAAAAAAGCATTATTTTGTTCAATCGTGTAAAAACAGGCACACATCGTTGTTATTTTTCACTTGATTGCTGTGAAGCTAATGTTTGTGACGGATATTTAGATTAAAATGGCTTTTGCTTTACATCACGAGATAGAGTGCATTTGAAACTACATAAAATATACTGAAATCGTCTTTTGATGCTTGTGAACGCATTCGAAAAAATGTAGCTCGATGAGAGAAAATATCTAAAAAGTGAAATTATTTTTTCGTACATTTTGGTGCTTCTCACAATTACCTGTCGTATTTTGTATCTTTGGATTTTGAAGTAAAATAGTCAATATATTTTTGTAGAGAATTGAACGGGGAATCCTTTGGTAAAAAAGACACTCCGATCGTGTTCAAGAAAGACGAGAAAATTCAAAAATACTAACAGGGCAATTTTTATGGACTGCCCGTAACATTACTTCTTGGTATCTAAGAATCTTCTGTGGCATGTCAAAATTGAGTACATATTAGTTTTTAAGGTAAATTTTAATTTAGTGATGTTTCTCAGCAAGCATTCTAATTAACAATTTCAAATTAAGAGTCTTTTTTTACTGTCAAAATGGATTGTTTTAAAGAGCAAGTCAACTATAATATACATTTATAGTTTTGAGAAATTAATAATAGAATTTGGAATTTTAGCTTGATTAAATTATTTATTAAAAGAACTTCTCACGTGACTATTTTAGAAAAATATATAGTCTAATAAATCATTCAGTTTATTTTATACTTCTTGACTTCAGAGCAAATGCGTAATGATCAGCGACTACATTGATTTATTTAAATACTTATTTCAGGTTTTAAAAGTATTAGAATAAAGTAATTCGCTTAATACTACTTTTGAATGTAATTCAATATTTGCTTGTTCTATTACAAAAATCATTCGACATACGTCGCCATTTGTGATAATTAAAATGAGTATAATAATACTATGTATGAAAACGGATCTATTCTTACCAAAACAAAACGGTATAGTTAACTTGTATATAATTCATTCTAATATGTTTCTCTGACAAAATATTTTCATATTTTAGTAAGCTTAAATCAACATTATGAAAAAAGAAGTTCTTCTTCTCTTAAGCTTCTTTTCAGTAAATATCATTAAGATAATTAACGAGCATTATACATTCAAATAAATAATACTGGCGTAGCACAAAATAAACAGTCATTAATCAATGCAAAGAAAACGTACAGCAATTCATAGGTTTTTTGTATCGATTGAAATATTACTTCGTAAAACAATTTTGAGTCGTTTCTTTGTAATTACCAATCAGTAGAATTGAATTCATTTAATACTTTAATGGCATTCACTCAATGATTTCAAGCTTAAAACGTAGGTTAGGTCATCAAATGCATAAGCTGCAATTGGGGAATAACAGCAATCATGATAGAATTACCGTTTGTAGGCTACTTCAACCTCACAGTTAGCTTTGAAATAAGCGTTTAAAGTAATTCTTTCTAAATCGAAACCAAAGGACACCTATGAATAGCTGAACGAAATATTAATGCCAATAGGTTGCTCGGAAAAATCATTTGATGTACCATATTCTGGATATTATCTAGTACATTGCACCTGATGAGAATGGCAAAGATGGAGAGAGAAAAGTGCGAAAGAACTGTTGAATAAGAATTCTTTATTAATTTTCACATAATGTCACATAAATGTTAGAATCTTGAAAAATGCAATATCGTCAGATACTTCATTCTCGCATTCATGAAAATCAAGAAATATGTAAACATGAATGTATGAGTATAAAAAATATTTGAGAAAAAGCATCACTTTAATTTTCATGAACAGACGAGCTATCAGGAAACTGATCTTCAAATTTAACCGTCCAAAGCAATGATGATGACGTTGATAAATCCTCTATCGATAACCAATTCCCATGGTTCATTAATGTCTAGATTTTTATTTTACATTCTAGAAAAGTATTTTCATTAGAATTGTTTTTCTTCACTGATAAAATCGATATCATTTTTAGAACATCTGATTATATTATATGTGCTCGCAAAAATCATTCAGTTCTATTTTGATAGGATATCTTATCAAAAATATTCTAGCTGATTCTGCGAATAATAGATCGAAACCGACAGTGAGCGACATCTATTCATAATTGTCTATTTTTGCGCATTTATTGACCATAAAAGTATTTTGCGTTAGGTAATATAAATACTCAACGGATTTATTAATAGATATTCTACAAAAAGCGTATCTTCATATTCAAGCATTGGCTCAGTATTATTGACAAACGACATTAATTGTTTTTGGTGTGGCACAAATGACATCATTATGGCTGCCAACAGACAGAGACCGCCTTTTTTTTCTTATAACATACGAAGATACCATGTTGATCTCTGATCAATTCTATATTTCATTGTTTCAGATCAATTGGTTGATTTTTTTGGAACAGTTTATTAGTTGTCTGAACAAATGTCTTCTGCCGATAATAAGGTACTTACATTATCTGAAGTTCGAGAACTAGCTGACGACAAGAATAAATGCATAATAATCATCGATAATAACGTTTATGATATAACAAGATTTCTTGAAGAGGTTTGTAATTATTGAATTTTAATTAAAAACATATTGTCTTGGATATTTTTAAGCACCCGGGTGGTGAAGAAGTTTTAAAAGAACAACATGGCAGAGATGCAACAAATGCATTCGAAGATGTTGGTCATAGTTCCGATGCACGTGAACAAATGAAGGCATATAAAATTGCTAAACTCGATTCTGTAAGCTAATTCATCATCTGGATGCTATTCATTTATGCCATTCGTTTTTTGTTTGCATTTAGAATGATGCTAAAAGATCGGTAAAATATTTCTAATTATTAAAAAATTTAATAATTTAATTTTCTTTAGCGTCCTACTGTAGTTGATAATTCGAAAGGTGATACACGCGGTAGTAGTGATGAATCAGGTTCATCGTGGACTAAATGGATAATACCACTTGTGATAGCTGTAGCAGCTGCAGCTATTTTTAAATTGCTATCTAAATCTGGACAAGATATCAGTCAACCACCAACTGCTATTTAAAGTCTTCCTTTCTTATTACCTTCTGTCTGCTATTCACAGTTCTATTTGATAAAGAATAAAAACAGAAAAGAAAAGCTAAACTATGAATATCAATATTCATAAACTTTTTCAAGCTCGATAATTTTTCTTCTAGATATATAATCTTGTTTTTATAATTATCTCATTGTATTTATTATTTATCTTGTGGCAAAAAAATACTATCAAATAATTTTGCAACACGATGGCAGAGGCTCAATTGACAAATCAATTAACACGTATTGATTCAATGACAAACGTTGAATTACGCGCTGAGTTAAAACGACGTGGTTGCCCAACATCAGGCAATAAAAAAGATTTGGTAGCTAAATTACGTGTTGCTTTACAAAAAGAATATGAACAAGCAGGTATATCATCTCCAATCAAGAATCAAGCCAATTTTGATGGAAGAAATGATAATCTTTCTGGTTTACAACAATCACCTGTTGGACGAATTAGTGGTAATAGACCGTCATTAGATACTTCAACAACATCATCAAATACTTATATGACACCACACAGTGGTAGTCCAATTGTATATTCTGAGCATGTGCATAGTGGAGAGGTACCATTAACATATACGAATTTACAAATTCATGATCAAGTAAGTAATCAAACCAGATGTTTTCTCTAATAGAACTCTTCCATAAAACGAGATTAGACATCTCGATAAAGTCTCATCGACGCCTTGTCGATTTGTTTTTGGGTGTACTCTTGAGAGAAATCAAAATAACATTTCTAAAAATGAAGAATAGGTTCCAGTGTTCACATTGAAATTACCTGTTGCCCTGTTTTTACTTTGATAAATCCAATCGTTGCCATAGTATTTTTGCAGTGGTTCGTCTCTGATTCAAAATTTAAGAAAAAAATATAATTTGTAAAAGATTTTACTTCTTTTATTTTGAGGATGGGCATATTTTTTCGACAATTTCATCGAGATGATAATAGTCAATTGATTGATTGTTGCTTTGATTCACAATATCGAGAGTATATTTTCTTTCATGAATTTTACTATCGAGAACAGAATTCTATTTTCAATTAAATTTGACATCACTATGAAATTCATCATTTTCGTATATTCTTTAACGAAATAAAATTCTGTTTTCTTGAAAAGAGAAAAATCTTATGCATTGTGTACATACTTCAAACAAGGCAACTTTAGTTAACAATGAAATGAAATAAAGAAAGACTGCTGTCATGATTTATTCGATGAATTTAAACAAAAGAAAGCTTTCTTCATTTTTATCTGGTATCAGAACAGAACTTTTTCTCGTTTGTTTTAAATATAAAAACATGAATAATATATCATTGACTTTTTATAGACCTCTGGACAATATCCATCGGTATATAACTTGAAAATGCAACAAAATATTCATCAAGCACCAGCTCCAATGATTCCTGTTCCTCAACAATTAACAATATCATCTGCGGAAAGATCTCAGATGTATGATCAATCTATTTTACATAATGAACAAAGAGAACAAGAAATTTCATATATGCAAACACGTCAAAAACGAACGAGTGCTGATAATTCAATAGATACATCTATGTCTTCTTCAACTATTCCTCAAACAACACCAGAGAGAAGAACACGAACACGAAGTAAAAAAGTCTCTGTTGATTCTCAACAGATTGAAATTCCACAACAACTTCCACCAATGGAAAATATTCCGACTGAAGTTCTACGAGTGGAAAATGTTCCGATTGAAGTTTCACCAATGGAAACCGTTCCGATTGAAGTTCCACCAATGGAAACTATTCCGATTGAAGTTCCACGAGTGGCAAATGTTCCGATTGAAGTTCCACCAATGGAAATTATTCCAACTGAAGTTATTCATCCAACACCGATACAACCAACGATTAACTACGAACAAGTTGTTAACAACACTTCATCAACAAATGATAATATTGGCAACAATATCGAGGTGAATCCCATTGTGAGTAAGAATAGTGAGGAAGAAAATAAAGATAGAGAAAATATAAGAGAAGAACGAGAAGATTCTCGTTCACCATCTGTAGGCAGTAGTAGTGCCAAATCTGAGTCTGTTATTAAAGAAATTCCGTTGTCCGGTGAAAGACATCGTTTGAGTCGATCGAAATCACCTAAATCACGTTGGCATCATTCGCCTTCACCACAAGAACAGATGCATCAACCAGCAACGATTGAAGAAGAGCCAAACTCGGTGATAACACCTACAAATGATGACAACAAGTATGCATTATAGATTTCATATCTTTGATATGAAATTAAATTATTCATTTAGTACGACTAATGAGCATGATGAAAAGTCATCAATAGCGGTACCAACAATCACCGAGGAAACCAATAATTTCAGTGCAAATGAAAAAAATCAAGTAAATTAATTTGTTTCAAATATATCTGAAATAACGCAATTTTTCTTATTATTTTAGGACAACCAGGATACTCAGACGAGTAAATATACTTTTTTCATTTATAGAATTGATCTTAACGATTTTTTATATTTATAATTCCTTTTTTTTATTGATATAGAAGATGAATCATCTGCATTCGGTAATCAACAACCAGAAACGGCTGCACCTCAGCAGCAGCTAAAACCTAGTCGATCGCAAACATCAACATTATCATCTTCATCATCATCATTAATGAAAGGTCTCAATCGATCGACAATAAACAATCGAGTAAATTTATCATCCGATGTTCTCAAAGTAAATCATTTGTTAGATTTCATTAGAATGATTTATTTTATTTTATTCATTGTTTTTAAAAATTAGACACTCATTCCAAATATAAGTCTAGCACCTGAATCTATTATTAATGATGAACTTGAAGCATCAATGAATGAACAAGATCATGGTGACGATATTGAACATTCACCAAATCAGTCAGTACTTGAAACCAGTGTTGCTACTGGTTTTCGTTTATCTGATTCTATGACTATCGGCGAATTAGCTGATCAAAAACAACAACGTAATAGAACTGTTGTTATTGATGTTGCTGTATGTCCAAGTTTTTTTTTCTATATTGCCATTCATATACATAAAGTTTTATTTTTGATATTTTTCTCAGGTTGATTCTTCATCGTTAAACGATGATCTTATCGGTAATAATGTAGATAGTCGGAAGAAAACTCAAACACCGGCACCACCTATGCGTATTGCTTCATTTGAATCAAAAACATTACTCGATGGAAAAACTAACGGTATTTTGATTTTATAGCTTTCTTCGTCGTTCAATGACTTGTAGCGTTTAGCTATTTATGATCATCTTATAGTCTGAATTATTATCTTTCTGTAGAGCATAGATTGGACTTCAGATGTAGCCTTTTTTTTACATTAAAAACTTTCAAGAAAAGTCAAATTTTTCTAACGAATATAGACAAATCTGTACTTACATTGTATAATTCACTCGAGCCAACATTTTTATGAGATATAGTTTAAGCAGATTATTGTTTCGTCATTCGAGTACATTATACATTGTTTAGAATATTATAGTTTCTGTTCTGGTGCTTCTTTTAGTTGCTCTTACAAAAACAAATTGATTCTTTCGGACATTTTTACTTCGTTATTTAGAAAGATAAAAAAAACGAATGACACTCATCAAAAACAAGATTTAGTGTCGTTGTAAATGTTTTTAATTTGAGATCGAACACTGCTTCCACGTAAAAAAAAGTGTGTGTTAGTCAGCGATGTATCATTTGCAGCATTCACGAGAAGATAGCATCTTAAAACTTTGATTATATTTAAATGTCTATCTCATTCGTCAAGATTTAGTTATCTTGAAAAATTTCAATATTTATAATGATCTGGGAGTTTATCAGAGCAGAATGGAAATTAATCTTAACAAAATAGTCTTCTATCGAATAATCTATTTTAACATAGGTATGAATTTTTTTATTTTTGTTTGTAGCTCTGATGATTGATGAACCAGTACGTGTAAAGGATGCTACAGCAACACTTGAACCGCTTAGCCGAATTCTATACATTCGTGGTCTTACTCGTCCATTTACTCTTCCATTATTAAAAGAACTTCTTAGTCGTTATGGTAAATTAGTTGATGGTGAATTTTGGCTTGATAAAATAAAAAGTCAATGTTTTGTAATAGTATGTGTTCTTATTTCTTTCGTTTTTAAAGAAAACATTATATCATATATTTCTAGTATAACACACTTGAAGAAGCACAAAATGCTCGTGAAGGTCTAGATGGCTGTCGATGGCCATCAACAAATCCCAAAACACTATCTGTTCGATTTGGTCGACAAGATGAAGTATAATTGTCTTTGTTTTTATGTAAAGTTCTCGCATTGTACTTGAATTTTAGTTTGAATTCAGCAAAACACATGATTTACCACCTGATCAGATGTCTATTGGTAAAAAATAATTTAATTTCTTTTTGTTTCTACCAGTTAACTTCATTTTATTTTCTAGATGCAATGGATATCACAAATAGCCGTCTTGTACAAGAAAAACCAACGTCTATTAATAAAAATTCAGGATCAGCACGGCGATCGGCTAGTCCAATTGATGAAACAAAAGCAAACAAAAAACTTCGTACAACTGGTAATACTGATATGAGAGAATGGGATTTACCGAAATTTCAAGAAGACAAAGAAAAATCACCAAAAGAGCGTAACGTTATCGAAGAACCAAAAGGTAATTTAACAAATGCAACATTCTTATTTTTGATTGATCTTACAAATATTAGTTACAGTCAATGAGCCACCAGCAAAAGGACTTGATGATTATTTCCGTAAAACAAAAGCAAAACCACCTATCTATTGGTTACCATTAACCGAAGAACAAGTGAGAATCGTGTTTTAAAGAAAAGAGTATCGTATGAGTAAGACTTTGGTTTTATCTTAGATTGTTGAACGAGCTCTTCAACAACAACAACGTAATGCTGCACGCGATGAAGAACAAAAAAAACGAGAACTTGAAGAATCGGCACGTACATCAAACAACAGCAAGGATTCAGTAGGGCATCGGTATTTTCATCAATACATTTTTTATTTATTTCCTTCTTTTTAAGAAACCTCGTACAAATAATAATGATAATAAATCGTCAAATCGTACTTATCGTCGATCACCATCACCTAGAGAGAAACGTAGACGTGTTTCATTGAGTCCATCGTCACGTCCACGAGATAATAAACGGCATTAGATGTTATTGATTCTTTCAATCAAGAATGTACATAATATATACTCTTTCTTTTTGTTTGTTTGTTAGTGTTTTTTTCTCTCGTTGTATTTGCTCTGTGTCTGTGAGATTCGACCGAAGAAGAAATGAAAAAACAGCATGCTTGTACACCTCAACTATCATTTATTTCTTCAGTTTGTTTTACTTTCATTTCGTGAGAGTATATCATCAATGTTTGTATTGTGTTTTCTTTTCCTTTTTTCTGTCTTCTACGTCTGAAACAGCAAATAAAAGAATAACAATGTTTTGTTTTCTTGATTTCATCTCATTCGTCTTCAATCATTTGAACATACTAGCAATTTAATCACGAATGTGACACAGGCACATGCAGATCTGGTCTCAATCCCTTGTTTATTAAAATATTATAAAAGTTGAGCGAATCAAAAATGCTATGTTAGCAACATAGAGATATGACTTTTCAATTTATCGAGTATATAATGATGCATCTCGGTCGAGGTTATAAATGCTTAATTATTATTCAATGCAATTGAATTAAAATTATTTTATTTCCCTTTGTTTCATAGTTGGTTACAATGTGACAATATCTGCTCTCCATATGTATGTCTATGTACTGGAAATGGTACGATATAAACTTGTAGAAAACGTTGGTGTACTTGATGTTAATTCTGATTCACGATATTTAACAACAACATGTATGGCTCGTCTTGTTTAACCTGGTGGGAAAATATTTGGAATAGAATATATCTCACAATTAGCTGACTTATCGTTAAAAAACATGCCTAAAAATGATGGTTCTGTTGTTGATAGTGGAACATTACGAATTGTACTAGGAGATGGACGTTACGATTATCAAGAAACTGATCAATATGATTTTATTCATGTTGGAACTGTCGCCTCAGATCGTCCTATAGAAAATCAAACAATGATGATCTATGAAAAATTATCGGATGGTCGTGAAGGACATGAACAAGCAACATTAGGTGGTACGATATGTAACATTGACAGATAAAGAAAAGCAATGGCGTCAATGATAACATCTAAAGTTTTCTACAATTTGCGTTGTAAACTTATATTTATCTACCTATGATATTCTAGATTTGTAGATAAAATATTCTAAAGAAGTTGTGACTCTAAAATGATATTTCTGTCGTATGTCTTTCTTCGTTATAATAAATTTAGAAATCGCCATTCATTTAATATGTACTCTTTTCTTGAAGGATATAAAAGGATTTACTTTCATGTTGAAGTCTAATTATGATGCTTTCTATTGATAGTAGAACAATCCAATGGATTCATGCCAATGTTGAAAGATAGATATATAACTTTTATTTGCAACTGTTCCATTGTTTATTTTTGAGATGAGCGCTTTTGCAATACATATGGAGTAGAAACAAAGCAAGTTAATATTGCAATACATCAGTTTACTTTTTCTTTCTTTTTCTTAACAATTTACTAGATATATACTTTATTACAAAAGATTCAAAATTGTTATCTTTTTTTGGTATTAATGTCGTCGATAGTTTATTTAAATTTTGAAATACTTGTGAAAATCTTTCCAATAAGATAGATCCATACTAATCATACAAATACAGTGCATGATGGTTGTTAGATTATTCAAGATGTTGGTTTCGTTTGTAATCAAAAAATTTGAAGATAATTTCTCAATTAGAGATAATTTTGTCTCAACTGTCAAAATTATTTGTACTCGCATTGATGTAGTATATATAACGCCAAAGTTCTATGAACGAGTTGCATGTGTCGACAAATTTGCTTTTAGGAGTTTGATAAATTGGTAGATAGTTTGTTTTTGTTTATTATTTTTAAATTATAATTTTTTCTTCTTCTATTGATACAATAAAATGATGCACATGATCATTTGATAGGTTCAGTTGTATTCGATTTCTTAGATTTCATATAATAAGAAAGTAAAGGGATCAACAAAATAACCATTAAAATATTTGAATTTATCAATAGAAAAATATCAAATTGCGGCTTTAGGTGAATATTACGAAATCTATATTGCTATTACAAAGATATGAATTTTTTATGAAAGTTAAATGAGTAATAACAAGAGATCAGACAAAGAAAAACAGTAGTTATTCAAGTGTGAAATTAATTTACAACAGAAAAAGAATGCAACATTTTTCATAAATAATGTAAAATATTCAAGGTGACTACTATGAAAGTATATATTTAGGATAAACTAGTATTACATATAATTACAGCCACACATGGTTCTGTCACGCAAGAAATGAATTCGCCTCCTCTTTTAGTAAAAAGTGTCAGTTTGACTTGATCACCAATTTATGAACGCATTTGTGATGAAAAATTATTTTTATTTTCGAGCTCTTAAATATTTCATATAGTAATGAACCTGGAAAGAAAGAGAAATTATGTTCTAATCATGTTTAAATGGAATATGCATGGATAAGTTTTAGTAAGATATTTCACCATATGAACTCATAGTTTTCTAAAGACTTAACAACTTTGGTAAAGTATTTAAATTATAGATTATAGCATAAATAACAGTGAGAAAAAAAACATATTCTCTCCTCAGTTATTTATACAGTAATTTTTTCATGCTAGTAACAGTATCGTCTTCTAGAATATAAGTGTTTACAAGTTGCAATTTTTACTGATTTTTCTCAATGATTAAGATAGCAAACATAGAAGGCATATTGTGATAAATTATGACAACACTCATAGGAGTAAGTACTACGATAAATTATGATTATATCTCCATTCGACGAAAGTATTATTCCAGGGATTATTGATGAAAACCTTTGAGTTATTTGGTTAATCAAAACAACTTCGAGTGGAAATCAAGAAGAAGCTCAGAGAGGAACGAGTTAGAAATGAATCCCTATTGGGATTTGAAATAGTGTCATAATGGAAAATGTTTACGACGGCAAATTGTGAAAGAATCACCGAAAGAAAGTTGATCTGATTGAGATAAATGGTCGAAGAACATGAATGGTAGATACATAAAACATTTCTGCACGCTTCCTTTCATTATAATGTTTACAAATATGGTTTTTTAATCTGCCTGAAAGCATACATGATTATTATCAGTATGACTTTAAAACTGAATACTCTCAAGTTTCATTCGCCAAAGAAACATATAGAAATTGAATGCTAATTGAGGAACTTCTAACTAGTTAAACAAACTTAATTTATTCATTGATGCAATGAAACTTAATGTTTGCTAAGATAGATATTGAAAGAAAATGAACGCATCCTTTCAAGTTATCCAGGAAGGAATGCACTCTTTGTCTATAAGAAAATGTTTATCTAAAATAATTGCTACCAAATTAAATGTTCGTAAATCGTTTTTAGTAGAAGCTTTGATGAATAGATTGTTTAGTGGTTATATTGTGTTGACAAGGCTAGGGCGGAGAAAAAAATGTTTTATTGTTTCCTGTATTATTTCATACTCAATCAACGATAGTTAGTTCTCAAACTTATTTTTCATCATATTTTGCAAGATTTCTATTTTATGTAAACATGTGCATAACAGCTTATCTATCGTCCTATTTGTAATGTTGTAATTTCACAAATTTCTTACTTTAAATAGAGTTTGTTTCAGAACTTTCTAAAATTATGAGGAAATCATTTATTTTAATTATACATAAACTGAAGAGAGCCAAGTCATATGATAATATCTGCGATGATTCGATATTTTTCTTCGTATATACTATTTGAAAACTTATTAAATTTCATAATTATAATTCGGCATCATATACAATTGAGTGTAATTAAATAAAATAAAATTAAAATAAATGTACTAATTTTATGATAAAAAACCTTTTGAATTTCAACATTTATAGAATACATCTGTTGACCAATAAATGACAGATACAATGCAAATATATTGCAAAAGTTGTTCTTTTTGTATTAAGGTTCATATTAATATCATGAACAAAGTTATGTTTTATTTGTCTTTTTCCTTCAACAAATACACATCAAATTTAAAAGTAAAACATAGTAGGCAACAATAAATCACAAAATATATTCCTTTTTCTTGTAACAAAACATTCAAAACAACAACAACAACAACAACAACAACAACAACGACAACAACAAGAACAACAACAAATTCATCATCTTGGTATAAGAGAAATAGATTCTTTCTCTCGGTGTTGCTTAGTACCATTCATAGGTTCTTGAGTCAGATTCGGCTGATCATTATCAATTAATAGTCTTATTTGTTGTGATGCCACAGTTTGTACACGAGTTGGTAGTCTTGTTTGAATAGCTTTTGATCGCCGTCGAATTGTTCCTTGACAACATTGTGGTAAATATGGAATTATGATTTTAAACCACTCACATAATGTTCGACGATATGGTGGCGAAGTTATACCTAACGAATAGTTAAACATAATGAACTAGAAGATTTTTAATTTCTTTTTTTTCAATTAAATTTACCATAAAAAATAAAATTTAATGAATGATTACAATATTGCATAAGATAAATAATAGCCTTAAAACGTGGATATGCAACTTCTTCATTTGGATCACGAAATAAAATAGTTGTTACAAATACAACGGGGCTCACAAGAATAAAATAAAGTAAATTAAGTGTAAAGAGTAAATAAAATAAACTTTTTGCTTTATTTGGTGTTGCTCCGATCGCATGACTATTCTTTCCTGAACGACGTGTACGAAATACACGTCGTTGTTGATAATAAACACGATAAACAATTAAAAATGTTCCAATACTCATGACAGTAAATGGAATAAGTGCATAAAGACATACATCAACCCATTCCCAGACCTAATTAATCAAATGAAAAATTTTAATTATTATTTTTATCACATTTGAAAACGAACAGTAAACTTACATGATCCCAAAAATATTCGTATCGACTTCCTTTTAATGCAGCACATTGACGTACAGTTAAACTTGTAGTTGATGAATAAAAAAGTAATGCGTTTGTTGTTACATTTGGAATGGCTGTAGCTAATGATGGATACAAAAAGCGATTTGACATCGATGGTGATGATGATGATGATGATGGTGATGGTGATAAATCTCTTTTTTCTCTTGAGCATAAAAAATTCCATCTCGCATTATTGCAGATTGAAGGTAAAAAGAATGCTGATTCTAAATTTCGTTTTTGTTGCATTTGTCTACTATCATCACTGCCATTGTTACTATTATTGTGAATATTATTAATATCGAAATACGTTGATGTAAATGAAAATTGTGTTGATAAATTAAAATGCAACGGTGATAATGTTGTATGTTCATTGGTATTCATTACTAAATCCATTGGATCTTTATCTTGTAAACGAAGATATGCTAATTCATGACAATTAAGTAAAGCTATTATGACTAATATGCATGCAACGATATATTCAGCTGAACGTGGTGTACAAAACTTTCTTGCAAATTGTATACAATTTGTTGCTACAGCACGATCAACAGATATAAAGGATAATATCCACGATGATGAATGTTGAGACCAATATGTTATAAATGTATGTAAACGACACGTTATTGGATTTAAATTTCGTAATGAAAATGCTACACCATATTCAATGGTAAGAAATAAATCCAGTAAGCCAGAATAAAGGACTAATAAATCCATTAATGATAGTATTGCAAGATAACGAAATGTTGATGATTTTCGTAGTGTTCCGTGAGAAAATATAATAAACGAAAGAACATTACCAAATGTACCAACTATAAGTAGAAATATTGAACCATATCGAACTAGATGCGGATCAACACCAAATACAGATGCTGATGATAAAACGGAAGCTGTTTGTGGACTCTCTGTCATTTGATCATCTAGTAGAAATAGAAAAAAACACTTTGGCTGATTTATGCAATGATGTATATTTCAATTGTTATCTTTTTTAACTGTATTTACATATAATAATCTATTTCGTTAGATAGTTGAATTAACTAAATAAGTTAGTTAGTTATTCAGTCGCTCATTTTGAACTGACTGATTGATTTGGCCATGCGTGAATCAACGTGGCTCATAAGTGCCAGATAGGATTACATACGGCGCATTGAATACAGATATTTCATGGACTACATAGTTTTATTCCTTTTTTCCTATTGCATTTATATTACTCTCTTTTTTTTCTTTTTCTTTTTGTATGCATCAACATGTCTGTCTCTTTTCTTCTCGTCTGTAACTTCAAGCGTAAGCAGTTTTTTTAGACGATAAAACGAGTCTCATTATCCTTTCATTACGAGACAACAATAAACACATACACACATACATATATAGCAGCTGTGCCGAAATTCGTCAATAATAAATCACTTGCCCATTACAATCATGGTCACATTATTGATAGGAATGGTCATATATACTGTCTACCTCTTAGTATTCCTTTCACATATCCATTTCCATTTTGTAAATATATGCATATCAAAATATCAATATACTAATTATTTCTGGCTAACAATAAAGTTACACATACATAGAAAGAAATAGTGTTTATTTGTATGCGTCGCGAAGTTATTATGCGTGATATCATCACTTAAATTGCTTTTCAGCTTATATTTTTTTTATTTTTTGTAAATACTATTTCTATTCTCTCAGAGATGTTTTCTTCGTGAATAACAAAGGAAGATAATATACGGACAAGTTTTGTTTCTAATTCTTGTGGATGATTAGTTCTACGCTAACAAATTGCCTATTGAAAAGAAACTAAAATGAACATGCACATAATAAAAAAATATATATACACATACTTACACACAATCATTCTAATAAAAACTACATTTTCAACAGATCAGTACTAATAGAATAAAAAATAGTTACAAGATTTCATTAAATTTTCTCTTATACTTTGAGTATATTTTGTCTGTCAGATTCTTATTATACATGAATGAAGAAAGAAAAATTAGATGTTCTTTATTGACATAGTTTTCATGATTGAGTATTTCTGAAGATATCTATATGTTTAGTTGGTTTTCACTCAATCATCGTTTTTTTCTTCTGCTCGTGATTCAGCCATTTTTCCTTAGTGGCCTTTTTTCTCTTCGTTACGATTCATCTAATATGGTGCCAGGCATTCGTCGATGATGATGATGATGATGATGATGATGATGATGCGTAAATGACTACATAGACGTAAAAGGCCAAATATTCTTTTACAGTTTTCTCTCTTTCTAATATTGTTGCTAAATTTATGATCGGTCTAAGAAACGTTGAATGAATAAGTGCAGAATTACCATGGATATAATGATTCAGGATCAATGCAATGTGATCGACAAACAGCAAATATAGTGTATTTAGTTAAAGAAGATCAATGAAGAAACAGAGAGATAGAGAGACAGGCAGGATCTTGAACGAAAAATGCGTTTATTGCTTGTTTTTTTAAAATTATTATGACAGTCAATATTCTACTTCAAACGATTAATCGAATAAAAATAAATATTACCAACGAGACGAATATAGAGAGCTTATGAAATCGATTTTTCTAGATAACGATAAAGAAAAGACAGATAAAACAATGATCAGCCGGTCGATCGAACACGACCGATCGTTCTAAAAAAAAAGAAAAATACTCCCGCTGATCCATTAGTAGTTGACACTTTAATCTTTGACTTGATCCTGTCGTATCTTCCGGTTGTAAATGTCTTCGAACCGCTATTAATACTATCAAATAAAAACAAGACTCATTTTACTCCTGATGCATCTTGTTCAAAGGCAGTATTAGGCGCTCGCTTCTTTTAGCTTTGATTGAATTACACTAGACTACACACACTTACATCGATAACAACACACTCTAGTGTGAGTTTTATCGAAGCAGGATGAACAGAGCATAATAAGAAACTTTTCAAAAAAAAGGACGAGAGAGCAAGAAGAAGGAAAATATAAGAAAGTTTTCTTTCTCCATCTTATTAACGGCACTATTGCTTGCTTTCAGCACCATCAAAATTAGAAGAGCGTCACGTCTATACAAAAACAATTATCTAGGGTTGTAATACTAATAGCATTAGTGTTAAAAGAAGAATAGCAGGATTAATTTGGAACAAGCCTGCGGTATTGATAAAACAACAAGTAATAAGAGAATGTAAGAACCACTAAATGTTTGTTCGTGCGAAACGAAATGAAACGCGACACAAACCAGTAACTTCAAGAATCATACTCGAGAAAACAATAGAACTCTAAGAATGAAAGAGAATACATTCGGATTATTTATTAAGCTCTTGTCATATTAAGAAAGATGATGACGTTGAAATGATTGATATACGTACTCTTGTTTTTTGGTGGGTTATTTTCGTCGACTATCATTAATTCGATTCACGAAAATAATCGAAAAAATGACTCTATATATTATCATAATAGTTGTCATATCCATCGTATCTACATCACTTACACAAATAAGTAAAACTAATTTAATATGAATTCATGTTGAAATCAAACAATGTCTATACTATTTAACTAACTTTTCTCTTAATAGTAAACATATACGTAGATAGACATAAAGCATTTATGTATAGAATAGAATACATTTGTCTATAGGACTTTACAATGAAAATAATTTATTTTAAAAATCTTTCTATTATCTATATAGATAGAGATTTTAAAAATATGCAATTAAATTTTACAAGAAACCTGACATTGAGTGCCAACTCTTTTGTCATTGAAGCACAAAATAATTCTTTAGTTTCAAAGAATAGGGATGTGATAATAAAAATATTAAAATAAAAGAGATGATAACACTTGAATATTCGTAGTTACTAAATATGCAATACTACCTACGGCAAAATGTTTTCATAAGTTTATTCATGATATATTTTTATCTTATTTTGTTTCATGTTGTACCATACCCATTTGACTATTGTGTGCTTATTTTTTCTTTTTTGCCTACTGGGAATCAAGCTGATTTATGAATCTGTCTTTCATTTTGTTGATTGAGCCGATTGAAAACAAGAAAGAAAGACTTCAAAAACTGTACTCACTCATATTTACACATCATCAAGATCCTATTGTCTTTCGTTTTCTTCTCTTTTATTTTTATTTTTTGACTCCCTCAAGAGACTTACGATCTGCATTGGAAATGACTGATTTGTGTTGAGGCGAACAGTGCGCTATATATTACGTACGTAAGAGGAGACAAAAAAAAGAAAGAAAAATGACTTTTTTCTATAGAAATGTCGCGAATCATTAATATAACATCGATGAAGAAAGATTTTTCATAATAAAAGTAAAATAAAAAATTTAGTTCGACTTGTCACACTCATAGAAGAATATGGCAATGTTTATTCATTATTATAGTGTAGCAAATCTTATTAGACTGTAGAAAAGGAAGGCAATTATTTGAAGATGTAAAGAATGTTCTCATTAAGGCGACACAAAAATATCGTAATCAATCTATCTTTAGAGAAAAATGATAACATTTTATTCATTTATTCTAAATATAAAACATGCAAGGTTTCTTTTTTTCTTTATCGCACTTGTCTCTTTTCTTGCAACAAGTTAATCAATAATAAATTATGTTTATTTTGAAGGATTTTGTCCATGTTTTTGTGATGCATTGCGAGTTTTTGAAAAAACAAAACTTTGATGTAGAGTGTTTTTATCATAATCACTTGATACATTAACCAACTCCAAACCAGAGCGTAAAAGTATTTCCATAATTTCAATTGTTGTCATATGTGGTAATTCGATGCATCCATAACGTTTACCGTCAAGATTTTGTGCTGAATATTCGCTTGCTGTTGATGACACAGTTTGCTTTCGACCTGTAGAATTGAATGTTTGTCGTCGTCTTGGAACTCCCGGTGAACATGTTGGACTTGCTGATCCTTTTGACGAAGAAATAGAAGTGTGACGAAGTGTTGAAATAATCGGCGGTTCTTCGTGAGTGTTCGGCTCATTTTTTTCCAGTGTTGCTAAATAAATTGGTTTATTTGAACTAGACGGCGACGATGAATTAGTTTCATGAGATACTTTTTCAAAGAAGGTCATATGTGATGTATAACGTTCAAATATATTGCATAAAAGTTGTAATTCACCAAAAATAAATATTTTTGAATCAACAGAAAATATCGAATTTGAATTATCTTCGCGTTTTAAATAAACTGTATCTGCATGACACGGCTGTTGAAAAGGAGCAGCTGATGTTTCACCAATTGATACTAGCGTCCGACGGCCGACATTAAGAACTGCTTCAAGATCAACACTTCCTGTGTTGGCAATTGACATTTATTAATCTAAAAGACAAGAGAAAAAAAAAGAAACAAAGAAAATTCAAAAGATGTATTATTTTTTTTCTACATCTACAGAAGTCTATTTATGAAAACTGATGGTTTTTAAGTCTTTTATCGATATTGAAGAACTCAATGAGCTTTGGTGTCAATCGTTGGTAAAGGACGACTTGCATCGAATGAATCTCTGTTACGTAATAAAATAAATTCTTGTATTTTTGTTGTTGATCCAAAATTAGTTGCATTGGCAACAATTGAAAAGTAATGTTTATGTAGAATTTCTAGTATTTCAATGAATGACATTGTTGGTAATTCAACTGTTGTATAGAGTTTTCCAGATAAACGATCATGATTTTTAACCATTTCAGGATCCTCGTGGTGAATTTTAATATGCGATGTATATTTTTGAAAAATATCCGTTAAAACATGATAATCACCTAGTTGAAAATAAATGATGGTATTAAAAAGGAAAAGTTTGAATGCTATAAAGCAAACCATGAAAAATACAGCGAGCATCTTCTTTTAGTATATCATTCGGTTTTTCAACTTTTAAAATAATAACATCTGTATAACGGTATGCATCTGGAGACGCTTGAGGTGCTGTAACCGATAAACGTCGTCGACGTACTTGAAGAACTGATTCAAGATCGATTTCAGTTGTTGACATAGCTCGTTGTTGATTTTGTTCCATTGAAGTTGACTAATAAACACATACAGATATTTGTTGTTTGAAGGAATTGATTTAAAAAAGTTCTTAACAATTTTTAAGTACCAAACCTACCGGCAAACTCTTCTGTGAAACTAATCTACGCCGTTCATCTACAGGTTTATAATGAATCGAAGAGGAACTGGTCGAAAAAGTTTTACTTGCTAAGGGTGCGTCTCCGAACATTTTTATTATTGCGATTAAGAATTCATGTTTTTTTTGTGATTCAATTTTCTATGATATACTGAGCTTTTTATGATTTACTTCTCGTTAAGTGTAATAAAAAAAACATGAGAAAAAAGGAATAAAATGTTGATTTTTCTCTCTTTCTTTCTAATCTTAGTACATTTGTTGTTAGTGACTTTGTTCAGAGAGACGTACTCAGAAAACAATTCATATATATAACTTTCAACTGCAATGCTTTTTATTTGTTTCTATTTTTTCTCAAAGATACTTAACTAACTCAAAATAACAAGAAAAAAAAGTGCATATTGATGTTTCATGGTCATGTAGAATACAAAAAGACGACGAAAAAAAAGACAACATATTGCTCTCGTTAAACCAAGCAGAACAAATATCTATTCATACAGGTGTATGTACATACAATATTTTTCTCTCGAAATACGTCGTTAACAGTACTAGTCGCCTTTGTTTTGATTCGATATTTTTTCTCTCGTTTATTTTGTGAGATAGCGCTTCTTTTTCTCTCTTTTGCTTAAATATATTGTTTTTAAATCAATTTTTCAAGTCAACGCTTACGTTTCTGATAGGAAAATTAGTCCTTCTATTAATCTCGTGATTCTTATCGAATATAAAATAGTCAAGGTTGCACCTGTAGATTATATTTCAAAATCATTATTTACTATCAGACTTTAAATAATAACTAAATCGATGGATCACCAATACCTTTCTTCTTGAAAACATATTGTAAATAAGTTTGGCTATTATTGAAATAGATCTGTCTGATAATGAAACAAAAAAAAGCAACCGTTATGTGAGTCACACTGTATAGTTGTCTGACTGATGGACTGAATAAATGAATGCTATTCCGTAACTCATTATTTTCTTTTTCTTCATTTATTCGTGCTCTCAGGCAAAGTACAAGAGCACTGGCAGCAAAAATATGCGATATCTATGCTACTGCTAATGATCAACTGCATACATTTCAACGATACAAATTAAATGCGTAGTTAGAATACGTGATCACTGTGAGACGTACAAGCGTTATGAAGTCAATGATATGAATAATAAAAATAATGCTTTTCGTAGGCACATAAAAATAAAATGAATGTCTTCTCACGATGATATTTTGCTACATAATGAAAAATCTTGCTTGATTGTTTTTCTCCTCTTATGTTGAGTATGGGAAGAAACAAATATTGGAAGCTCTTTAATTAAACAAGAAATCTCAATCCTTGAAATGGTAATACTTGATGTATTTTTAAAGAAACATACAAAATATATACTTATTTAATTTATATTCTTTTGGAATGTTAAAATAAGGTAGTATCAAAAGGTTCTAGTGGCCAAGGGAACTTTTCCAGATGTTATCCTTCGACTTTAATCGTAGTTGCTTATAAATACAGCATTATATTCAGATGAATATTCTGAAAGACTGAAATTTTGTTTTAAACACGTTCGAGCTATTGAAAGTTTAATAGATATACATGCTAGGAGGCCGATCAAGACTTAACGTTTTCAAAACAATCATAATAGTGACTTTCATCTTAAGCTTATTTTTGTTGTCACATATATCAAGAGTTTCCAAATTGATTGAGTTCATTATACTAAACTATGCGCTTTTCAAATATATAAATTCGCCGTTTTCAGAAGTGTAACGAATAATCAGAGAATATTTTATGAAGCACATAACTTGAAGATGCGCTCTCTACAAACATTTTATTTTACAAATTAATGTATTTAATATCCTCAAATAGAGATATTGAGATGAAGGCATTCAAAAAAAGCAGTTGTTCTCAAGGCCTACAATTGTATGAGTTTCTGAGAAGTAGACATATTTTTAATGCAATAGTTTTATCAAATTTCGACAGGAATCCGACTAACTTTAGAAATTCTACTAGAATACTATGCAGCATAGATAGACAATGTGCGAGTAAAACCCAAACGAATCCTCAGGAAAGATATATTTCGTCAATTGTTCCTATGACTCACAGAATTTCTTGTGTATTTTGCAAGTGAATTGCACACAAATCTTTTTTCTGTCATTTTCTTTTATGCCTTTAAAGTATTGACTACGAACATTATTGATTAATAGAGTAGTTTTGAACATCAAATTTATTTTCAATGAAAGAATACACATATTGTAAACAGTGAGTTGTTGAAAAGACACTAAACTATGCTGTTGGTCTTCACTGATTAAACTTTGAGAACTATGTGTCATAAACCATATTGATGTTCATGTGACATTGCTACTATTCATACTTAACGCTATTTGACGTCATTGTATGGATTGACTATTATAATCTAGTTGTAGAACTTGATTTATCTTTTTTTTTTATTGTCATGCGCATGTATATTATTAAGCAGATTTATTATGAAATACATATTCTAGTACTGTAAAAACTTTTCAGTTTCATGATAATTCTTTGCATCGGAATTATTTTGTCCGATACGAAGAAACAGTGAAACTAACCTCTACATCAATATTAAGATCCATTTTATTATTTAGGATTGATACAGTGGTGTTTTAGATCATGAATGGCGTACTTTGATTAAAACAAAAACAGATTATTGTTTTTTTGATTCTGTTGAGCGGGCATTCCAACATTACATACTTGACTCGAATACATTCTAAAGCATTTTTTCTTCTTCTATGCGTCAAAATCGACCTTTCTACAATAAAAGTACATCATTGAAGAGCTAAACAACTATTCATTGATCCGAAATCATAGAAATTTTGCTTTTATTGCTTACTCACATCTGACCACATACTCAGTATAGTTTATTATTGCAAAACTCGAAGTAAGATATTTATCGTAATCACTGGACACTTACAAATATTTGCTATCTCTGTAGAACGCCAGTTCTCAATATTGACGAACATCGAACTGTTATTTTACGAAACCTTTCGCACTATTGTATCATTAAGTTATGACTAACAGCATTCAAATTTATCATTTGACATTTTCTAATGTAACACATCCTTATAAAATGAAAGGGTCGCCCATATACAAACAATCTACTAGAAATCAGATAAAAAGCAAATGTTGCGTAACAGATAATTGAAATCAAGATAATATGTGGGATTTTGCACTTGAATTAAATATAAGTTTTGATTTTACGTAACTCTACTTGATTATTATCGATGGCAGCCTTTAGAAATTAGAGTAATTTGATTTTCTATTTCATGATTAGTTTATTAGAATACATTTGTTGATAAAAAAAATCGACTTTTATTAATTATCTCTGCATAGAATTCAGATCATCTGTTACTAGTGAAATTAATTATTAATATTTCTGCTATACATAGAATCTGAATGATTAATTTCTACGAGAGGGCCTATGAAAAAACTCGAGCCACGCTTAGAATCCTCGTAACATGATTATTCTGAACATCCCTTTTTTAAATTTCATTCCCACAGTTTTTCATGCTGAATCGAATGGAAAAAAAGGTGCGTTTGGAAAAGTCAAGTTATGACGATTCTCGGCGTTCTCATGAAACGTCTCTTAATATCATTCTAAACGCAAATAAAATAAATGTGGAAACCTCGGATTGAAATCCGAGTGTTATGTGTACTTCAAAAAGTGAACCTAACGACAGATTGGTTTTGATGATTCGAAAAAAATCATCCTTGAGCGCACTAAGGAACTGCCCCTTAGGCCCTGCGGATGCCCTCTTTTTGTTCCATAGAACCTGGCGAGGAGTTAGTTCCAGAGACTTTAATTGTTTATATAAATGTAACTTTTTTTTAAAAATTAAATCTAGTTCTTTTTTTCTTTTTCACAAAATTCATATCAATTATATCATTTTTTGGTATGAATTGATGGGGATTATTTGAAAATAGCAAGAGAGCATCGTAATGAATGCCGGTAAAGTGAATACATAAACTTGATTTATTCATATCTGACTTATATCCAATATATTTGAGATGACCTCCTGCAGTTCCATCATTAAATCTGTTAATCAAATCTTGTGTACTGATATCAGATGGAATAGAGTGTACACGTTTTGGATCATCGAGAAATTTAACACAAGAATAAATGGGCTGACGTGGTGCTATAGAAAGTGCATGAATTTGAACTTCTCCACCACATTGTTCGTTTGTGACAGTTCTCTTTACCTGTTCTTCAAATGAATAGTTCAATAAACGGCAAATAGTTTTTTGAAATGATTACTATTATTAATCATAGCATTGGCTGCCAATAATCTCATTGAGTGTGTTAGTTCTTCAGATCCAATTTTAATTATTGACCAGGCATTTGAGAAATCCCCAAACCGATGGTCATCTGAGACATATCTAGACAATTTGGTTTATAGATGCAGCTTTTGTATATTTTGAGACATTTTTCAGTCAATGTTTCGTTAGAAAACTACGATTTTTTTTCAAAACTAATGTCAGATTCAGAGTTAGCGTTAAAAACTGAGCCGATTTATATATGTTGTGGATAATTCTGAGAAAAATGGTTTTTTGAAAAATTCCTGTACTCCCCCTCAGGGATGATCTCATCAAAAATGACAGTTGTTTCGATAACTCAGTCATTTCTTGACAGATCCTTTTTATCTTCGAACACGACCTAGATATTGATGAGACAATTCTGCGCACAAAATTTCAGCTCAATCGAATGTAATTGTGAAGAGTTATCGAATAAACGGACGGCTGGGCGGCCGGACAGACTGACCGATTTTTGTAGTGTATTCACTTTTGGAGTACACAAAAAATGAGATACATTAGTAGCATACAGATGATGAATTAGCTTACAGAATCGAGTTTAGCAATTTTATATGCCTTCATTTGTTCGCGTGCATCGGAACTGTGACCAACATCTCCGAATGCTTTTGTTGCATCTCTGCCATGTTGTACTTTTAAAGCTTCCTCACCACCTCGGTGCTTAAAAATATTCAGGACAAAAAGGTTTTTAATTAAAACTCAATAATTGCAAACCTCTTTAAGAAACCTTGTTAAATCATAAACATTATTATCGATGATTATTATGCATTTATTCTTGTCTTCAGCTAGTTCTCGAACTTCAGATAGTGTAAGCACCTTATTATCAGCATTACTGTCGACAGAAGACATTTTTCCAGATAATTTATCTGAAACAACGAAATATAGAATTGATCAGAGATCAACACGATGTCTTCATTCGTTTAAAGAAAAACAGGTGGCCTGTCTCTGTTGGCAACCATAATAATGTCATTTGTGCCACACCAAAAACAATTAATGTCGTTTGTCAATAATACTGAGCCAATGCTTGAATATGAAGATACACTTTTTGTAGAATATCTATTAATAAATACGTTGAGTATTCATATTACCTAACGCAAAATACTTCTATGGTCAATGAATGACAAAAATTAGACAATCTGAAATACGTGTCGCTCAATGTCGTTCTCTCTCCACTCTTGTCATTCTCATCGGGTTCAGTGTACCAGATAATATCCAGAATATAATATTTCAAAAGACTTTTTTCGAACTAACTACCAGAGATGTCCACAGGACCAATTTTGTTGCCATGTTCTGCCCTGTCGATATCTTTGTTTCTCAAAATGGACACAGAGAGATTTTAATCATGCTATGCACAATCGATTAAAATGAATGTTTTTATTAAAAGTTCTAATGAATCGATTAATAAATGAAATAATTTTACTCGGTTTCAGTTTGATTCTGTACAAAGCTAATATTTTATATCTATTAAAATAAATTCATCAGTCAAAAATCTAAATAATCAACTATAAATGTAATAAATTTGTATTAACTTTATATTCAATTTATCATAATCAATATTTTCAAGGAAGATCTATAAAATACGTTGAATCTCTAATAGAATGTAAAACACGACTTAAGTCTCCTCATATGATCATTGAATATGAATTGAATGAGATTTAAAATCGAAATTTAACTAATATCTACTTTTGATTCAATATTCAAAGTAGTTTATGCTTACAGTAAAAGTTTGATAATCATTTGACTTACGTTTTGTATTACTGTGAAGCAAAATTTTGCTTACGTTCGGTCAATAGATCATAATGAAAAATCTGTCAATGTTTAACAATTTTTACCGAGAGTTACTAGTATTCGTCGTGTTTTCTGTGAACTAGAATTGCACTATTCCAATTGAAAACAGTTCATGAATCAGTTGTTATCGACAAGGATTCATCATGAGAAGTAGTAATTATTTTGGAGTATTCTGTGTTAATGAATATTATCAAATTATCTACAACAAGTTTCTTTTTAGTTTCAATCAATATTTTGTAATTCAAGCATAAACTTTCTTTTCTGCTATTTAGTTGTTCAAAGTTTGATAAATTATCGTATGGTTATAATTTTCTAGTTCTTGTTTAATCTCATAATTCTTCCAAATATGTGTGCGGCATGTAACAATGAAGGCAATCATCAAAAGGATGAGTCAATATTAAACAAAACAAAAATGAAATCAAGTTTTATATTTTACATGAAAGATCTTATTTTTAAAATATGTTTAGTATGAGTCTATTTTAAAAAATACAATCAAAAAATTTACTCTGTTGAATTAAATTTTATCTAAAAAGAAACTTAATCAATTTGTATTTTATTATTCTGCAAATGCTAAAAATGAAGAAAATAAAATAAAATGTGAAATCATGGGAATAGAACTTATCAAGGAAAATAAAATTTCAATGTTTAATAAAACTGGCAAGATAGGAGAAGAAAGAAGAGCTGACATAAAAATTTGATAAAAATAGGCAGATTTTTAGTGTAGTGAGTTTGCGAGCTAATTTTCCATTAATCTTCCTCAATGACGAAAGAATGAAGTTTATAGTTGATGATTTAAAAATTTGATGAGCTTTTCATTAGAAATATATTGATTCTCATCAATCTAATGTAAAACATATATTGCATGTGAATCAATGAGAGTCTATTTTCTCGAACGAGCATTAATACTTCATAATTCGAAAGTAATGTTTTCCAAGAAAGAAATTCTTCAATCCATCGGATAAAAAAATCAAGTAAATCCTGATAGCAATATTTCTTTCACGAATTGTTTTCATTTTGAATTATCTGATCAAAACAAATATTTCAACCAATATTTCTTCTAGTATTACAAGAGAGAAACTTTTAATCATTTCAGTGCCAAGAATGCTAAATTACATACAATATTGTCGCGCAACATTCGACAAATGAGCACTATTGTCAATCCCTAATCCAACGCCACGTTGTCTAACAGACACATTGCACTATTCGTCGTTCTCTCCGTAAACTATTTAGTTTTCTTCTCAGCAATACTCCTCCACAGAGTAATAGATAAAACTAAGATATAAACTTTATCTGCTTTCGCCATGATAGTTACAGCTGAAACTATATGTATCATATTATTTTCAATTAAATATATTATTGAGTCATTTTTAGAAATATCACTCATTATATAATCAATCTTATTTAATCAAATTGATAAATTCAAAGAAAACGATTGTTTACTCTTTTTGAAACAGTTGCCAAGTTTTTATCGATAAAACGCTCGAACAGTAGTTGACACAACTTTCTAGTGAACATTTCAAAAAGACTTTCTAATCATGATCACTACCTTCTACATCCTTTGTAAACTTCTAGACCTACCACTACAATCAAAATACAGATACTTTTATTCCCCTATTCTTTTCACCATTAATAGAAACTTTTTTCTCTTCTTTTTTGGTCCATGACAAATGATATCGTGATATTTTATTATTAATTTAGATTATTTGTAAACGACTAGACAAAAACATTTTTAACATGGAACACTATCTATAACAATACCATCGCCATTAAAAGCGTAACTATTGGCAATGTGCCTCTGTATATGTAATTTATTACTTGTTGGTGTTGTGTCACACACGTCTTTCCTTTTTCCTAGTTTATCGATGGACTTGGTAATAAATGGAGAACAGTCAGTCACGTGTATTTACAGATGTCATGCTTTTGGCATTTTAGACCTTGAATTGTGAGCGAGTGTCCAGGTGTCATTTATATTTAAATAACGTTTTTCCATAGTATTTCAATTTTTCAATTGGTAAAATACAAAGACGAATTTCCTTCGTAATCAATGGATTAAATTGCGTTCGAGAAAAAAGATGTCAAGATCGAAATCACCTTCAAAAAATGTATTTTAACTCTTGCTTTCAATTTAAGCAGAAAAATACAATTTATTTCTTTGTCTTAGGTTTTATCAACATCTCTCGTGCCACTGCATGAAAAAGAAAATAGTAATACATTAACATCTAATGATGCTAAATTAAAAGTCAAAGGAATACTTGCTCGACAATTTCATAATGTGGATCCTTTGACACAAGTTGTCGTTTGTAAACGTTTAGCAAAAATGCCAATGCTTTTTCTTGCAGTAAGAAATAAAAAAAATTAGAATAAACCAATAAACTCTATCTATTTCAATTAGAAACGTCGACAAATGCGTAAAATAGAAATTGAAAATACATCTGAAATCTATACAGATGATAATGCTGGTTTAATGGCAGCATCATCGACAGAGACACTTGAATTTGAACGTGAAGCTAAAACATTTGATGAATACACACAAAAAGTTAGCACATTTCTTTATTTCAATACTATAATTATTTATATATGTATGCATATTTTGTAGTTAGAAGATGCTTTAACAATATTTGGAAGTATGAAACGTGAAGAATATGAAAGTCAAACCGCATTGAAAGTGTTACGTTTTTTGGAAAATCTCATACATCAACCTAAAGAATGGATTTCAGGTGCAAAATTAAAATTATCTGAAATGAAATTTCCAGGTTTGACTGTTCTTAATTTTAATTTTACTCCTTTTGGTTTTTCAATATAGAAATGGCCATGACACTTTTGAATAGTTATAAGGAAAAAGGATATTTAGTAAGACGTATTGTCTTTCTTCATAGTATATTACTTTACAATTCCATGAGTAATTTTACTGATCATGAATTTGATAAAGAAGGACTTATTAGAAAAGTAAGTTTGATTAAATATTGAAGAAATTATTCTGCTATCGAAATGTAGAATAGTGAAGAGATGATTGTTTTTCTTTTAGCAAGCAGCTGATGCCGGTTTTATTGAGTTCGCATGTGAAATTATTAGTGATTCATCTTATCTTGAATCACTTAAAAAATGTTATGTTATTGATAGTCCAGAAGCAACAACAACAAATGAAGATTTCAATAACTATCAGGTTTTATAGATTTTCTTTGTATGTTATATTTATGTTTAATAAATGTTTTTTTATTTTTCATTAGAAAATTTTATATATTTGTGATTCAGCACTTACAATTCTTTATAATATGGCAAATTTACCGGAACTAAAAATTCATTTTCGAGAATGTAATGCAGTTTCTGTAAGTATACTACTATGGAAGAACTTTTAGCTGTTTTATTAGAATGATAATGTTCACTCAAGAAGTTCTATGAAATTGTAAATAATATTTAAAGAATAAATCTATATATTTTCAATCTCTATTATTTCGAAAACATAGACCCGTATTCATGAAATTTAGAATTCTAATGTATCAGTCAATCAATTTAGTTAGAATTTTAGAATATCAGAAATGTTTTGAATATTATTTAAACTTGAAATATTTTGACAGATAATAGCCGAATATACAAAATTATCATCGGAAAAAATTCTAATTCAATTTCTTGAAACTAATGTCAATCAAGATTATATAACTAGAATTAGAGAATTACAAGATATTGTCAGTGCTATTCGTGTAACATCATGTTTATTACTTCCATTGATAATGAATGAAGATGAAGATAATATTTTAGCAGCTAATACATCAGGTAAATCAAAATATTTATATCTGTAGTATCAATGTTATTTAACTATTTGAAATAAAGATGTGTTACCATTATTATCTGGAATGATTCAAATGTATAATGGAAATGTTCAAAGATTTTATGGATTTTCATTCATTGAATTAGTTGACGGTTTATCTAAATTAATGGTTCGTGGTCGAAAACATGAATATCTTGATCTTGATCAAAATGTTATTGATATTCTTTTGAATATTCTTAAAAATACAAATCAAGACGATGGCTTACTTGAATGTGTATCTAATGCAATACTTAATGCCTCATTCGATGACAAAGTTCAAACGTTTCTAGATAGTGATCATGCTTTACAAATAATAACAGCAGCACGTAATAATTCTCAAAGTCAACTTGTTCAAAAAAATTGCGAAGCAATTCTTTGGACAATAAACCGGATTTCTCATAGAAGTAAATAAACTATTTTTTAATTGAATTGATTTTTATAAATCTTATCAATAGGGGTTGCGACAATAAACAATCCATGTGGTTTAGATGGTCATATTATGATTTCATACAATCGATCAGTAACAGCTATGTGTTTAAAACTTCGAGATCGTTTAAAAGTAAACTTTATTTCGTTGTAAAATTTTTAATGTAATTTATCTTTGTATGAAATAGGCTTTACGCTATAATGTATGGCTTGATGTTGATAATATAAATGGAGGAGTTTTAGAATCTATGGCTGAGGCTGTTGAAAATTCATCGATTGTACTTATTTGTATGAACGAACAATACAAACAAAGTTACTATTGTCGGCTCGGTTTGTTATATATTTTGATATCTTGAAATTCACAAAACTCTCTTTTTCTTCTTCTTGTTTTAGAAGCAGGTATGAATTGAAATTTACGTTTTACAAACATATCGTTTGTTTTTCTATGAAAAGAATATGCAACGGAATTAAGAAAACCATGTATCCCATGCTTGATGCAACCTAGATTTCGACCATATGGATGGGTAATTGTTTAAAAAAGGCAGATCAATGTTTTTTAAATCTGAAAACTTTCATTTTCAGCTTGGAATAATTAAAGGGGCAAAAGTTCATGTTGATTTTGCTACAGTTCCGTAAGACAATGTTTTTTTCTTCTATGAATATAATAAATTCTTTGAAATAGTTTTGAAGAAGCATTCTCTACTTTAATTCGTGAAGTTGAAACAATAAAAGAAGTTAATGGTGGAAATGAAAAGAATGAAAAAAAAGTTGGCCAACCACATACTACAGGATTGTCTACTATAGAAAATATAAATAACCTGATAGGTATTGATTGATTAGACATATTGAAAAAAATTCTTTTGATTTCACTTTTTTCACTTTCATAAAGAATGTAAACAAGATAAGCCAATCATATCTACACCTACTCTTCCATCAGACCATAGTATTCCACATTGGGATTCAGCTACAGTTAAAAAATGGCTTGAAAAAATTGGTTTATCACAGTAGTTTTATTCGATCCATTTATTAAGGAAAACACATCTTTTTTTCTTTAGCTTGGAATCTGTTTTTGTCAATATCGATGGAACATTACTTTGGCAATTGTATAAAATGAAACAATTAGCTGTTAATTCGTATTATCAATTTCTTAATAAATATTTAGATCGTAGTGAAACAGCACAAATGTATGACACACTCAAATTTGATCATGAACTTGAATCTCTATTTCAATAGGACAATATTCCAACGTGTTTAATTTATATTTATTTTTAATATATATATATATATATATATAATATTGCTTATTTTATAATATCAAAATGTAAAAGATATTAATTTATAATAAAATTGGAATATTTTTCATTTCACGTCAATCAGACTTTGTTTTATCTATAATTATAAGAAATAAACAATCTAATAGCTATTAAAATGTAACTAATACTCATGAATGACTTGTATAAGGTAAATTTTAAAGCAGTTGTATAACTGCAGTTTTTTTAATTAAATTATGTATGAAATACAAAGGGCTAATCCAATATAATCTGTGGTATAATCCCATTATAACTATCTTCAGTCACTCGTTTATGTTGCTCAAGCGATTGCTTAAGTCAACTTTCCAATTGAATGTTTCTTATATGAATTGATTTTTTTTGATTTTAATATATACATATAGAACATGTCGCGAACAATTTTGTATTGCTATTAACTTGCATTATAATTCTAAATAATTTAGCCTTGAAAATTAAATCGATCTTATAAATATATTTTGTTAATTATCCTTTGAGCCATTGTGTTTTATTTGTCATTAAGAATAAAGTAAATAGTTTCGTGATTGTAACTTAATACAACCAGGAACAGTTTAATAAATCTAATCTGATATATTTGATAATTCTTTAGGGCATAGACAAAAATAGACGTTCTCGAACTATTTTAAGTATTTAATTTACCATAAAGTAAACATATTTATTATGATTATTACTCAACATTTTTCTTATCATGAATATTCGATTTTATTTCATAAAATCATAAACATATAATAGAGCGACATCCTACCTAAAAACCATCAAAATATACGTTAGGAGCCAATCAAGATTTTCTGTCTCAATTTTATTTTTTGTGGCCCAAAGAGAAAAGAAATACTAGGCTAGGCTAGGCGAGGCTAGTTCTACGTTTGATATTTTTGATCAAGGAGTAGTGTTCTGCGTTCTTTTCGTAAGTACGCGCTAACATGTATGATGAAAGGAAATAACGGATTATAGCCGTTTTATATGCAAAGTATGTGTCCCTGCATTCTAATGAGTAGGCATCTGTTTAGCTCTATTGACGTAATATCACAGACACTATTATCAATATGAACGAATTAACTATAATAAGTATTTCTGTAACTTAGATTCGTTGATGTTTTTCTGCATTAATATGAAAACTCTTGTAATAATCCTGGTATCTTCTTTAAATAATTTTTGTTATATATTTAAGATGGATAAGTTTGCCTGTTGTTGTTGTTTTCTTACTGTCACTTTTTTCTGCTACTTGTCTCTTTCTCGTTCTGTTGCTCGTTGACATCTTTTATTAGCCAAACAAGCAAAAACTGGATCTACCGCACGATTTTTCCCCATTGCCTTCGACTATCTTTCATCGATCGTATGTTTGTGTGTATGCAAGAAAGAAAGAAAGAAAGAAAGAAAGAAAAGAAACCATATAAATCTCTTGAGATGAGCATTCTTTTCTCTTTTTTCTCTGTCAATACTCTCACAAACGTTCTATTTTTTCCTGCTATGAATTGCTTTATACTTAATAGTAGTGGTGAAGAAAAACAATAGTTGTTGAGTAATCATGACTTCTGAGCGCAGCGAAATAGTAATTGGCTTATTTTTTTTCAGAGATTAAATTTTGCAAGTCGATATTGCCAATTTAATATTGATTTTACTAAGAACAGATTCGTTTAATGTAATATAAAGAAAGCAAAGATAGAAATGTTGATCAACTAGAAAAATATATCTGTGTTCCTTTTCCGTGGACAATATTACCTTGGAAAAAATGAGCCAATCGAACAATCGATTAGCTCCTGTGTTGACTCAAATAGTAGAAAACATGAAGAGTGAGAGAATGAGTGTGACAGAAAAAAAGAACACTCCTACGGTAAGCGACATGAATTTATGGATCTCTATAGTTTCTTGAACTTATGTCAAAATGCTTCTCTTATTGTCGATAAAAGATAAAACTCTTTAAAAACTTCAGATTTTTCCTTGGCAACTATTAATTTAATTATTTTAAAGAGTCAATGGCCTTGTCAAATTTTGTATATAGTTTATTTTTATTCTCATTTGTATATTCAAGTAAATTTATTTTGATTTTATTGCTTTTGTTTGCTTAAACGCACAAATTTCTATTAATTAGTTTCAATACCACCATCAATACTAGAAGAGCCCGATTCAGACATAATTTTTGATTCTCGTCTTAATCTTCAATTAGCATGTTTAGCAAAAGGTGAGCCAACTCCAACTTATACATGGACAAAAAATGGATATTTATATGAAACGAATGAACAAAATAATCGTGTTACTATGGCAAATGATTCTGGCATGCTTACTTTTATTCAACCGCAAAGTATTGATCAAGGATGGTATCAATGTAATGCGACAAATATTTGGGGTAGAAGCTAATGAAAATAACAGTGAAAAAGTTTAATAGAAACTTTTTTTCACGAATTCTAGGCACTGCAGTATCACGTCGAGTTCATGTACGTATTGCAGAACTTGGTGAATTTCCTATTTATGATCGAGCACAAGTAATTCAAGTGAGACGTGGTGATTCATTAAGAATTCCATGTAAACCACCAATTAGTGTACCGGATCCGGAGATCTATTGGACAGACAATACCAATTCTGATAATCAAATTGGTTTTCGTGTAGCAAGCTCGCGTATACAACAAGATTATGATGGTATGTTTTTCTAATTCTGATATTGTTTTATTATGGTATAATTTCTTGTCGGTTTTAGGAAACCTTTATCTTATTAATGTCAAAGATGAAGATGAAGAAAAACAATTTACATGCAATGTATTTTCAGGAAAATTAGATGTTATTCGCCGTGGTTCAGTAACAAAATTAAAAGTTATTAAAACAGAACCAATCGAACGTAAACCAACGAAACTATGGTCGTCTGAAGCGAACAAAGTATTTTTAAAAGGCCAAAAACTATCATTAAAATGTGTATTTGATGGTTTACCAACACCGGATGTAATATGGAGAAAAGACAATGGTGGTCTACCTGAACAACGTTCTAATATTAATCGAGAGAAACAAGAATTAATTATTACTGATCTTCAATATGAAGATGCTGGCGTGTATGAATGTCGAGGACATAATGGTGTGAGACTTTGTTTCGATTGAAATAGTATTAATTTCAGTTTATATTTTAGAATTGGGATACGATGGATTTGCTATTAATGTTCAAGTTGAAGCTGCCCCATATTGGTTAGAGAAACCTAAAGATGCTTATTTAGTAGAAGGTGAAACAGTTGATGTAATTTGCAATGCAGAATCTAAGCCAGCATCAAAAAATACTCAATGGTTAATAAATGGCGTACCGTTACAAGACATCAACGTTCCATACAATCCACGCCGACGTATCATGAGAAATAGAATGATTATACAAAATGTAACAAAATTTGATACGGCTGTTTATCAATGTAATATTTCTAATGTTCATGGTTATGTTTTTGCAAATTTCTTTATTAATATTATTTGTAAGTTCTACTTGAAAATATATTTGTTACGATATTCATAAGATTAATGTTCTATTAGCGGAAAAACCAACAATAAAACGTGGACCGGAAACATTTTACCATTTAGTCGAAGGACAAAATATAATATTACCCTGTGAAACAATAGGTGCGTCATCGTCAAAAATCTATTGGAATAAACGCAATAGAATTATTACTAGTGCAAGGTATGTAATCAATTGGCATTTTTTCGTCTATTGTATTATCTATCTATATCATATATTAATATCCGTATATAAGTATGTGAGTTATGCCGTCTAAAAATTTCTATCCGTACGAACAAAAAACAAGAAACTTGTATTCTTCTAATAGCACTAACTTTGACTGCCACGCAAAGCTATCTAATATTTTACTTATCTATTTATTTTTCTGATTAAATAAAGACTGATTTTCGAATTCATAGATATTCCATATCTAAAGATGGCAGTTTAACAATTCCAGCCGCTGTTTTATCAGATAGTGGAGTTTATGTTTGTAATGCAACAAATAAATTTGGTTTCGATACACGTAATACAACATTGACTGTTAAACAAAAAACTCGTATTCAAACTGGACCAAGTAATCAACAAGTACGTCGAGGTTATCAAGCCATTTTTCGATGTACGGCTACTGTTGATCCTTCATTAACATATAATATTGATTGGTATAAAGATGGTGAATTACTGACCTACGCAGGCCGTTTTATTAAAGATATAGCGGATCAGAATACATTAAAAATTGTTGATGTACAATTTGATGATTCTGGTTCGTATGTATGTCGTGCAAGTACAGAATTAGATTTTGATGATGCAAGTGCAACTTTAATTGTACAAGACCGACCGAATCGACCAAAAATAACAAAAGTAATTTGTAATGGATCCAGTGATCAACCATTTTCCATTGTTCAATGGCGAGGAACAGGTAAAAATATTTTCGTGTTTTTTTTATTAAACAAATTTTTAGGATATAATAAGATCACGGATTTTCTTTTATTCAGGTGATAACAATGCACGAATACTCTATTATGAATTACAATATAATACAACATTTCAACCTAATGATTGGATTTCTATACCTATTGAACAACGAAAAGAATCTTTTAGTGAAATTAAATTACCGGATGGTTCTATCAAACTAGAACCGAAAGCTATAAGTAACGAATTAAATATTGAAGAAAAAAAACCAATACCTTATTGTTTTTGTTTAGCTTTTAACACAACACATATCCCATCAAGTCAAAATGATTTACGTGTATCATTATCATGTTGGGCTAATTATACATTTCGTGTTATTGCTTACAATCGTATTGGTGCAAGTGAAGCAAGTCCTACTTCTGAACCACTTTGTACAACAAAAACCTGTCGCCCTAAAACAAATCCTGAAGGTATTAAATCTTCTACAGCACAATCTGCATTATTATTAATCGAGTGGGAGGTACAAGAACATTCATTCACTTTTTTTTTGTCTAAATCTCCATTTGAATTAATAGAGTATGCCAAAGATAAAATGGAGTTCACCGGATTTTTGGTATGAAGTTGGTTGGCGACAATATGCTTTGGACAATAGTTCAGAACCATTTTCAACAGAAATTATTTATCCACCAAACTATCAATTTACCATACCAAATACAATGACGGATATGCGGTATCAGTATTATGTTAAAGCAGTCAATCAACAAACAGGAGGTATGTTTTTTTTTTAATTTTACAACGGCAATTTACATTTACTAGTCTTCTCATATTATATATATATACGTATATAATGATTCATTAGCTTAATCAATACTGTTCTCTCTGATGACAAGAAAAAGTAACACTAATATAATACTAAAGAAAAGAACAGCATACATGTAAAAGATTATTTTTCATAAGATAAAATTGCAGATTGCTTCAAAGATTTATTTTCTTGAAAAACATATTCAAATTTTTGTCTTTAGTTTCTTGTTTCGCTTCGTTATTAATAGGGTATATTTCTGAATGGAAAATCATTATTCTATCTGATTTTAATTTCAAAATTTATTATCAATGAATCTTTCTGTATTTGAAAAATTTGAAAAGAGATCTCATTAAAAATAATAATCAAATTTTAGTATTGAGAATTCAACAAAAAATTTGCTTTTTATTATTAGCAAACAACAGCACTGATGCCATCGAACCACCAGTATACAATATTGCTTTTGCTGGTGATTCAGGTAATTATAAAACTATTTTATACTTATTTGTCTAGATAATAAAAAAAACATTGACATAACATAACTCATAATGAGATAAATTCTTTGTTAATCGCGTATGATTAACAAATAAAATGCAATCATCCGATAGAAAAAATTGACTTATTACATTTTTTTCAATCAACATTTCTATGTCTTCTAGCACCAACATATGTTCCACGTAATTTTCGTGTATTACAAATGCTTGATAGTACAACAGTGCAATTTGCATGGGATCCACCATTGTCTTCGGATGAAATTAATATTCGTGGCGCTCTCAAAGCTTATCAGGTTTTCTATGATGACTCTATTTGACAATGTACATACTGTATGTGTCTGTGAATAGATTGAAATATTTCGCCTTGATAATCCAGTAAAATCTCGTCTTTTAATATCTGATATACTACCAAATCAAACTTCGTCAACAGTTTTCAATGCACCACCTAATGCGGATGTTGGTGCACATATTCGTATTGAAACAGAACGCTATCTCGGACCGACAAGTCCTGTTGTATGTATCTAGTGTTGTATTTTACTAAAACCAAAACACGCCTATCGGTTATATTGTTTTTATTTAGATTCAGTTCCCTACACGTGAGGGTCGCCCAGAACCAGTGACTAATTTGCGTGGTGTACCTTACACTAGCAATGGAATTTTTTTGCTTTGGGATCCGCCAGATGAAACAAATGGTGTTATAATTGGTTATCAAATTGATTATAAACCTATAGAAAGGTATTCATTCAAGTGATAAAAGAATGACAAATGTCACTTTCTTTCTTAAGTATTGCTGCCCAACCCGGCGTTGATCAACCTTCGATATTGCTGCGTGATGATGCACGTCGAAATTATCTTCTTAGTGGCCTTAAACCAAATACAAAATATCGTGTTCAAGTACGACCACGAACATCAATTGGTCTATCGACAAGCCCAGCTATAATTGAACTAACAACAAATTTAACTCTTGGTAAACATATATAGAGACTTAAATTTAATTGGATAACTTATTTTCCTTACTTCTATTTTAGCTCCATCAAAACCAACATTTACAGTAACACAACGGGGACAAACATTTTTTAATGTTTCGTTTGATCCAACAATAATGACTATTCCTGGTAGTGTGTATTATGTGCAATATAAAGAAAATGATCAAGGTTCGTATCGAACGATGTGTACATACACATAGATCTAATTTATATGATCAAACTAATTTTTTTAAAGATGATCAAACTACTACTTTCAAAGAGTCTTATAATGTGTCGAACGATCGTACTATTCTAGTTAATTCACTTGAACCGGGTAAAACTTATACAACAATATTAGTTGCTGGTGATGGTATCCTATCTGAAACAAAAAGTGATCCTCAAATGGTTTCAACTCGTAAAAAGGGTAAATTTTGATTCTATACTATTGATACTCATATCTTTTTCAATATCTTTTGTACTAAAGAAAATTTTCTCTTGAGATTTTCGAACTGAATAATAAATATGATGATAGTATCAGATGTAATATACAGTGACATAGAAAATCGTCATCATTATTGCCTCTTGACTGTGACCGATGTCGATAGTCAGTCGATAGAGAAAAAAAGCGAGAAGCACAACTGGAAAGAATAATCAAAGAAAGAAGGATAGAAGGAAAAAATATAGAAGAAAGAAATAACAAGAAAAAACTACATGATAGTGCTTCCGTTAAGAGTTATCGCATCAATGCGAAGAAAAAAGAAAAAAAAAGAAAAAGCTTGTACAATACTCATCCTATGCTAGACTTTCTTATGTGAGATAAAAGAAGAATTGAGAAACGGAGAGAGAGAGAGAGAGAGAGAGAAAAGAAAGAGATGCAACATATACAAACATAACTAAAGTCGGCCATTCGACAACATTGTTATTTGTGATCCGATAAGTGTTAAATAATCAATGGGTCGTATTCATTCGGAGTTTTATACATGTACATATGTCTGATGAATGACAAATGAGTGGTCTGTCTTTGGAATATTCAACTACCGGGATCAATAATAGATCCGTGTCGATAGCATTTCAATCGAATGATACAATCCATCTTAATTGTACCACAATAGAATGTTTTGGTAAGCATTAACGAATTTATGTTAAATTATAGAGAAGAAAACAACAAAAACTCGAAGACTTATTCATGTTACTTTAAGAAATAATCTATAGGAGTCAATCAATCAAATCGAAATAATTTCTATTATGATTTTATGATGAGATTTAATATTAATGACTATTGTATATAGTAAAAAAGATGCATAATTGATTAGAAAATTTTTATTTCTTTTTCTTTAGATCGTGCTCCTCGAGTTATTGAATCACCTTGGTTCATTGGTATTATTATTTCAGTAATTGTACTTATTATAGTCTTTGCTATTGTTTGTGGTATTATGAGACGTAAAGGTGGTAAATACTCAGGTAAACATTTCTGCTTTTTAAAAATTTTTAATCATATCTTAATTTATCATAAAAATAAATTAACCTTAAGGAACATACACAGGTACACTTTACCTAAGGTTTATTTTTCTGTTCCTTTTTATTGCATGAGTTCTACTTGAAATAATTCCAAACATGAGTGTGCATTTTAATATATGTTTTTTTTCCTTGTCTGTTTCTTGTAGCTGGTGTAGATGGCAAATCGACCCTATATAATTCTATTCAAAGAAGTAAAAACTCAGAAATCTATTGTATTTTTTCAGCAACAGAACTGCTTTTTTGTTCGTTCTTATTCTGTTTGTCTTCTTGGTATTCCATCTTGAGTTCTTATATGCATTAACTGATGAGATATACGCGCGATGCGCCACGCATGCTATCTAGATTTGGAGGATGCCGCTGCTTGTATGGTTGTTCTTGTCATTGACATTGATAATGATAATGTTTCCTTTCCTTTTCTTTTCTTCTCAGGAAATCAGTACTTATTTAATTAAAAGAATAATTATGCTTATTTTTTATTTTTTTATAGTTCAAGATAAAGAAATGTTACACGGACCCAGTGGATATGGAGATAGTGATGGAAAATTTTCAGAATATTATCGAGCGTATGCCATATGATATTTAACAAAGAAATTAAGTTTAAAATTTTATTTTTGTAGCCCTAGTGATGCATCAATGAAACATAGTCGCACATCATTGCAGAACGGCGATGATCGTGATTCGATGGCAGAATTTAATGATGAAAAAGATCGTAGCCGTTTTACAGAGGATGGATCGTTTATTGGACAATATGGACGTGATGATAAACGACATACTTATTTAGTTAAGTACGATGAAAGTGATGGTTTTCCTAATTAATTTCAAAATGATAATCCAGGAAAATTTTCAGCTCATTTATAGAAATATTCTCTTTTTATTTTGTATAAAATTCATCGTATTTTCATTTTTGAAACAATGAATATTTTATTCTTTTTTTTTGAAACTCCATCGTTGCATTTATCAATTTCGTCTAGTTATTTATATATAGATGGAAATCAACATTTAGAATTAGAGAAATTTTTAATTTATTAGGGAATCGAAAGTTTTTCTTTTTTCAAGACGAATATTTTCATTTTCTTCTTTTGTGTATTCTTTTGATTGACTATTGTTTGTTTGTTTTTTTCTTTCTTTTCTTTGTTATATAAATATTTTGTGCACACATATGTAAGAAGATGTTCGTTGCTTTTTCTGTTCCTTAAAGATAAATATTACCATAAAATTTTCACAAACGTGACGAATGAATTCAAAGCATCACATATTTATTATTAATAGTTTCTACTAAATTGACCTCATTGTCTTGGAATACATTTATCAATAGGATTGGAGTCCAGTAGTTTTCTCATTGATTAATCTAAAACAAATAGCAATGTCACTTTAAATATGAGTAGAAATGTATGATACACGATTTGACATGAGAATTGTAAACAGACATTAGATAATCTATAGTTAGATTCTTCTATTTCAATAGATTATTATTATTATTATTATTATTGTCAGCGCTACAAGGGATGAGATATTCTGGCATTGATACAATATTGACTGACATTGAAAATAGCAAAGAAGAAATGAAGCATGAATGATCAGTGATGATGTCTGTAACATAATAGAATTCCAGAGCTATCATCAAAATACCATATCTATGAGTAATATATATATATATATGCACCAACAAATTTCATTATTCAAGTTGTTTTCGATGTTTGTTGTATATGTTTTAATTCACAATCTGATTTTGAAGGAGTTCATGTTTCGGCAAGGTTGAAACGACATACATTTAAGTTTTGAGAATCTAATTAAATCGAAAGAAAATTTTTGAAGCTTACAGTTTTTCTGTTGTTTTTTTCTAAATATTCATTTTTGTAAATTTTAATCATTTTGTTTTGTAAATCTGAAAAGTTTGATTAGTGGACTTCTTTCAGTAACTGCAAACAGTGATATTACATATCCAGAAAGTTGAAGAAGCAAATAGTGAGATATATATGAAACGACAATTTTAGGAGTATGTTTTCAATAATTTCTCTTCTATCATTTCATGTCAACCTTGATATACAATTTTCATCGTATATGACTCGAGTCAATTGGACAAAATTTCACTATTCTTAAGACATATTTATTCGTTTCTACGGGCTCCTTAAACACTAAAATATTTAACTATTTATTAATAAATCAGCAGCAAAATATTATCAGAAAAGAACTAGAATATAGATGTACTGTAGCAATGCAGAGAATGCTATTCAAATAGTACAGCACCCATTCTCTGACTATAACTAGTTTTATCAATATGCTAATAAACAACATTGAAATATTTCCAATTATTTTCAAATTCATTCATGTTTTAGTTGCAAAATCTCTTTCACTGTCGATGAGTTAAGTAATACTTGAATAAATTTCAAAAATCATTGTATATATATATGAAAGTGACACTTTTAGTGTTGCCTGCAGCTGTATTTTTGCTCTTTCGTTCGATTCTAATTAATCTTTCGTTTCACTGCACGTGTCACTAACATAAATGCCTGCCAATCATTGCAAGACAACTGTTGTTAAGTAAATAATACATACTTATTCATTTTCATGTTGATCTGTTTTTGTTCTCATGAATTAGATGTAGAGCATGTTATGAAGAGATAACGCTGGTGGAGAAATATTTGCATGATGGTGAAAATGTTGTTCATATTGATTGTTATATCTGCTCGAGTTGTCATCAATCACTTGCTGGTATATTTTATTATCGTTATAAGGATCCACGTCACGATGAAAAGAAAAAGCTTTATTGCGATTCATGTTACTATCGTTTAGCACCGATCTGTTTTCAATGTTTAAAAATCATTGATGATGTTTCATTAATTTTTGGTGAACGCATTTTTCATCCGAATTGTTTTTGCTGTGAGCATTGTCGAAAATCATTTAAAGGTGCACTAGTTTTTCCTTATGAAAATCATGTTTATTGCTCAAATTGTTATCAAAATGTTCAAACTGATTTTCAACCAGCTCCTTCAATTGTTTCAACATTACGCTGTTCTATATGTAGAAAAGTATTTCAACCAGGTGATCTTATTACTAAACATGAAGTATGTACAATTTCGTGAGTATGATTATAAAATATGATTTTGTTTTTTTAAATTGGCATCAGATTGATTTATCAACAGATAAAATATCAAGTAATATTCACTATATACATAATTCTTGTTTTGTTTGTGGAGTTTGTCATCAAAATCTATCGAATTCTACTTATTTTACACCAAATACTCACGACGGCGATATTCAAAATCTTGTATTTCAATGTGAAAAATGTCATGAAACATCAGCAACCATATGTTCTGTAAGTTTTCCATGGTCTTTGTTTTGGGTTATCAATAATTCAATACAAATGTGTGGTAATAGATCTGTTTTAGACCTTCAAATGACTTGATGGTTATATTCAATAATCGATGGTATCATGATGAATGGTAGAAGTTTATTTATTCAGTAAGTGCTATCAATATTTTGATGTCATTTAGTTTTACATGCAAGAATTGCCACTACAAATTGAAGAATCTTACACGCATCATCACCGAACCAGATGGATTATTATGTGAACGTTGCTTGAAATTGATCCATGACCAGCAACAACAATTATAAATGCCAAAAGCATGAATGATTTCTTATGTATCTCTCTTAAGTTTTTCTTTGTTTATTCAGTGGCATATCTATGGTCTATGATAATATTATCCGATGTATCACTATTATGTAACAATATGAACAATAATGTCAAGAATGATCATTGATGTAATTTCTTGTTAGTGTTACAGATTGAGTTATATCCTAATAGCACAATAAGTATACTTTATATCGTTGAAAATTTCTTTCCAATGAAGATTTTAGTGTGTGTCTACTAACTCAAATGATCAGTAATCTTCTTTTAAATAGATAGATGCATACTACCACTACTATATGGTTCAGTTACCAGTTTGTTTCTCCTAGAGACACAAATATTTATGCTTGTATGCTACTCATCAGTCAAGACAACTCATATATTCTCTATTGTTTACATTGATTCGCGTTGATAAGGATAACAAAAAAAGAAAAGTAAAGCACTAAATTCTAAATCGGTCAATATTGTAGGTAGTAAGAAAAAGAAAACTATGGTACATTATATGTTTTGCTAATTGAAATATCATCAATATTCAATGAAAATAGATTATGATTGATTCAAAACAATACAATTATTGAAAGTGAATAATTATTTGTGGACTAATAGTACTCCGTTTTCGAAAGAATTTGAAGTAATTATAGTTCTTGTAAAACTTTCTCAACTTTGTAGAAATCAGAAAGATAAGATAAAACTCTATACTTATATCATCTTGCATTATGAACATTTTAGTAGGCTTATTACTGATAACAAGATATTTAATGAAAAATCAAATTATAGAGTTTCTATCTCAAATTTTCTGCTTGCATAGTTCTGATGATTCTTATACTAACAGAATTGTTATCATCAAAAATGTCTGCTTTCCTCCAAACTTATTTATGTTCCACAACATAATTTCATGATACAACGTCTTATAAAAAGTGACCTTTCCTAAAAACTCATTCTCTCAAGATAGACACATTCATTTTCCTTGTAAAATTACGTACGTGACAAGCGACATGATATTTATGTCAGTAGATAGTTTCAAATAGAAATTCTATAATTTAAGTTTTTAGTAAATTTCTTGGTATCAGTAATGAGCGTAGCAAAACACTTACAATTGCGGAAAGAAGATCGGTATATCTCTATCATATTAAACTTTCTTTAGTCTCATTGGGTTCTGTTTATGTGCAATATATCATCGCAAAACGTAGACTCAATTGAGATCGCATCCTTTTGGCTTAGTAAACAACAACAAAAACATCATCTAGCTATTTTTAATGAAAACAACACAACGGATTTATTTTCTAAATTAAAAATTAAGGGCAACCATATCTCGTACTTTTATGCTATCAATCTTTATCAAAACACAAAATGTGCATTTTTTTCTTAGGAAAATTCTTCTATTGCACCGTTGAAACTAGTGTAATACGCGCACACTCATTAATAAACAAATTATTCCGCTTTCATTGTTATTCATTGTATGAATGATCGATGAATTAATATTTTTTTCTTTATTCAACTTTCAAATCTTATGAGTACAAGATAATTGGTTATTTTTTTTTATAGTTCAGAATACAAATATTCATATAGTAATCTTCTTTCATTTTCGTGATTGAATATCGTTTTCTAAATGTCATATTCTTACGCCATTTGTTTATTGTTTTGAATCTGATTCTTATTAGAAATTTATCGATCCCTAATAGTTATTACATTAGTACTGTATCTTTGTCATTTTAAAATTTCCTAATTATGCTGTAAAACATTTTCCATCCTAGTCATATCTCTTGAAATCAACGAAGTTTAGTAAACATCATTTAACTATTATTTATTTACACAAATTATAATTTCATATTTAGCTGCTTTCAAAGTTTTTCATCATACTCTTCGATATAAACCATTTACAAAAATTGATTACAAAAAAAATCATCAAGAATATATTATTTGTTATAGACAACTTTAAAAACAAAGGAAGACATGCAGCTTATCATTCATTGAATATCCTGAAAAGAACGACTTTACAATTCACTGATTAGATCATACTTCATTCCTGCATTTCGTAATTTTTCCGTCGTTGTTAAAAACATAGATTGAGTTTTTGTATGCCAAACATAAATCTATAATTGAAAAACAAAATCATTTAAATATATTGCTGACTAGACATGATTATTACTTTAGAAGCATTATTAGCTAAACATTCAAGTTGATTCATACTTGTCATTGCATCAAGTATATTAGATTCTTGTTCACCTACACTATTAGCGCTGACATTAAATAGATAATTTGAATGCTTGTGAACAAGACCCAAATGAATCGCAAATCCAGCCATATCAGTTGGAAATTTTCGTTTTCGATAAATATAATGAAACCAAGAATAAACCTATGATACAATATAATCTTAAAATAGAACGAATTCAATTTGAATTTACTTTTCCATTTAAGCAAATCGGACGTTCATATAATAGTTCACCAACAAGACCAACTGGCCAAACACCAACTAATTGAACTTTTCGAATCTACGAAGAGATATTTTACGATAATTTAATCAAATATCTATAACCAATGTACTGACCAATAGATTACCTCTTGAAATAATTTCCAATGATATGAATTATCATCATCAGCAAAATAAACAAGCGCATCATCATTTGTATTTGTATTTTCACGTATCCATTGAAGAGCAATATTTTTTTGGTGCATTCCACGTGGTCGACGCCATGTGGATTGATTTTTTGTTGGTTTTAAATAATCTGGTGTCGCAATATTTAAATGAATAAACGGTAAGTTAAATGATTGAAGTAAACGATGGAGACGACCTGTTCGTTGAGATTCGTCTTCGACAATAATCCAAAAAAGATTTGGAATCTAAAATTATTTTTATTGAATTGATTAGAAAAAAAATGATCTATTGTTGTTTTTGTTTACTAAATAGAGTGTTTGTGCTAATCGTGTTAAATCAGCAATTTGTTCAGCACGTGTTTTGGTTGGTGTAATCATATAAATCTTACGTATTGACAATGGATCATTCCAACTTTCCTGAATTGGTACAACCAAACCTGGATACATAACTAGTAATTGTTCCCACGGTTTCATACCTTGTTTATTATCAATATTTTTCACTGAAAAAGAAATATTATGAGGGAAGTTTCAAAGCAAAAAACCGCTGCATTACTGTAGATGATCATTAAGCCGGTTATTATTATATATAATACCAAAAAAATCCAAATAATAGAATATGCAGAAGAATATCGACGGCATTTTATGTACATTCTTATTTAACAAAAGAAAAGAAAATATGTATTGAAATGAAAATAATACTGAGTATAAAAGGCTTTTCCGTGATGAATAAAAATCAATGAATATCATCGAACGTTGTTAAATATGAACAAATTTCTCTCACTCTCTCGAGTCCATCGTCCATGATTCACCTAAATCAGTTGTCATTTCTTATACAGAACTTCTCAATAGATGTCCTTTGGAATCGAACTAATTTCTTGAAAATCAATCATCATCTACCCACATTTCCTTGCTTTATCTCAACAATATTTTCCTTTCTCACAAGGTACAGTTGATCAACTGATTTACGTTAGTTCAGTGTTCATTTCTGAAACTGATTGATTGTAATAGCATCAATGTACTGCGGAAGGATCAATATTTTTCTGATTTGATAAAGTGGAAAGATGTGTCATTATGATGCAATGAGCTCTGATAGCAGATCTAAGATCGTTATGATATAGGACAACTCTGATAATATTAAGAGTAGCTACGCATAATCATGAAGCATCCTATCAGATTAATTTTTAAGCGTTTTGTTTTTGCTGGAAAAAGTCGAACATTTCCTTTTGGATAGGGCAAATAATGAATTCTACTGCTGAGTTCCTACTACGAGTTTTCGAGCATGAGAAAATTTTTCACCGTTGAGCATAGCTACAGATCGTTAGCCATGACATTTCCCTTACACTCGAGACTTGTGTAAATAAAACAGAAAGATACAATTGGCGTTTACTTACCCAAGTCACTCCATCCTGCCTCCGGATTCAGTCGGAATCCGTCGGAACCAGCACCGGATAACACCAGAAGACGGCATGATTCCCAATCAAATCTGCCAGGATCCGGCGGGGATTTCGCCGGAATCTTTGCTCCCGGAAACCCCGTCGGAATTCAACGGAAAATGATCCGGTCGTTTCCTGCCGGATAATACAACCGAACATTGTCGCAACCGATCCACTCGGACTACCGGATGATGCCGGTTTCATCACATATTTGACCGGATTCCATCCAATTCCGACGACAAGGACCTCATAAAAAATCTCTCATACAAGCGTTCTGGAATCGAAACGTCAATCAACTATAGTCTTCAAACACACGCACACCAACCAAACCATAACGCCTGATCAATAACCACAACATAATCCAAACCCTCACAGCTTAAACGGGTCCA